ATATGGAAAGATAGAATTATCTGGCGGCCGCCAAATAATCTAGCTATATTTCCGTACGTTATGATGCAGATAAAAAAAGAGAAATAAAACAAAGAATAACATGAGAGATAGAAAGAGAAGATAGCGAGATAGAAAGAGAAGATAGAAAGATAAAAACAAAGAATAATGACAGGAAAGAACAGAAGATAGAAAGGAAAACAAAGAATTTCAAAATGAAAATAGAAAGAGGAAATGATAGAAGTATAAAAGCAAAGAGTAACATACGGAAAATAGAAAGAGAAGAAGGTGGAAGGATAAAAACAAAGAATAACATAAGAAAAGGTAGAAAGTGAAGAAGATAGAAGGAAAATAACATAATCATGATAAGGAAAGATAGAATTATCTGGCGGCCGCCAGACAATTATGACTTGGTTCGTAAATATATGTAAATTGTATTGGAATGGGAACAATACAGTTCAGTTCATCTGAAGAGAGAAAGAGAGAGAACCCCTTACACATCAAAATGTGAGCTGAGCCTGAAAGAAACCGGACTTCAAGAAATCTTTTATGAACAAATTCTAAAGGTCCCCATATTTCAAAGAGCCCGATGACGAGGGCGCTGGCCGGGAGGCGAATTTTTTTTCCGTACTCGAGAGGGCAAATACCCCATGTGCGCATGCGCGTGGACTTGTGATTTCTCTGCTACTTCCCATACGAAATGTACATGTATTCGCATCTACTGTGCACGATTCGCGTTCTACGAGTAAACGATGGCATAGTAGTCTTCAAACACAGACTCTGATTTGCCAGTTTGACAAAACAATTACGCATATATCGTGCGTAGCAATAGTACTAGTATTCAAGTCTGAGTAGTTGTATGATGCAGACATTTTAGTGCTTACAGAAATGCATCCCAAATTCTCGCTACCCCAAATAGCGATTCTGCCGAGATCCGGGGAAAATCCTGAAAACGCGCATTGCATTATGGGATAGCTTTTCGACATTACAGCTTCCTGTGCAGGCGCGCGATAGCGCAAACGTAAAACGCCGTCGCCACACAACGTGTATGCACCGAATATGTCGTCTGCTCGGTCTTGTTTTTTTTTCGCAAATATTTCAACGTTTATTTGAACATTTCATTCGTTGTTTTTTGCGTCTTTTGACATCAGTGACGATGGTTTTCTTTTGTGAGGCTGCACAGTGCTGGGCTCATGATTCCAAGCGTAAGAACCCTGAAAAATGGGGGTGGATGAAGGCCGTGACTTGGGATGGGACTCTATACCGGAAGTTGTAGTGACGACCCGAGAGAGTGAAAATTACCTCGTCTCGCGAATTTCGAGATTTTCGTACCTATTTAGGGTAGCGAGAATTGAATAGCATGGTATAGTAGTCTGCAAGCACAGACGCTAATCGGACAGTTTGACAACATAGTGTCTTGAGTAGTGCTTTATATTCAAATATGTGTAGTTTTATGATTCAGACCCTACTGGTGCGTGTATTGGAAAGGCATCTCAACTTGCAGAGTGGCATAGTAGTCTGCAAGCACAGACGCTAATCTGACAGTTTGACAAAATAGTGTTATTCAAGTCTGAGTAGTTTTATGATTCAGACCCTACTGGTGCGTGTATTGGAAATGCACCTCAACTTATAGAGTGGCATAGTAGTATGCAAGCACAGACTGTCAAACTGTCAGATTAGCGTCTGTGCTTGCAGACTACTATACCATTCTATACAAGTTGCAATGTATTTCCATATGCACTACTGGGTCTGAATCATACAACTACACAGACTTGAATAAGCACATCGCGACACATACGCATATTGATTTGTCAAACTGGCAAATCAGAGTCTGTGTTTGAAGACTACTATGCCATCGTTTACTCGTAGAACGCGAATCGTGCACAGTACATGCGAATACATGTACATTTCGTATGGGAAGTAGCAGAGAAATCATAAGTCCACGCGCATGCGCACATGGGATTTTTGCTCTCTCGAGTACGGAAAAAAAATTCGCGGCCGGGAGATTAGAGAAACAATACACCTTTTATGAACCAATTCTAAAGGTCCCCTTAATGGTATTTACTATTTGGAAATTATTTAACGGATTAAATACTGATTGCATATAATGCTTGATAGAATCTTGGGGTTTGGGTACATTTTCTGATGCAAGTTTCACGTCAATTATAGGACAGGAAGCAATGTGTTTGGAGGTATCGTATGTTTATCATGACGCCGAGAAAATATCGATTTGGAAATTGAGAGAAAATTTCATGTACATCGTTAATTTATCCTTTGTGTTATGATGTAAATCCTACTAACATCGTTTGCCATTATGGATTATTTCGGATATGAGAGATTGTGAAAAGAGTAGAAGAAAGAATGAAGAAAACATTTTGCATGAAAAAGCGGGTGAAAATGGATGCAAAACAACTGAATCGTTTGTTCACTCGCCCCAAAGTAGTATTAGTCTGGAAACGCTTGTTGCATTATCGGCGGTATAACTTCAAGGAAACACTGATAATAAACGAAAATACCCGATGTTTGTGCAGATTCTAATTTTTCCAACACTATATAAATGTAATTATTACATATGCACAATATACACATGTTAAACTACATGTATACTTCCAAGGGAAAACATACAACAGTCTTGCAATTTGGCATGTTTTTAAAAATGAACTGTGTTTGGATAACATTTCAGATGTTATATCAAATGACCTTCAACATTATAGCCCTTGATTTTATCTTATTGTGAAGATTTCAAGAGATGAGGTGTAAGTTGAATGTATATTTCAGTTTGAATTATTTGTTGTAAAATGTAAAAGTCACTCAGCAATAGATTAAGATAAGAGTCAGTCGTTGAATGATATAATTATGTCAACAAGATAAGAGATACCGTAATTTGTTTCTCTTGAGACTTGGTGGAATGTGACAAGGGCCACGCGAGTGGAATAAATCAAGTTTAGGGTTGAACTATATTTGCGATATTTTCTTAGTCTTGCTTGCTATTATATTATTAAAAAATTTGGTCTTGCTATATATATTACTCAATCATACTCGACAGGATAATACGAAAATGATTACTTACTCGATGTCATTGCCGACAGAATAATAGGAAAATTATTATTTAACTTGATGTCATTGCCACCAGAATGATACGAAAATGATTATTTACTTCGATGTCATTGTCGACAGAATGATAAGAAAATGATTCATTAAATGATGTTATTGCCGACAGAATGATACGAAAATGATTATTTACTTCGATGTCATTGCCGACAGAATGATACGAAAATGATTATTAACTTGATGTCATTGCCGACAGAATGATACAAAAATGATTATTTACTTGATGTCATTGCCGACAGAATGATACGAAAATGATTATTTACTTTGATGTCATTGCCGACAGAATGATACGAAAATGATTATTCACTTGATGTCATTGCCGACAGAATGATACGAAAATGATTATTTACTTGATGTCATTGCCGACAGAATAATAAAAAAATGATTATTAACTTGATGTCATTGCCGACAGAATGATACGAAAATGATTATTTACTTGATGTCATTGCCGACAGAATAATAAAAAAATGATTATTAACTTGATGTCATTGCCGACAGAATGATACGAAAATGATTATTTACTTCGATGTCATTGCCGACAGGATGATACGAAAATGATTATTTACTTCGATGTCATTGCCGACAGGATGATACGAAAATGATTATTAACTTGATGTTATTGCCGACAGAATGATACGAAAATGATTATTTACTTCGATGTCATTGCCGACAGAATGATACGAAAATGATTATTAACTTGATGTCATTGACGACAGAATGATACGAAAATGATTATTTACTTGATGTCATTGCCGACAGAATAATAAAAAAATGATTATTAACTTGATGTCATTGCCGACAGAATGATACGAAAATAATTATTTACTTCGATGTCATTGCCGACAGGATGATACGAAGATGATTATTTACTTCGATGTCATTGCCGACAGGATGATACGAAAATGATTATTAACTTGATGTCATTGCCGACAGAATGATACGAAAATGATTATTTACTTGATGCTATTGCCGACAGAATGATACGAAAATGATTATTTACTTGATGTCATTGCCGACAGAATGATACGAAAATGATTATTCACTTGATGTCATCGCCGACAGAATGATACAAAAATGATTATTTACTTGATTTAATTCTTTATACATTAGCAAACGTGATTCCTAGATCTGCATGAGGCTTTATAAAATATGTCATTGTTACGTCACAATACAGCTTTCAAAGCGTGCGCGATCTTAGCTCACCACGTGCGCGCTTTTAGCTAACCGCGATTTCTCACCGTTCAGAGAAATCCGCGCGTGCGCTCTCTCTTGCTAACCGGTTGCTCACCGTATGCTCACCGTTTGCTCACCGTTTGCTCACCGTTTGCTAACCGAGACTTGGCGGTGAACAACAAAATCATGGAGATTAACCTCGGAGGCTAACCGAAGGACATTGCGCACCAAACCGTTACCGAACCGATGTGCCAAAACCTTTGAGCGGTAGTGTATTCTAAAGTTTTCTGCGGAAAGGGGGCACATCCCCCTTAACCCTTCCTCCTTTTTGGGGAATTTCTCTGTCATCCCTGAATAATTTCATTTGTATGAAAGCAAAATATTTAAGATAAACAGAATGGCGAAAATTTGAAATAAATCAGACCAATATTTAGAAAGTCATGAATATTAGATCACTAGTCTGGTCAATGGATTCAGTAGATTGTGACGTACCGGTAATCGTGGATAACTCTTTCAATTGTCATGTAAAATATATAACTTATTTCTTTTTCCCATAAGTTTCATCTCCCTTAGAGCAGTAATCAAAATATATTATACCCTCCTTTGTTAGTTATTTTGTGTCTTTTGTGTAGCTACATGTATGCCACATGTAGGGATAAATATGGTGTATTAAATTAGTATCAAATTTTATTTATTAATCTTATCTGTTTTTAAATCAGGATCAAGCAAAGATGAAATCCGGACAGCTTACAAGAAGCAGGCCCTCAAATGGCATCCTGACAAACACAAGAATTCTCCATCAGCCACACAGGTTTGTACAAATTCTGAATATTTTATATCAGTTCTACATGTACATGTACAGTGTACCGGTAGGCAGCATTTTGGAAACTCTGCTAAATTCTTGCTGGATGCAAAAGAGCCTGTAAAACCCAATATTTAAAAATCGTATTGGATAAACATGTTTTATTGGCTTGAATAGCACAGAGGCCAGGTTTATGAAATGGAAAAAGTTTCACTTTGTTGATATTATAGTATTAATGACTGCTTTGAGAGAAATAGTTGTTTTATTACGCTCAAGGGAAGGTTAGAATTGTGCTATTCCCCGAGGCTTGCCGAGGGGAATAGCCCAATTGTAACCTTCCCGAGAGCGTATGAAAACAACTATTTCTCGAATATTAAAGCAGTCATTAATACTTTTATATGCCGAAAAAAAATAGACTAAAAAATAAAAAATAAAAAATAATTTGCATTTTTGACGAAGACGGGATTCAAACTCTTGCGTACAACAAGAGGTGTATCGAAAATCAACGCTTAGACCACTCGGCTATCGTGCGGCGTTAACATGCTTGGCAGTTTTCTCCGATATATACATTAAAATGGATTGAAAACGGCTCCGCGTGAGGGATGCTTCGCAAAAGCTCCATGAAACGGACCCTTCTTTTACTTTTGCAATGCATATTGGCACGAACTTAGATCAAGATCTATCGGCAGATGTTGTTTTTTTGTTTTTGAGAGTTAATTTTCGTCTTCATGTCAACAATGCAAGATAAAATTGTCGGTAAGATCGATCGAGATTCAATTGTATTGAAATTGCCGACCAATTTTTCGCACACGTATGGTATCCTCCATCGCTCAAACCATTTTTTAACATGTAAACCTATGGGGTAACCATGGAGACTGACCTATTTTTTTAATAACCATGGTTATTAAAAATATTGAAATGTTTTATGCATGGTTACCGGGAATTTTACAGGAACAGTTGAAGTTTATGAATGCAATTCGACCAATCAGATGGCTGGATTTCTTAAGTGAGGTATATAATGAATGTTATTTCATAAAATGTGTTTTAGGTATGTACACAAATATATGCCCATGATGGTTTTGATAAACTGGCCCAACATGTCTTTGTGGACTACATGTATATAACAGCCCCCGGTACCAATGAGCACACAACAAATTGACATTACAATGTTTTACAGTGAAAACTCGTTTTGCAGAGCTCTTTTTTGTTGTTGGAATGTTCAAGTCTAGTGACAAATGTGTTTGAACTGAAAGCTCTTTTCAAGTTTTGGTTTTATTTGCACTTGAACTTGAAGAGGTCAATAAAAGTACAATTTGAATTGGGCATAATGTATTTTAGAAGCACATGGTATTGAACTATGTTTGTTTGATTAATTAGTCAGCATTTTATCAGCTGTTCCCATAGCTGTCCATGTACATGAACATCATTGTTTCTACTACCGGTACTTCTACCAGGTCTAGCAACCCTGCATTGATTTGACAATATTTTTTCTCCACTCATTTCTTTTCTTTATGAATAAACAACAATCCACATATATATATATAAGATAAGGAATGATAAGAAACCATACAAGTTATTATATCATTATCAGTATTCAGTTCGACACAGGACACGTAGCACATGATTTTGAACCACAGGAATTCGAACTACATGTACCGGTAATCATGTGTTATAATTAACTTACAAAACAGGATACAACAACAGGATACATTCATATCATGCTGCAGCATTAAAAGGGTACCAGTAATTGTATATTTCAATATTTCTATTTATCAGTACACATTTTATTCAAATTTTTCAATTATATGATAGTATGATTGTCAGTTCAATCCATATGACATATTTGATTCATCAACATTCACCAGTTTCTTGTCCTTATGTTTTTATTTCAATAGAAATTTCAGGAGATCAGCTCTGCCTACGAGAGGCTAATGAAGCCAGAACAGATTGAAATCAGTCTTACAATGGTATGTATTGCATTTCCATCCTCTACACTCTGTTCTCCTCTTACTTTTCCCTGTCCTCTCTGTAGCCACTACCCCAGTCTCAATGATGCCACCGACAACAGACCTACAACAGACTGGAGTCGGGCAAACTCCGACCCAGGGACAACTCGGCCCGTTGCGAATACGGGGCCGAGTTGTCCCTGCGTGACTAAATTTTTATGAATTTTGTTAGGGTTAGGGTTAGGTTTTAGGGATAGGGTAAGGGTAGGGTTTAGCATTAGGGTTAGAGTTAAAGTTAGGGTATGCTGGGACAACTCGGGCCCAGTATTCGCAGCGGGCCGAGTTGTCCCCCGAGTCCGAGTTAGTCCGGGGCCAACAGACTGACCAATAGACTATATTAACCTGAATGGCAGAAATTAGTCGGTTTGGAGTCGATGTGAAGTCAGTTTGTGACTTAGTCTGCTCGTCACACTTAAATAGAAGGTTGAGTACTGTGAGGAGGTGTAAAATAATTTGTGAGCGTTATCATTGTATTATGCAAGTGTGGAAGAACATCAGATACAAAATGTACCCTAAAAACGCATGGCTCTTCAAATGCCTTGATATTCTAACTATGGCATGTAACATTATATATATCAGGACGGATTTTTATGCCACATGTTCGTGTAGTCCCATATCCATCTTTCTGTGTACAGTACTTGTAACTTTACCAAGCCTGGACCAAATTTCTTATAATTTTGAGGATTTCAGAACCTTGTGGTACACACTAATACTTATGATCAACCCTTCTACAACATTTCTTTCACAATGCAATCGCATGACCACAACTCAACTTTATCTTTAAAGGATACGTACACAGCAATACTTTGAAAATATATATGTATATTCCAAACAAAACATCATTTTTCTGAAAGTCATGCTTGAAGTCCAACAATCGTTTACTTTATGTATAGGCATATATCCACAACCTCGGACTTTGAACCTTGTATTCACCTGTGTTTTGTGTACACAAAAGAATTTGCTTGGCACTTTGCCGGCGATATCCTCATGCTAGGCTGTCTATAAAGCATAATTTCATAGTCATATAATAGCATATGTAATCGTACATAGAGTCACTGTTCCTACGTACGTCATATATATAATGTACATGTATCTGTGGATCGATGTTGATAAAAGGTTTGTTGGTGCGTGACTGCTTGCTGTGCAATGAAAGGTATCTAGGGGAGGAAAATGAATGATTCCAGTCCCTTTAATTCAAACGCTGGGCATTACTTCACAAACATGTCATTATGAGCGCAATTTTGCCAACATTCCCATCGTAACATGTGTATTACAATTAAAACGCCCTTTAATGGAATGTTGAATCTCTTTTTCTGATGGTCCCAGTTATTTTCTTCCTATTGTTGTACTCTGTAGAGGTACATGCTTGCAACTGGAATGCTGAATTGTTACAAATGAAATCATAATATACCGGTATGCAAGTGTTTGATCTTAATGTACGTAGGACACGGGGGGGGGGGGGGGGGGGTTGAACTCGGACAAGTCAAATTATTTTCAAGTCAAAGTATTGCCCACATGAATTGTCAGACAAAATAAACATGTGAATAAATGCAAATCTTAAATTATTTCATCTGATTGAAATGAAGTTCACTACCAATTTGTAAACTACCCGGTAATGAGAATATGACAACAAATGAACAATTTAAAAAAATAAAAAATAATTTCCTTTTTTGGGGGGAGGCAAATCTCATGTATTTTGTTTTTACTACATGGGTAATTCCATAATTAGGGTCCACTTTGTGACATTTTTGGTGTCCCTGTTACATTATAAGGAACCCACACATTTTGTGGCTCTGAGTAAAGACTTAAATAGTGGAGAGAGATTGCAAAGTGATTTCCAAGCATAATATTGCATCCTCATACCTAGAACCACTCAACAATCATACTCCACTATTTAAGTCTTTACTCAGAGCCACAAATATGTGTGGGTTCCTTATGTATCGGGGAAACCAAAAATGTCACAAAGTGGGTCACTCATTTATGGAATTACCAACATGTAAGTCATCTTTAAACTTTGGCACATACATTAGGTATTGCAGTGCATGTACATGTATTTGCTGGTGTGTAGGGTAATGACCCTCTGCTTTATGCTCTTTGGTTTTTGAATGAGATAATATGTTTGTTTTTTTCTACTTCTCATAACAAGGGCACTTTTTCAATAGGCCTGTCGTCATCAGCTCGAGTTTGCCAAATAACCCGCTATTTTAACTATCCCTTCTTCATCACTTCGCTGGTGCAATTAGCGGGACATTTGGTCGAGAAAATATCCCAAGAAATCTTGGTCTTGTTTAAAAAATATCCTGTTAAGTGGTGGGGTTAATTTGCGCCCCCGTCAGAGCTAGTTTCAGATGAGCGTATTGGTCTGGTGAAGACGCAATTTCGAGCTTCGGGATAATTTCTTGAGACTGAAAATAGCGGGTTATTTGGCAAACTCAAGCTTATGAAGACAGGCCTCTTGATCAAATTGGAGATAGTGAAGAACTAAAGATGATTAAAGGCAGATGATAAAAGAAATTGACAAATGGAATAATACACATTCATGTACCGGTATACATGTTTAAACTGACAATGAAAAGGCTACATGTGGGCTACATGTTACATGTACACACATGTACATGTATACACATGTATTTTTATCAGTTGCCCATACATGTATAATCTTCATGGACAAAATTCTGTGACGATTTAAAGTATCAAAACAGAAATGATTCCAATTCCATGGTTTTTATTATGTACCTGCACTTGTACCGCATTTGGAGTAGCCTATTGTAAATGTGCAGTGTGTGTTACAGGATTCAAAGCCTGCAAGCATTTTAGTGTTTTATGCTTGAATATTGATATCATCGTTTCCCCAGCACGTTTTTGTGAATCTTCATTACTATACATGTACATGTTTGTTTAACTTAAAGAGAAGGTTGAGTTCTGGGAAGAGGTGGAAAATAATTTGTGAGCGTTACTCATTCTTATTATGCAAGTGTGGAAGAACATCAGATGAGACATGTTCCCTGAAAAGCATGGCTCTTCAAATGCCTTCATATTCTAAATATGCATGTAACATCGTAAAAATCGGGGGGGGGGGGGGCGGCTTTTTACGCCACGTGTTCGTGTAGTCCCATATACACCTTTCTGTGTACAGTGTTTGTAACTTTACCAAGACTTGACCAAATTTCTTATCATTTTTGATGATTCCAGAACCTTGCAATACACACAAATTCTTATATGCTAGATGATCAACCTTTTATGATTGATTCCACACCGTTTCTTTCACAATGCAATTGCATGACCAGTACTCAACTTCATCTTTAAAGAGAAGACAAGAATACATTTGTACATGTGAGAAAATCTCATATCCTGTTTATCGGTTTCACATTGGTTGGCACACCAACTTCAATAGTGTTGGTAGGAAGCATGGTTCGTTTGTGATAATAAGGGAAAGCCCAGTTGGTATTGCGCAATAATAAGGCATTCATATAAGTACAATGCTGTTGAAACCGCCCTACCTTGTAATACAATACAATTTGAATAAGAAATCAATAGAAGTACAATGTACATGTTATAACCAACCTGTGTCGTTTACATGTACATACAGGTACATGTATATGTACATTGTATATCATGCAGCCAGCTTAGATTGCAATTAGTACATGTACATGTACACGTCTCTATTGAGTAGTTGAATAATTCACATGTACATGTACATTGTAGATATATCATTGTGTAGAAGTAATAAACTTAATATTAGATTTACATTAGATGCAACAATCATGTGGACCCCTTTAACTGTTGAATGTGACCTTTATTCAGATTTCAGATTTCAGAATGTAAAATTTATGTACAAGTGATCGGTGATCTATGTCAAATGTGCTGGGACATTTGTTTGTTCAACAAAAGAAGTGTTGAAGGGTATGATGTAAATGTACATGTACATGCGAAAACTTTAAAGATTCACATTTTACGGAATCCCCCCATTAGAATCACAGAAAGTTTCAACACAAGAATACAGCGTTTAACGTATGGTTATTGAAATTTCACATGTTCTTCTTACATGTACAGGGACAATTCACCTCTCCCCCCCCCCCCCCCAAAAAAAAAAATCTCAGTGGAGAGGCGAATTATTCAAAATTACATGCAGCATTAAACAAAAATGATTACAAAAGAGTAATTCACTTTGAATGTCTGTGTCTTATACTGTATATATCACAGGGCTCAGTGAATATGTGCAAGTAATTTGGTGCATGCCGTTGCCATTCATTTTACTCATTAAAAAAATTCCAGTGTTTTTTATGGCGTTTTTACCATGCCAATATATCTGAACCAGCCTTAAAGAATTATTTTAAAGAATAATGTTTTCACTGCATTTTGAGCATTTTGTGCTATGTGACCATGACGGGTGTGTTTAGGAGATCAGCATCAAAGTGTGGTTGAAAATATAATTTAAAGATGTTTATTATGAAGTTAATATTTACATGTAGATAATTTAATCAGGTTACTTGTATACATGTCATGTGTGAGTACATGTAATTGTTTCAACTGTCAGCTACGCCTGGCAATGTATAAAATCATTAAATCCCATAATGAATAGTATTCTATATAATCTGTAAATGTCTTTTCCCCAATGCTATACATGATAATTAACCAATGTTTAAATATTCTCTCCCCCTCCCCTCTCTCTCTCTCCCCCCCCCCCCCTCCCCTCTCTCTCTCTCCCCTCCCTCCCTCCCTCTCTCTCTCTCTCTCTCTCTCTCTCTCTCTATCTCTTGTCAATACAGGAACAGATGTTTGATTTGTTTGCACATGTCTTTTGTGGAAATAGAGGTATGTATACACTCGTAGATACATGTACAGTGCTAACTGTTCACAATGTGTACTTCATGTGTTGTAGCTGTACGATTTATACTCTTTTCTCCATACTAGAAAAACAAAAGTTCATATGTAAAAAATCTTTTATAACTCCAAAGTATTTGTATTTACGATTATATTCCTTTCAAATTTTCACAGTGTAAAACTGAATATCAACTCATTAGCAATTGGGTTTCTGAAAAGTTGCCCCAAACAGATCCTGTATGTCATAAATGTTTAATATGGTCTTTGAGAGTGTATCTCAAATTGTACAATTAACATGTACATGTAAATGGTAATAGCAAAAGTACTACAGTGAAGCCAGTTTATAAACTGAAACTGTAAAGACTGCTCAAAAGAGACCAAAAAGCAGTTTTTTATAAGCAGAATGTCTTTATGATGGGTTGTGTTGGTGAGAAACTTTGTTCAAGGGAAATATCAAAATAGTCCCTATGGACAGGTGGTCTTTCTATACAGGGTGTTGCTTAGTCAGGTTTGACTAATGATCCATTGAAATGTTGTGAAAGCTGCAAATATGCTTTTAAAGCCACACTGTACCAGGGGCCCATTTCATAAAACATTTATAACAAATGCTAAATTGCTATGACGATTTTTACTCTCAGCCAATTAAATGCCATGATTTCAGTAGCTTGTAACTACCGCAAAATCCCCTCTGGCACTATCTCAGGTCAGCTGCACCAGTACGCTTCCCTAGCTGCACTGTTGAGCCCTCTGTCTGTGACGTGGGATTTAGGTTTTGGTTAAATGCACTTTAGTGTTGGCAAGTTGATCATGAGATGGCGCTGTGCACTGAGCAGTACACCAGGGCAGAAAGTTTCATCTGTTCAGTATCGCTCTAAGTTGAACAAATTAACTCTTCTTTTTTTAGGTGCAGGTTTCTCCAACGGCTTTGGGTATAATTTGGGTGATTCAGACAGTGATAGCAGCAGTGACTTTAACTTCAAACCTGATGCTTTTAGAGAAAAGTCAAGCAGAGAAAAAGGTTTGTATTTCAATGCCATTCATGATCATATTGACAGCCCAGAACCAGAAGGATGTTGAGTCGTTTCTCTTAAAGGCATCGTTTAACAATGCCAAATCTGAGATGCATGGCCCTACGTGTTATCAGTCTCTGTGATATGGTGTAATACTGTAGCCCTAAAAAAACTGTGCTTCAAAATATCATGAAGTGCCTCAAAAAAGCAAAAATCTTTTAGTAACTGGTTTATAGACTGTAGTGTTACAAGAAAACGTTAGTATATGAAAACAAAAAATGAAATTTTGATGCAAACACCCTTCTGGTTCACAGCAGAAGGTTGTAGATATCCAATCTTGACATACTATACTAAAAGAAAATATTGGAATGTAGAGGTAAAGGTTTGAAATCATCTGTTTGGAGCCAGCATGGAGTTAACTCCGAGTTAAAGTAAACTGAAATGAAATTGACAAAATTTCAATTTTTTTTTTATTGATTTTTGTTTGTTGAATGGTATGTGACGTGGTTCCTTTCTGGAGTGTAAGCAGAAACATGAAAAATTTGACTGTATTTTTATTTTCATTTTGTTATATTTCTAAAGTAAATTATTTATATTACTTTTAAAAGTACTTTGTAAGAATTTGTTTTGGGATTCAGACCAGCTGTACCTCCTTGAACTTGCATACTGCTATTTTGGAAAGCATGCATTTAGCTTCCCTGTAATAATGAATTTATAGAGTTTTTCCTTCTGTCTGCTTTATAATTATGATTTCCTTGATCATCTTTCTTTGTTACAGATGTCCCAAGTTCGTCAAGACCAACAGTTAGCGTAAGTTTTAAAATCTGTCATATTATTTGCATACATGTGTAATGTCCTATATAATTTACTATCATGGCAATTAATGACTTAATGAATGTAAGTTTTAAAATAACAAATAAAAAGATGAAAGGGAATAGGAAAGTCCCAAGAAGGAGAATAAAAATAAAGGGTAACAGGTGAGGAGAAGGGGGTGTACAATATATATATATATATATATACATAGAGAGAGAGAGAGAGAGAGAGATTAAGAAATAGAGAGAAAGAAACATACATGTACCTGAGCAAGATATTGAGAAAAAGGCAGGGAGAGATATGTCCATGTGGTGAGGTACATGTATAAGTAGAGACTGAAATGTAAATGTATAAATAAGAGATAAAAAGTAAGGAATTAATGATAAGAAAGATAAAAAGAAATATGGAAATAGAGATATCACATGTGTATGCAGAGTGTACATTTATGAGCATGTATTAAACTCAATATAGGGAAAGGCTAGTAATGTGAGAAATTCACACCTGTTGCTTGTGAATTGTCAATATAGTATTGTTCATTACGTCACTCGCATGAATTCATTCCCAGGGCAATCAATCATTTATGTATGTCATAGAAACAGGTGTGTACAGTTTTGGAAATACAAAAAAATAAAACCCTTGTCAAAGATTTGTTGTTGCAGTGGAACAGAATAATAATGGAAACACAATAGATTGTAGTGTGTTCTGGTGGCCCATTAGAACATTTGATTTCACGTTGTATCGGGAACAGAACTGAAACAGAACTGAAACATACAGTATGTTAAAGTTGTTGAAAACAAATTGGTCAAATCACCTTTTTTACCACTTGAAATGTTAAATATTATTATTTGCAACAATATTATCACATCATTATTATTGATTCGTACCATCAAGCCCCCTCATTTATATCTCTGGTAATTTCTTATTCAAATGTAGGAAGCAAAAAGGCACGAGGAGGAGTTACTAAAAGAGGAGGAGAAACTGAAAAAACAGAAAGAGAAGCGAAGAGAACGTAAGAAAAGAAGGAAAGCCAAGAAGAAGCAGGAGAAGGAGGTGCGATACGGCGGTGGCGATAGCAAGAAGAAAGGAAAGAAAGAGGTTGTACCTGAATCGTCAGATGAAGAGGAGGAAGAGGAAGAGGAGGAAGAAGAAGAGATAATTGTGAATAAACAAAATATACAAGTAAGTACTACCGCTAGGATACTTTTTGTAGGCAATTATTCCTGATACCTTTTTGGAACTTCCTTCTGCTTAGAATTTTACTCGGTAATCAATTGTCATGAATGCTGATCAATGTTTCAATGAAACTTTAATTGAATTTATTCATTCCTGGTTAAACTGTCATCAGGCAAAAACGATAGTTTCAGGAAGTCTGCGTGATTAGCATTAACAAAATCTGATTGAAGTATTTAAAAAAAAAAACAGAATGATAACATTTTTTTTTTAATGAATGAAATAAACAACATGGAATGAATAAGATAACCATGGAAATAAAGTAATGAATCTATGGGTAGGCAACGCAGTTATATGAATCAGAAGGATTGGGAGAAATTGAAATGGAAGAGAAAAGGAAAGAGGAAGGAAAGGAGAGAAATAGAAAAAGGGGAAAATCTGAGTAACTGAAGAGATAATTAGAAAGGGATAACTGGAAAGAGAGAGAGAAGAGAAAAGAAGAGAGAGAGAGAGAGAGCGAGAAGGGTGGAGATGTAAAGAGAGCGAGGAGATTTGTCATCCACCATATATTTCAAAATTGTGGTTTTCCATTTTAGTTAAATGCACCAATTGTTGGCTCCACACCTTTTTAACTCCTTTCTCTTTGCTGAATAGATTGATACAATAGAGGATTGAACCTAAATGGAGGTTTATAACATCCCTGGTAGTCCATTCAAATAGCTTTAACACAAATATACAATAGCCCAACGTGCATCATTTACCACGGGATTGCGCACAACACTTTAAACTGTACAGAAATGTAGACAAATAAATCATTGTGTTATTGTAAAATAGTTGAATAGGGATATATCAGAGGTCAACTCTCATTCTACAATGAATAGCAATTTGAGCAAGAGAGAAATGTGCTTGATGTGAAAGCCCCCATTGTATTGCCCCATTGAACCCACCACTAAATGCATGAGGTCAAAGGTCAATTCTCATTCTACCATGAATAGCGATTTGAGAAATGTGCTTGATGTGAAAGCCCCCATTGTATTGCCCATTGAACCAGCCACTCTAGAGGCATGGGGTCAAAGGTCGAATCTAATGTTATCATGAAAAGCAATCAAGGTTGTCTAAAGATTGCATTCGTCATCCTGATCTTGTATACACATCAGTGATTCCCCATTTAGCAGACGGCCTCAATGCAACCCTCTATTTCTGTATGGCCATGTACAGTAGAGTTTCCCTCCTGAGTGAGCTACATGTACATAGCATATCCTGTCGTTGTTGAGATCTACTGAACTCGATCTTGTTACACTGCAGCTCGGCAGGTAGACTTCTCCGTGGCCAACAAAGCCATAATCATATGTACAAATACGTGCCTTTCTGGCTTTTATCCTTCATAGAATTGGCATGATTCTCCTTCGTCTGATACGCCTATTGTTAATGCCTATGTTGTGGAAGTTTGCTGTGTTCGTAAGCCATGTTGTGGACGGATGCGTGTTTGTCGATGAGCGGCGTGTCCTGCCAATACTATGGCACTCACATCCTTGACAGTGTTCTCGCCTACGTGATAATGTTCATCATATTTGTTGTGTCTTGTGCTGTGGTGTTTAATAATATTTGGCGAGCAGATAAGCAGGTTGGTTGTTGACAGACATGTATAACATGAGGCACTCATAAACTTTTTATCTCATTTTATGCATCCATTATTCATTGATTTGTGTTCAGCAAACCCTGATTGCTAACTGCATACCATTCAACCTGTAACCACTATTCCTTTCAAATAATTGATTTTATTCTATTTTTAGTTTTGTTTCCAGTTAAACTCATTTGTATTTCTGTTATCTTTTATATACATGTAGGACTATGATCGGTGGAGATTTGAACTTTACCTGTCAACAGCTATACCGTTAAAGTAGCTGATGCACTCAAAACACTTTAATCTCTTGATTTATGATCTGAGGTTTTATTGCACAAACATTCCTGGGGGGGGGGGGGGTTCAGAAAACTTGTCATCAGTGACAAATTACAGTTTTTGTTATAAGCTACTGAAATCCTTGCTTCTGATTGGTTATCAGCAGATTTGTCACTGATTTCTGTCATTTGTTATTGAAAAAAGGCTTTGTGAAACTGGTCCCTGGTCCGAATCATATTGCATGTGATAAACATCTTGTGCCAAAGACTGTTATACTCCAATCTACCAACGTCATTCTTTTGTCTTATGTACAGGCCGATGCTTTAAATGAAGATTCAACGGCGAACTCCAGTGACGACAAGTCTTCCAAGGCCAAAGCCGTCAATGGCAACAAACCGGCCGACCATTCCCAGACCGATATAAACTCACACTTTGAAACCGATTCGAACCATCGAAAGGAGGTCCACGATGGACATCAGCAAGCAGCGGGAGGAGGAGGAGGAGGGAGAGAAGGAGGAGTAGGGAAAGGAGGAGGGGGAGATGGAGTGAAGCAGCCAGAAGGAAGGAAAACACAAACAAAGAAATCAGGAGGGCACCGCATTGTACTTCATCCAGGGTAGGTACCGAGTTGATGGTCGGTCTCATAGACACGTCATTTCCAATCCTCTCTCATTTTACATGTGTATGCAGTTATATGTTAGGGTTAAGGGGAGGGTCACATGTATTCAATATTAGAGGAAGCCCTTTAAAGTGGAAAATAAAAAGATTGTTTGCCAGAGATGAAACATCTTATATTTGGCAAGAGTTCCAAATGTACCCCCCACTAAACTTGAAGAAAAAAATATAGATATGTTTCAGAGTAAAACTACGGTTAGGGTAAGGGTTACGGTTAGACAATGAGACACAGAATGAAAGATAGAAAGAAAATAAAATGTTTTCGTTTTTATTTAGCAGGGGGGGGGTTCATATGGAATCTTTCCGATGATTTTTAGGTTCAGTTTAGGATTAGGAATGTGGTGAGGTATAGTGTTTTGTCCATGGTTGAAGTATATTTTTAGCACAAGATATTGACCATTGAACAGTTGTAGTAAGAGCATGCTGTTCCCATGATTAATTGTCTTGGGGTGGTGATTTAGGGGATGTTTTGACAGTTTGGAAGTGATCACATTGTGCTGGGACTAATGCCCTAGGAATAAATGTTAAAACGGCTTGCCATAAATACGCAGCAATACGCAAAGGTGTGACTAAAGCATAAGGTACATTTTTTCACTACAAAGTCGATATGAGAGACATTTTGAACTGCTCTGAGAGAGGTTAACCAATCTCCAAATTGTCATTGCATCCTTCCTCTTATTCGCCAATTGTTATTACTTTGTTATTACCTTGCACATCCTTCATCTTGTAATTTCTTCCTGTTCTCTTTTTTATCTTCTCACCTCAGGATGTCCGATTCGGAAAGTGACGAAGAGACCCAAGGGTTGGACATGAATAGTGCCTTTTTTGCCCGAGCTGCCAGTGGCATAGCCAAAAAGCAGACCCCTCCCCCTGCTGTCAAGACCAAAAAGAAAGGCAAAGGGAGAAAAGAAGAGTCTGAATCAGTAAGTTAAAGTGGGCTGTATGCCTTTAGCCTGTATTCACAAGTAGACTCAGTTTTATAAGCAAGGCTTAAAGGTAAAGACCAGTAATGGTCATGCGATTTCATTGTGAAAGAAACATTGTGGAATCAATCAGAAAAGGTTGATCATCCAGCATATAAGTATTGGTGTGTACTGCAAGGTTCTGGAGTCATCAAAATGATAAGAAATTTGACCCAGTCTTGGTAAAGTTACAAGCACTGTACACAGAAAGATGTATATGGGACTACGCGATATCTATCCTGGCCGAATCGATATGATAAATTACCAAAAATATCAATTAGTAGGCGGTTTCCCGGCAAAATTTGTATCATCATGTTGTAGTCAAAACATTCTTTCACATGATTGGTAATGAGAGCTTCCATTTCATTTGTTGAGAGGGGGGCGTTTCCAAAACTGGTCTATACCTTTAAATGCATCCCCTGTATATGGAGTGTCATCCTCTATTCTGTACAAATTGCTGTAATTCTCTATTACCAAATGATTACACAAAATAAAGGGCACAGGATAGGATATTGGAAAAGTGATTTCAAGACATATTCCATATCCTGTACATTTCTTGTCAGTTAATTTTAAACCAGGACATTACATTTTTCGTAATACTCGTCTTTGCTCTTTTTGTCTTTACAGATAGAGGATATGGATCCAAAAATTCTAGAGAGCAGAAAAGCAGCAGGTTTGTGCCCTTTTTCCTACATTCCTGCTTGTTTTTCACATATCTGACTGTAGGACATTAGTATCTATTTGTTGTATTCTTTTATTATGAGTGATTCTTGAACCTGTTGCAGTACAGTGTCTCCTTTTAGTGACATTTTTGCAATGTATTTGATCCAGAATGCTAGGAATTATACGTAAGCAGAAAGAGCAACAATTATAGAAAATTCTGAGACTATTTCCAATCTCATTTTTTTGCCATTCCCAGTTGAGAACAATTTAATTGTAACTAATCATTAAGTTCCTAAATTTGCAATGCAGAGTAAAATACAAATTCACTAATTTTGTGTACAGATTGGCATTCTGGGGGTTAAACTTTTCAAAGTGGAAAAAAGGATTAATTGTTGCCTATTTAGAGAAGGAAAACCAATCAATTCAGAGAATAATAAAATTATGGCTTTAAAAAAAACATGGATGGTTTATAAGTAGGGATAATGGACTTGAAACATCAGTCAGAGTGTTGTAAATTGTAAAGAAATCATTACGTAGACCTATTCTAATTGAATAAATATTTTTGCAGAAAAGTTTAGCAACATTTTTGCCCATTTCAATATTGGTTATGTAAAATTTCTCTAATTTATCATTTCCTTTCAATTGTTGGAACAATTTCACAAGATATTCAGAGGGAAGTTCTTTTTAGTGTTCCATATAAATAACTTTTTATGCCTCCGCCACCGAAGGTGGTGCCGGAGGCATCATGTTTTCGGGTTGTCCGTCCGTACGTCCGTTTGTCCGGCCCGTTTGACCGTTATCACAATATCTCAAGAACCATTTAAGATGTAAACTTAAGACTCAGGAATAGTATTTATCACCATAGGAAGACGATCTGATTAGATTTTGGAGTACGTAGGTCAAAGGTCACAGGTCACAGAGGTCAACTTATGAAATTCCTTGTATTGAGCTTGTTAGCGCGATATCTCAAGAACCATTTGAGATTTAAACTTCAAACTTAAGGATAGTATGTATCACCATAGGAAGACGATCTGATTAGATTTTGGAGCACGTATGTCAAAGGTCAAGGGTCACAGAGGTCAACTTATGAAATTCCATACATTGAGATTGTTATCATGATATCTCAAGAACCACTGGAGATTTAAACTTCAAACTTAGTGATAGTGTGTATCACTATAGGAAAACAATCTGATTAGATTTTGGAGCACGTAGATCAAAGGTCAAGGGTCACAGAGGTCAACTTATGAAATTCCATACATTGAGATTGTTATCATGATATCTCAAGAACCACTGGAAATTTAAACTCCAAACTTGTTTAAATTGCTCTATGGCGGAGGCATCATTTTCGACTGCGCGCAGTCAAAATTCCATCTAGTTATATATGAATATATATATTTTTTAAAAACTTCATGTTGATTCTCTCCACAATTTTTTTCTCACACAGTAAAAGGCAATGAGATGGCAAGCGAGGGAAACTACCACGAAGCCATCAAATTTTTCTCAAACGCAATAGGGCTAAATCCTATGGATTTCAGGTAAGATCTGTTCTACTCCCATTTACTACCCATCTACGTGACCTGTGTGGAGAGTGGCAAATGTAGATGAATGTCTTGCCAAAGGACGTAGAGTGCAGAGGTTGGGATTCGAACCCAGTAACTTGTGTTCCACAGTCTGTAGACACATGTTTGCCAAGAATCCATGTCTGAACCCCCAAAATGTTGACATTTCAACACAGGGCTCATGCATACAGCTGTAAATGTTAGTGTGGAGCCCTGCATATCCACTAGACCACAGCAGTACTGAAGAGTATCCCACACTTTTTAATGTGCACAAAACAGTTTTTGTAAAAGGTATTGGGTATCTTTGCCTAAGGTTCTAAACAAAATCCTGGATTTAGCTCATGCTGCAATGATAATTATTAACCTTTAGGTCAGTCAGGAATCCCATGACTTTTACAAGCCGATCGCGTGTCTGATTATCAAGATATTTATGATTGTAGGATCGCATATGCTTCCAATATGTTTCTTTTGAACCAAATGCATGACCCCATACCAAAACTTTGTATTACCTTTAATGTGCACAAAACAATTTTTGTAAAAGGAATTGGGTATCTTTGCCTCAGATTTTAAACAAAACCCTTGATTTAGCTCATACTGCAATGATAATTATAAACCTTTAAGTCAGTCAGGAATCCCATGATGCTTACAAGCCGATTTATCAAGATATTTATGATTGGAAATTGAAAATTCACAATCCATTTTCCCAACAGGCTTTAAAACACTACAGTCTATTGAGGGAAATGAGTATGGTAAAACCGGTCACTCAAAGATTAAAATTTTTTTGAGGTACTTCATGATCATTTTGAAGCGCAATTTTTGTAGGCTTCAATATTAAACACTGATAACACGTAGGGCCATGCATCTCAAATTTTTAAAACTGGAAACATTGTTAAACTATGCCTTTAAAGTATGATGAAGACTGAAATATGTGTTTTTTCTCTTCTCCAGGTTCTTTGGAAATCGCTCTTTTTGTTACGATCATTTACAAATGTATGACCAGTAAGTATCATCCACCTTCTTAAATCCTCATTTCTAGAACTAAGAAATACCTACAATTGATATTTTAATATTTAATCTCGCAACCCTGACCTCTACAAAGACAGTTATGTGGGTGATGTCACAGTTGGGGGTGGGTGGATATTAATGCCCCCTCCCCTGCTTTATGATGTTAGCTAGTAGGGGGCAAACAGATTGATCATCTCTTGACGAGTGCACCTATGAAGTTTTATACCTCTACTTCAGAGGGGTGGGGGGGGGGGTGGGGGATGGGGGGAGGTGGAATTATCATTACAAGTTGATTGTTCTTATAATAAGGCAGAGATGCCAACCCTCCCGATGAAATAATTCACCCTAACTCCTGACCTTACGATCACCATCCTTATCCTCCCGATTTGGCGCTTATCAGTATATATATCTGTGAAATGAATGAGAAATATCGTCTGTTAACTTTAGCATGTAGTAATTCCACTATGTTAAAAGACAAATTAAGAGTGGCGAAAGATTGTTTCAGCATATGGTTCTCCATAACCAATGCGTGGATATTGACACAGAATTCAAATGGCGGAAAATCAGCAAAAGAAGACCAAGATATGGTCTCAGAAGTAAAAGACCGAATACATTATCAAGTACCCATGTATTCGGAAGTCTGAAAGGAATTCATCATGCATTTTGTACAATATGTATGTTATTTTTAAAAAAAAGTGGGAATTATTCAACTAAATACACATGTAAAATGTTGCAAAATAAGGCTCAGATTACACCAGAGAGCATCTAGAACCCCAGAGCTTCCAGCGCTCGAAGATGTGCGCTATACGCACAATATTTAGTGTCGGTTACAAATCCTCCCTATTTCTGTTTTTCAAAAGTTGGCATCTCTGATAAGGTGTAGCAGTTCTTTATTGTCTGCAAGTCATGTATATTTGGTGAAATTCCTCTTTGGGCTAGGAGCACTGCAGTTAGTTCATCTGCTGGGTGGGAAAATCTTATCTTTAAAAATTAATTTGATATCAAGAGATGATTGATAATTAAGGCTTTGAATTTACAGTAGCTCTTTGAACATATACAGTCAAACCTGCTTTAGTGACCACCTGTCTACAAAGACCACCTGTCTATAGAGACCACACTTTTTGTTTTCCTTGGAAATTGTTTCTCATTGAAACATGTACTATAGGCACCTGTGTACAAAGACCACCTGCCTATAAAGACCACTTTCCTTGTCTCCTTTTGGTGGTCTTTATAGACAGGTTTCACTTTATTAGTGAAAGCATGGGATGGAGATTCTTGTGCTTTTAATATAACAGACACCACATCTTATTCACATATCCTTGTTAACCCTTTTCTTCACACAGTGCAAAACGCGATGCAGATAAAGCAATCGATCTGGACAGGACATGGCCAAAGGGTCACTACCGAAAAGGCCGTGCTTTGAGTGGTCTAAAAGTAAGTCACAGACAGTTGTTTTCTTCCGTAACCCTTATACTTCACTCGATTCGCGTTAAAATCATATGCAAAGTGATTACCTTATCATATTTTATTTTGGTTTTCTGTTGTTGTAATTACATGAATGCTTGAGTTGATTTTTAACCCTTTGTGTAGTGTAACTGGGTGTTTCCACTCCTTGGGGAATGGAGAACAAGAGAATTTCAGTAGCCGTGAGCTAGTCCAATATGGATTTTTCTTCTTGAACATGATAGGTTAATTGGTTTCATGAGAGAGATAACTTGACAATATTTTGAAAATGGAGGACAATATTCATATTATTTCATCACGAAACTGGGAGATGACATGACGTGGAATCATCTTATGTTACTTTTATATTGATCACTATGAAGGATGGACACACCACAACAAAATGGTAATTGGAAGTGTGTAATTATTTTAAATTTTCTTTTGCAGCTTAACTTCTTTATTGAAATTAAAGATATGAACATGTTGGAAATCGGAGAAGTTATCAATAAAAATGTCTAACGATCTTGTTATTTTTGTGTTTTTTTTTCCTTCAGCTTTATTCAGATGCAGAGGCAGCCTTTGAGCATGTCTTGAAACTTGATAAAAACTGTGCTGAAGCGGTCCAAGAGCTAAGAACGGTCAGGGTCTATCGGCTTATGGTAAGTTTTCATTCATGTTGATCGGGTGAGGATGCCAAGAAAGGCTGTCTTGCACACGTCTTGGAAACTGTCTAAATAAAAAATTAATAACAAATTTGTTTAAGCGTCCAAGAGCTAAGGACAGTCAGGGTCTATCAGCTTGTGGTGAACAATCAATAACACTTTAATGGATACTTTATATATGTGACTAGGGATGGGGTTACAAAGGAAAACTGATAAAACAACTATAAAGAGATAAAGGGCCAAAAGCCTTTCCAAAATCTTGTTAATAACTTTTGATTACTGTATTGATATCTTGGCTGGATAGGGGCATCTGAGAAAGAAGTTTTGATAAGTCTTGATAATAATGTTCTAAAATTGTACAATCGTCATCATTGTCCGATAGGTCATGGCTGACCCGTTGTGACCCATGTGATGAGACCTTTCCTTCGGCATCTATTTTCTGCAGTCCAGTAGAGTGAATATCCCTAAGACCGTCACTCGATCTTAGCTTGGGCCTCCCGTTTCTGCGTGTTCCTTCAAATGTACCTTAAATGATAATTTGTTCAAAGTTGTCTCTTAAACTGCTATTGTTACCAAAATATTGCAGCTTGTACTTATCAATCCTGGTAGCAAGTGGCGGTTGATCTCCGATGTGTTCATTGGTGATGTGATCTTTCCATGATATCCCAAGTAGCTTCTTCCAACACAACATTTAAAAGGCTGATATTGCTCATCTGTCTGCCTTTCCTATTAATGCCCATGTGATGTTTCACAGCCATAGAGTGCAACTGGGAAAACCAATGCCTTCATTACACGGATCGGGTGATGTTCCTGTCCTTCCAGATATTTCAACAGCGTTGAGGCCGATGTTTTAGCCATGGCCAGTTGTCTCTTGATATCTACCGATTGTACTATAGTTCTCATGAAATGCTGTACTTGAATATCTTCCCTTGTTCCCCTTGACTTGCAGGAAATGGGATTCGGTGCGCAACAAAGCGAAGCAGCTATCTTGCAGTTTGATACAGTTCCAGCCGCTCTAGAAAACCTGCTAGCACAAGGGGACCTACCGGGTGTCAACGGGGAAATGGAAGAAGTTTACGTCTCTGACGAAGAGGATTACATAACCCAAACCATTCAAGAGAGCAAGCTAGAGTAAGTGGTTCTTTGAAGAAAAAAAATATCCACTGTACAATAAAAGTATTAAGGCGTCTTCAGAGAGACAGAATGGTGACTAGGGGGCATTTCACAAAGCCAATTTTCAATGATATAAAAAAAAAATCAGCGACAAATCTGCTGATAACCAATCAGAAGCAAGGATTTCAGTAGCGTACAACAAAAACTGTCATTTGTCACTGATGAAAAGTTTTGTGAAACACCCTCAGCACAGAGTCAAGCCTCTCACTCTCTCATCTTTATTCACTTTCCATGTTTCAATAGGTATTTCTTCTGACCATCGGGTTATTCAATAAAAGTATTCCCTTTTAAAATATGAATATTTTCATAGAGCAAAAAGATGGAGTTTGTTTGAAAAGTGAAAATTTTGAATGAAGCGATCACCTTATGAATGAGTATCACTAGAACATCAGTCGTGTCTAGTATGTCAAACAAAACATTTGTACAGTCAAACCTGCTTTAGTGACCACCTGTCTACAAAGGCCACATTTGTTGTTTCCCTTGAAAATGGTTTCTCATTGAATCATGGGCTAAAGGAACCTGTCTACAAAGACCACTTGTTTACAAAGGCCTCTTTTTGTGTTTCCTTGAGTGGTCGCTACAGACAGGTTTGACTGTATAAGATATATGATGGTGATGAAACTTTACCATTGCAAACCAATTTCCAGAAGAGTAAAAAGTTAGTTTACCATGAAATTCAATTTTCTCCTTTCCAAATGTCATGCTAGAACCTTTCCTTAATTCTAATTCTTGAGAATATGACTCGTGCATGGATTTATTCAGAGTAGAATCTTGGTTAACCAGTTTTTCGATTTTTCCTTCAAACTTCAGCTACAGCAATCCTGAAAACTTGAAGTCCTTGTGGATAGGTAATCTACAGCCCACAGTTACCGAAAAGGAATTAAAGGACCTTTTTAAACCGTGAGTATACAATGTATTTTGCAAACTGAAGGCTAATACTATTTTAACAAAGCGACTTAAAACAAGATATTGGGCCTATATTTTGCAAATATGTTGTTCTATCCCATATCATAATATTCTATTGTTGCTTACTTTACAACACGTATAGATTTTAATTTGATTTATGTTGGGGTTGTTTCACAAAGACCAAGCTCAACTGAAGTTGGACTTGAACTATGGCAGGCCATTCATGCCACTGGTTGCTCTCACCATTGGTCTCTCAAGGGATGTCACAAATCTACAGAATTAACATTTTTGATAGTTCATTGTTGAAGAAAAACGTTTACTTCCATTGTGAACTGTTATATTTTATACTCGGACTTATACATGGTATGCGATTTATGCCCTTAAAAAGTCTTGAACCAGATGTAAAATTAACAGAAAAATCACAGAAATTATAGTCTGTAGATGATATTCTTTCCTCCAATAATTAACTATAAAAAATGTAAATTCTGTTGATTTGTGACAACGATTTAAACGTCCCTTGATGAATGGTTAAAAGAACTAGTGGCATGAATGGCCTGCCAACTTAAATCGATCTTAGTCTTTTCAAAACACTCCCCAGGGTTTCATCTAGGAGACCAGGCTTTGAGTATTACATTACTTAAGAGAGATTTCAAATAAATTTATTTTGTAGTACCCTCAGTATTCATTGCACAATGTTGAAATAAGATGCTGAACAAAGTCAGGAAATCATGTCTTGAATGAGAATTTCTTTTGTTGAAGAGAATTCAAAGATGTGCCACTTTGATTTGTTAGATGGGATATAAATATTTTGTTAGCATTCAAACAACATGCATCTAACATGACTTAAAGGGCATGAAGAAGAAAAAAACTTACCTGTGTTTTTTTCTTTTTATATTCACAGATATGGTGAAGTCTCGAGCATGAGACGCATGTCAGAAAAGTTTTGTGCCTTTGTGAATTACAAGGACCCTAGAATGGCCAGCAAAGCTATGGACAAACTACAGGTATGCCACAAACTCTCATTCTGCCCCCCCTCCCCCTCCTTAAATTTGAAGATGATGCATTGCTACAATAAACTTTTATCTTTCAGGGTTGTGAACTACATGGAAAACACCTACTGTTAAAGTTCCCTGACAACCCTGTAGAACAACAAAATGATCCAGCCAACAATCCCCACAAGTTTGACTTGTTTAAGGCCCGTCTGTACTAGTTTGGCCAGGGGGGATTAGACCACCCAGCAAGGTCACTGGCAGGTGGTTATCTCATCAAATCGGCTCTCACTTAACATAAGAAAAGGGGATCATGGGGGACCAGTGGTTACAGATTAGGCATTGTTTGCTATATAGAGGGCGCAAGTAGTTATAAGTAGTACAGTGGGGCTTTAAAATGTTGCATTACCATGGTAACTGATTAGAGAGTGGTAACCACTTCTTCTGTATCTCTTTATCTTTCAGGGTCGCGAGCTGCACGGTAAATTCCTGCTGATTAAATTCCCAGACAACCCTATAGAGCAACAAAACGCTCAAGCCAACGACCACCAAGAGTACGTCGACATGCGCTACAAGAACCTGATCCTGAGGAAGCCCCAAACCCAGACCTCCACGAGCAAACACAACAATAACAATCTTAAGAAACCCAAGCAGCAACAGCAGCAGCAGCAGCAGCAACTAGACCCTGCGTAAATAGCACTTTGTTTTGTAGCTTTAAAAAAAAAAAATGTATTAAAGCATTTAAAAACTGAGAAATGTCAGCCAAAAGAGGGATTTTTTTTTTTTTTTTTAAGTAAAAGAAGTAAAAGAGATTTCCGACCGACCGTCGTTTTAAGTTGACAATTTGTATGCACTGGTAGAATTATTATGTTCCCGTAAAAATTGTGTTCTAAAAAATCTTGGCTTGTGTGTTATTTCCTCGGCTCTGCCAGAAAGATATTCTTATGCATCACTGTGGATTAAAGGTGGTGCCCTTCTGGCTCTTGACAGGAGCATTGTTCATTTTGTTTGCTGCCTCCTAAATATTTCATGATTTATCTGGAGAACGTTTTGATGGGGAAAAGGCCAACTTAAAGAGAAGGTTTAGTTCTGGGAAGTGGTGGAAATTAATCTGTTTGCGTTATCATTGTTATTATGCAAGTGTGGAAGAACATCAGATAAAAAATGTTCCCTGAAAAGCATGGCTCTTCAAATGCCTTAATATTCTAAATATGGCATGTGACAGCATAAAATTGGGACAGATTTTTATCCCACATCTTTGTGTAATCCCAAGACTGGGCCAAATTTTTTATCATTTTGATGAATCCAGAACCTTGCAGTACACACCAAAACTCATATGCTAGATGATCAACCTTTTCTAACCGATTCCACAACGTGTCTTTCACAATGCAATCGCATGACCAAAAATCAAAGGAGGAAAAGCTGATCCCATAAAGCTTTAACAAATTTTTTCTTGAAGTGTATGATGATCTTTCACACTCTCTCTGCTTCTCTCCCTTGATTTCTCTGTCAATCATTTAAGATTTAAGATGTCTGGACCGGTGAACGGGACTGAGTGTTACTTCTGGAGGACCACCGGGTGCTGGTACGCCGAGCGCTGCCGCTACGATCATCTCCCAGAATCAAAAGGACTTGACAAGAAGTAATGGCTCAAGGACGCCCTCTACAGGCCGAAAAACAAGCATCGTGGAATGCGTTAAAAAAATATCGGTAGTTCACATGAAATATGTGACTTTTTTTTAAAGTCCCCCTTGTGGAAAAAGTCATTTCACTGGTGGGGAAAAACTTTAAAATATAGTGACCAAAAAAGGTCTTTTTTTACATATAAATATATAGACATTTAACAATATAAAACAGGGGTCTTGCAAGAACAAAATGACACCCCTGCTCGACTGTTTTTATATTGTTGGACTTTTTTTTTCTTGAAATAAAGTTGCTGCTATCCCAAGCTCAATGAGAAGGGAAAAGTTTTAGAAGCAACGAGTATGACTGACTCTCAGGATGTCAATGTTTGGAGAAAGCCACTAAAGGGCGCCAGACAGGGCAACCTCTACAGAGAATGGGCAGAAGAGAGAGAGGAGCTTCACATATTGGCAGCTGCGGAGAATGTGTAAAAAAGGAGAAGATCAACCAGACAAAGTTGTATGTTATATGTATACTATGGAGTGTAAATTCAAAGGAAAAATCAGATTATGAATGGAAATAGTATTTGCTTTTTAATTTACTTCTATTGACCGCCGTGTGGCAAAATGACTACTAGCTTTTTATCCGACAAGCAAAATAATTTCATGATACCAATTATGCTTGCATATACATGTACCAGTTTTACAATGTGCAGAAATGAAACATACATTACATTTTCTATACAAAAATTACTTAGGACGTGTTATCTAATTTACTTTTATTTATCATAAGGTGGCAAAATAAATTTGATCGAGCAATTCGAGACCAATAGTGCAACATGGTCAAAATGGGCTATTGATTATTATACTGAATAGGCCGCTTACACATACAGACAAACCTGTCTACAGTGACCGCCCAAGGGAAACACGAAAAGTGGTCTTTGTAGACAGGTTCCTTTAGTACATGTTTCAATGAGAAACCATTTTCAAGGGTAAAAAATGCTTGTTGTAGACAACGGGTCACTTAACAGGTTTGACTGTACGTGGACAAAATTTACGATATGCAGAAATGGAGAGCACTCGTACAATTGATCTTGTGTGTACCTTTCCAAAGCAATGTTATAAGCAATCTTCGTGTGCACTTAAAGATGTCAATATTTTGTTTCTCATTGTAGTATCAGAAGTGTTAACTTTGTACATTGTCCACCACCCCAAATAATAACCTTTTCTTCTATCCTGATTTGAAGGCATTTAGGGCTGGTATTCAAAAAAGCTTGTTCCGTTGTGTTACAAAATATGTGTAGCATTTTAGTATTTGTCAGGATTTACAATATTTTCCATTTATTTATGGTCACTATACTCTTTTTGTCTCTTACATGACAAAATGGGTTTTAATTGCTTGTCTGCCAGGCGATCACTTTATTCTATGGCCTATACTCTATTAATTTGGTAACGTGTTAGAAATGCTGTATGTTATACATGTACCCTTTTATTATGTACATTATTCATATATTTAAAAAAACATTTAGTTTAGTTTTTGCCATGTAGAGAATGTCACCTCAGATTTTAATAACAAATTATCAAATAATCTGTTTATCAATTTTTCAGACTTGAAATACAACTCTTCCACACTCTTATCTTGGCAAGTGGATTAAAAATATTGATTCAGTATTTCTTTGACTACAATTTCTAGAAGATCAGGTACCATTGTGTATATTGATTGTCGGTTACCTTGCCTTGTTTAAAAGGTTTTCAGAATGACCATTCTAGCCCCCCCCCCCCCCCCCCCCCCCCCCGCTATATGATATATCTGTAAAGCGCTTAAAGACATTAAGTATTAAGTGCTATATAAAAGCGAAATATTATTATTATTACATGTGACTTGGTTGTAAAACATAGATGTAGCTGCCAGCCATTCCTATTTGAGAGGAATGAGTCTCAATTACGGCCTTCAAATGAAAGATTTGACCTTGACCTTAGATTCCTCTCTTTTTCTGAAAAAGTATGTGTACAAATTATGCAAGATAAAAGTGTATTTCTGATTTTGCCTCGAGTGATTCCTAACTTTTGCTAACTAAAGAATGGTTGACATGATCGTAAATCAGGGAGTGGTTGTTTGTGTTAGAAAGGTAGTTATATTATCCATTATCCAGTTGATCCAAGGTAGAGGTTTGTTTTTGTGGGGGGGGGGGGGGGGTTCTGGAGGGGGAGGGGGTGGTAGTCGAAGAATAGTCCTCCAAGAATCGGTCCATAGAAATATCTCACCAATTCTATTACTTATTTGAAACTATTCATACTTCACACTTTCCTTGATTCAAATGTATGTAAAGATATGAGTGCTTTTTGGAAGTTGACGATTCATGATTATATATGTAAGCAATACTGTTTGTTCTTTTGAAAATGTGTCTAAATTCGAGTCTAAGCCATTGCAGAATGTGAAGACTTGTTTTACTATTGTGATAACATGCATAGCTTTCTTATCTAAAAAAACGAAATATCATGATGGTGTTTTGCTCTTGAAAAAAGGATAAAAACAAAACATGATTGTAATGGGAGTATGTAATCTTAATGTCTTTACCATTTTGTGAGGATCTTTTGTAAGTTTTTTTTTAGGTTTTAGTTTTGGGGCTCACCTAAATTTCAACATTTTGATTTGAAGCTCCATTTTTTTTCTTCATCATATTTAAATATACTGTATCTCCATCTTTCATTTGTGTGAAATCATGAAGGTTTATAGCAAACATTTAACATGAATATTGCATATTAGCTTTAGAAGGAAAAAAACAAGAATGCCAATAAAAGTAAATCATTTGTATATTCTATCATCTAAGGATTAAATGCATCATTATTTAATCATTTATGCATATCTTTTGCCAGATGTACATATATCTATAGAGAAAATGTCAAATATGTTTATTGGATGAATTTTATTGGCTTGTTGAGGTAACCCTGCATCTCTTTCATATCTTACGAGACGGGATGGGAGGGGGCAGATAGATTTTGTTCAATTCCAAGGAGGTACAAATCAAGACTTTTATTTTAGATACACCCTGTACCTTATAAGCAGGAAGTGAAATAGAATGAAGAAATAATAGAGGTACTGAGTATCATATTGACTTCATGGTAGTCTTGAAAGTAGTTTGATTGTGCATTTAATCTCAAGTCTCTTGGAATTTTAAAAGGGAGATTACAGAAACTTTTTATAAAGCTAAATATGTATGCTTAGACTTGTTTCTGGTTATTATTAACAACTCTACTTTATATCTTCTTCAAATGAAAAAAGGTGAAATCCATATGTATAAAATCAGTCAGATTTCTTAATCAGAAAATATATGAAACTGGAAGATATATACTGCAAACTTGCACATCATAATTAGTCGAGATTAGTGGAACTTCTGATAATTGTGTTTATTTATACATTCATAAAGCAATACTCAATAGATCAGAAGGAAACATCGCCTGTTTGAAGCCGTAAGGGTTGAACGTTGTTAAAAACACATAAGTAAACGCCCTTCTGGCTCCGAACAGATGATTTGTTTGTGTCCCTGGCATAAGGGCATTTGTAGAGGGAGTACAAATGCATAATTACATATCTTCTTTAAACCAGATATTTACTTTATTGCCTATCTGCACTAGTTTGGCCAGGAGGGATTAGACCTCCCTGCGTGGTCACTGACAGGTGGCTATCTCATCAAATCAGCTCTCAATTAACATAAGAAGAATAGGGGATCATGGGAAATCAACGGGTGCCGCTTAGGCATTGTTTGCTATATGGAGGGCGCAGGCAACTACAAGTAGTGCCGTCTCGCTTTAACTGAGTGAACTGCCTTCTGACTCTAAACAGAATATACATTTTTTTTTGAGCCAGAAGGTGGTTAACTCTGTACTTTCACAGAATGATTGCCCTTCTGGTTCCAAACAGATATGCTTTGGATTCCTCTGCAAACATTCTTATGTTTGGCGTATGAATTACATGTACATTAACCATAACGTCATCATTTCATCCGAGTATAACTTTCATTTTTTTTTTTTTTTGATTCAGTAGAAAAACCAACTTATAGAAGTTGAATTGACTATTTTTGCTCTTCGACTTATGTGTGGCCCCATGAAATATTTTGATTTTGTTCATGGAATGTCAATACCCTAAAGAGAGTTAAGATGTAAAATGGAGCTGTTTAATCTTCATGATTTGTTTTCTTTAAAACTAAAGCTGTATTTATGTATTAAATGTATATATCCTTCATTGATTTCATTTCAATTATTTGTTCAGTTGTGTTATTTCTATGTACTCAATGAGTAGAAGTTCCTAGAGAGAGAGAGAGAGAGAGGGGGGGGGGGAGAAAGGGAGAGGAAGAGAGAGAGAGAGAGAGAAGGGGGTGTACGGGGGTCAGGAAAGAAAAGAGCAAGGAAAGGCTTGAGAGAGAGAGAGAGAAAGGTATGATAGAAAGAAAGTGGAGGAAGTGGGGCAGACAACGAAAGAATTAGAAAGGGAGACGGTCTTGGGGAAATAGATGGTAATTGAAGGGAATCAAAAATGCACAAAAATGAATGCTGTCCCTCACTACATGTTTGCATTTATTGACTTCTTGTTTTACAAGAAATAAAATGATAAAGGCCTATCTCCCTGGGCCTATATAGTTTTTTGATACTCTTCTAAAGCAGACCTTGGAAGAAGTGATCAAGACAGTAGTGATAACAGGAAGAATATTTTGAGCATTTACATTTCCCTTACGACCTCTTATGTTTCAAATATTATATATTAGATCTACGTCTGTTCATTAATTAACAAAATTAGAGTTTTTTGGGAAAAATACTCAGATGAGTGTATTTGAGTTTCCGCTCATCGCATCGCTGAGCGACCACGCCTCCTTTTTTGTTCGCTCTTCAAGGATTCCATACATGCAAAATAAAAAAATACATGCAAAATAAAAAAAATGAATGTTTTGCTTACGATATTATTTTACGATACTATCTTAAAAGATAGATAAATATAAAACGAAATAAATGTATTTTTAAAAAAATCCAAAATTGAGAGATATAACACGTGCCGTAAAGTAATTTGGCGACAATAGTCAAATCACTGACTAATCGCCAATAACTCAAAACACAACAACAACAATAACAACAGGAAGCTCTACCGAAGCTCTCCAGGCCGGCAACACCGAAGTTTCTTCTGCAGATTTTGTTATTAAAAGGAGCTAAAACAAGGCGTGTCATCATGAGTTCCCTAATAGGAATAGGTCCGACCGAGTTCGTTCATATTTTAGATGTTGTAAGTATCGTTTGTTAAATGAATTTTATTTCGGTCATACACGAAATGATGAGACGTCAGTAGACCTAGATCTATTTCATTATTTGTCACTTCCTCACTCGCTGCACTGCACAGTTACTAGTACTCGCAGTAGTGACACTATGACTAGCACTAGCACTGCAGTGCAGGGCAGCTGGCAGTGTGATTGTGACAGTGTGAGTGTCTGATGAAGTTCTGTTGTTGTTTGGAAATGATGATGATGGGTTGATATATGTGAGGATAGCCTTCAGGTCTGGGTAATAATATGAAATATGATATTTATTTCACCTAGCCTTAATTGGCACCTAGATGGTCTATATCCCTGCATGAAGAGTGATGTTTAAAAAAAAAGTGTTTATAAAATATAAACACACCTGCCTTTACTTAAGCAGTAGGGGCGCTGGTCTGAGATAAGAATTGGCTGCAAATAAACAAGGATAGTCTTCGTAAACGCAAAAATAAGGATTGTCCGCATTTTTTGCAGACATTCGTATTTCCGACCTGTTCGTTAGCGATGCGAAAAAACTGATTCCGTAATAATTTTCTTGATGCATTTCACATTGACTTTGTGCTGAGACATTCACGTTATGAGCGATAAATCTTTGGGAGCGATAAATCCTTGGGAAGACAAACAACCCAAATTTGTAGACAATGAACTGGGGGTATTTCATAACGCAAATTCTGTTTTTTCTCATTGGAAGCATGCGGATCGGGAACCCGAAAACCTGCAGAGCACCGAAGAAAAAGAACGTCCACAAAAAATCTTGCGGACAATCCTTATTTTCTAGGACACAATTTGTCCACGTTACGAGGATATCTTCGTTTATGCAGATGATCCTCATTCTCGGACCAGCGCCCTTACTGTTTTTAATTGACTCTTCTTTCTTCTCATACAAAGCCATTTGGAATCGGTCACGAATTTAATCAAATATGAATTTTTTTTACTAGAGTGATAGCGATTGCTTACCTTGCTCTTTAGTCTTAGTTTGACGATAATGATAATGAGCGAAATTACGAAAGTTTGCGATGTTGTTTCCTCCTGCAATACAAATACACACTGTTTTGAATTTAGCGAACTCCCTACGTGCGGTCCTTTTTACAAGCTTAAGATCTTAACCCATCAGAAGAATAATACAAAATATCAATATTGCCAATTTAGAGAATAAAGGCAGATTGGCTTGGCCCATGAAGAATCGTATTCCTTGTTGGGTTAGATATTTGTTTTTTCTTCGATTTGATTTTCATTGACTTTCTACATGTATGCATCATCTTTTCAAACAATCATTTTCATGCCCATTAATGTGACAGTGGTACAGTATATATTATGTACATGCACATAGAATATAAAGTCAAATACTGCCCGCATATATGATTAAAAAACAGGAGCATGAAGCTTCTTTTTAAGTATAAGCAAATAAATAGGAAAAGAAGAGAAGAGAGTGACTTGCAAAGAAAGATAGAGAAAGAGAGAAAAACGCTGGTTTTCTTTACTACAATGAAAGTACACAATGTAACATCTGTCAAAAGAGAATAATGCTATAATCGTAACATCTTTCTTAAAGAACATTTTTACTTCAGATTCTGAATTTTTAATGTTTGTCTCCCTTAGACGACAAACATCACCCACTTGGAGCTTGGTCCTAAGAGGCTCATGCTCATGACCCATCAAAGGAATGTTGGTGGACCTTTACCCTGCATCATCATACCACCCGGTCACTACTGCATTATCAAAGACCCTATCAAGTAAGTGTCTTTCAGCTTTCAACTAATCTGAAACCCTTGACAGAGGGCTCCACACCAACTTTTGCACAGGAATATTAATGAAAGAACACCATATTTAGGATTTCTGTTGTAAACACAAAACCTCAGTTTGTATTCTTTTATCAAATTCAACTCATTTTGTTTGAAAATCCTTGAAAAAGTGTGTGTTAAATGACATCCTTTTTCACATCATTATACGATTTAAGTGAAATTTTGGCATCAAATTTTGAGGCTCCCAACATGTTAGAGAGGCTTTACTTATAGCTTCATAGGCTGATGCTTATATGTATATTGCCATTATATTGTTTTAGATCCTCTGTGTATAAATTCTTGCTCGCTGTGTATGCAATGTTTGATCAACTGAAGGGCATCCAAATATTTACTTTGTAGAGGTACATGTACATGCGCACTTCTAGCATCTCATGAAGAACTATATCTAAAGTTTATAACTGACTATAATTATAGGCTAATATACCGGGTTTGAAGTGTAATGTATTGTATCACAGGTCATCCCATTATCCTTTGTAAATATGTTTGAACAAGTGTCAAGTACATTCTTTAAAAAAGAGATTTATTAAAGTACACAATGTATTGTGTGACACTTGGCAATTCAAGTTGGGTTAAAGATTACGGTACCTTTAATTAGTTTACATTTATTTCGTCAAAACCTATAAGAGTAAACATTTGTAATGCGCCATGTCTGTCAAAATTGACACTCCTGGCACAGTTGTGAGAAAATAGTAAATGTGGAAAATACGTGGAAATGTGTGAAAAATGCAGTTTCCAGTGTTCTCCACAAGAATCACTTTTAGAGAAAGTAAAGTACATGTCGTAATAACTTAACCAACAAATCTTTTGTTTAAACCCCCACCATTATCAAGCATCCAACTTTTTACAGATCTTGGAATTTTACTGCACCAAAAAGCTACTTGTACATGTTTTCAATAGAATGAATTTAACATTATTTCTAGACAGGTTCATGTATCCCCTGAATATAAAATTGCTGTGAAATAGAGCAGACAAATTAGAAAAGCAGATTTGTGAAGTTTGAACGACATCAGAAAAACAATAGCAAAGCTATGAATTTTTAAAAGTTGTGACCACAAAAATTAGGCCATTATAGTAACCTAGATGCAGATCAGTGATGCTGCACTCAAACTTGTGGTCTGTAATCTGTAATAGGAAGACAGGAAGTGATTCAATGTCACCAATCCACCACAAGGTCAATTTTAATGCCAACAACATTGAATCGTTTTGATATGGCAATGAGAAGGTACATCATACATGTGTTTTATTCTTTAACCTGTTGCATACTGGAACCAGGTGATCCCTGTATAAAGCCTATGGTAAAAGAGAATTAAGTACTCAAAGGGTTTATACACTTGAGCCAAATTGGATATCAACTCATCTGTTCCTCATAGTAGGGGTACATGTTTGTAATTAAAAGCTCTATTCATTGTTCTATGATAAGAAAATAAAAATCATTTAAAGTCTTATATATACCATCACCTTTGCAATGAGATAGGAACTATGTATATTTGATTTGTGCCAGTGCTTTCTGTTCCTAGATTTATGTCTCTCTGAATTATTGTGTCGTTGAGTAAGACTCAACACTGATCTGTATAACTCTTACAATGTCCTATCTATGTAAATAACAAGTTGACCATTCTCCTTGTCTGTACTTTTCTTGTTGACTTCCTAAATGTAGGAATGACAAAGCTGGAGAACCTTGTGAACTGAACCATGGACACAGAGATGTCAGGTTTCATCAGGTATGTATCAGAAGAGAGAGAAAGCAAGGAGGGAGGGAGGGGGAAGGGGAAGTAGAGAGGGAGGAAGAGGAGGAGGAGGGGAAGAAGGGAAGAGGGAAAATATAGAGAGAGGGAAAGAGGGAGGAGAGAGGGAGAGGAAGAGAGAGGGGAGAAGGAGATGAATAGGGGACGTAGAGAGGGAGGGAAAGAGGGAGAGACGGAGGGAGGGAGAGTGAGGAAAAGGATAAAGGTGAGGGGGGGGGGGGGGAGGATAAGAAAAGGTTCAACAACAACCAAAACAAAAAACGATATTTTCTTTTTTAAATCAGTTAAATATTAAGCATGTAATGTATGTTTTTATGGTCTTTTTATAACAACAAAATACTTAAAGAATTCATGAACTGTTAAATTTAACAGTGTGTAGTACTAGTAAAGTTTAGTAAACAATTTGAAGCTGATCGATATCATGTTTTATTCATTTTATGTCATCTTTAGGAGCCCTTCCCTCTCTACCCTGGTGAGGTGTTGATGGGAGCTGAGTCTCTGCTAACTGTTGGTATTCGTAAAGGTAAAAAGGGCATATCAACACTGTCAGATGAAAATAGCATTGTAGCAGTATGTGGTGTACAACCCCTCATCTCGTTCACGTTGTACATGCCATGGTGCCGTGTCTAGTATTCCTGTCGGGGAAGTTCTTGCACGCTTGTATCAATATCCATACAAGTTGAGTCTTCTTTTGGAAACTAACTGCATTTAATTTTCTAATACTGCATGTGCATTTTGTGGGGCTTCATGTATGAGTAATACATTTTGTAACCTTGTTTATATCCTATATGATGAAGTGCATTTTGTTTGATGGACTTACCTGTTGCAAGTAGTCTGCGAGCATGAACTCTATTTGACACCTAACAAAGTTCACTGATTTTTAGCTAAACATATTTGTCATCTGGACTATGGAAGCCAAATACAATAGACACAATTAGTGGCTTATATATTATGTATCAAATTGACATATAGTTTAGTTTAGTTTAGTTTATTTCTTTATTAAAAAATCACACCCGTCATCAGACGGCCAGCCTAAAAAGGCCTGTGAGTGATGCTTCAAAAATAAAAGTCATAAACAATTTGACATGGTAACATAGTATAAATATAACATAATAATAAACAAAGAAGAAATAATATTTATGTATTACATATAATTATGTACTTGAAATATTTTTTAATGAGAAGAACAGTGCTGGGAAGGACAATAAATGTTTCAGAAAAAATTGAAGGTCTAAATGAAGAAAGGAACTGATTATCCTAGTATTGAACAAGCAAAAATTTTGCTACACATTTCAGCTGTGATAGTCACGCCAATTATAATGTTCTTAATATATCTACATCAATTCTTATACAACATCACTAATGGATGAATAAAAGATGGTTTTGTTTAAGAATATATCTCGCCCTGTTCTGTTTCACTGCATGTATTATTGCATGTTGTTTTATATATTACATAAAAAATGTATCACATGTTTTGGAACACTCGCATCTCGATTGACTAACCCCTGCCTCTGTGTATTTCCTGCATTTCATGTTTCATTTTTGTGCACTTAATATCCTAACTCAAGGCTAACCCTTTGAATGTACCCACTACTCTTATTTTCTCCCCTTTCCTGTTTAACCATGCAGGTTTAGGTGCTAAGGCCCAATTTTGCATGGGTGAGAGCTTAAAAGAATTGTAAAACTCATGTTAACACATGGACAATTAATTTTAAACAAATCCTTTATTGTAGCTGCCTAAAATGAAGAAGATTAAGTACATTCATAGAAGAGCAGTACGGTAAACAAGATTTTATTTTAAAAAATAGTTTAATGATATTTTGTTGTTAATATTTTTTAATTGAAATAAATTTAAAAAGATAAAAAGATAGAGATACAAAAGAAAAAAAAAGAAATTTCTTTTATGTAACAAATGAAAGAGATTTGATAACCAATATTATATGCAAATACATATGAATAAATACAAGTACATGTATGCTAGATAGGCTCAAGATATTATTCTTGCAGATTGATTGTTGTACTTTAATAATTCACTTGCACATGTTTTTTCTGCATGAAGTTTCTTTTATTAAAGCTCTGCTTACCTCTTTTATTTTGCTTTACACTGATTAAATAAATTTGGCCAAGATGGTGGCACAGGTATGGTTGTCTGTTCATTCCTTACATTTTAGCAATACAAAACTATTCAAATAGTATAATCAAATGGACATGGGTTGAACAGTACTATAACTGATAGAGGTATTGGTAAAGCAGATCTATAATAGCAACAAAGATTCCTGTGGTTTAATCATTGCATTTGAGTTTACTTCGGAAGAAACAGCATACCATTATATAACCCTGTCATGTTTAGTAACATTACATCAAATACCTCTACATTTTGTGTGTACCATAATTATTTAAGTGACATTTCAACATCTCTTTCTCATTGCATGTTTATGACACACATAATGTATAGGATTTGTGACTAAACTTTGATTATGCTCTGTATTGAGGCAAATTTAGGTAAAACAGGGATAAACTTTGTGTAGACTTTCATTTCAAATCTATCATAAATAAATCCTAACCTCAAAATAATCATCAAGCCTCTGTTTGTAATCATGAACTGTTCTTGTAATTTTTTTCGCCAGCCATCAAGCCACTGCCCGTAGTGAAAGCAAACCAAGCGATCCGCCTGCGTGCTACCATCGACCATACGAGCTCAGAAGGGTTGAAACGAGTCGCTGGTGATGAATGGCAGTATCCTGGCCCTCTCACATACAAGCCAACTCCTGAGGCAGTAAGATTACAAATCATAATATTTAAAGCCCCACTGTACTACTTGTAGCTACTTGCTCTCTCTATATAGAAAACTTCCCTAATCGGTACCTGTTGGTTCCACATGATCCTCTTTTTCTTATGTTAATTAAGAGCTTAGTTGATGAGATAGCCACCTGTCAGTGACCTTGCTGGGTGGTCTAATCCCTCCTGTCCACGCTAGTACAGACAGCCTTTAATGAAAGATAGAAGTGGGCTCTCATGCAGAATTTGACACCAATCAGGCATTTACCCAATAACAGGTGTTGTCAATCACCAGGATTAGCCTTCAGTTTATGACTAAGATGCTCTTTGTTATGCTCTGTCTTTTCCCCTTATGGTAAAGTCATTATCTGACATTTGCATCATTTGTGATGTAGAAGCTGTCTGTAGAAGGCCAACTGTATACAGTGGCCACTTTTTCTGTTTCCCTTGCGTGGCCGTTATAGACAGGTTTGACCGTAATTGTTCTTCTCTTTGATTTTCAGGAAATTGTTAAGATCATTGATGCTGTCATTCTGACTGGTGGAGAAGCCTTACACCTTTCAGCAAAGAGGGAACTCATTGACAGCAGAGGGGTGTAAGTAGTAATAATAGTAATGATAATACATAAGATTTGTAAGGCGCCAAATCCACTTGACAATCAAATGCTCAAGGCGCAACTTGTGCAAAAGAAGAAATACATGATAAATATACAATAGGAAAGGTACAGACATGAAATGCAATGATAATCAATTATAAGCTAAATTAAACAGATAATTCTTAAGATTATTTTTAACACTTCTGACCAGAACTGCTATGTTTAATCTATTGAGGGAGAGTATTCCATATTGAAGGCCCAGCATGAGCGAAGGTTCGCTCCCCCACTTGGTTTTAACCCTAGGAGAAACAAGTAAGCCAGAGTTTTGAGAACGTAGCTGTCTAGAGGGAATGTAAAGCTTGATCGAGCCAATGTTGTACTGCGGAGCAGAGCTATGTATACAGTGAAATAATAACAAAAGAATCTTGAAAACAACACGTTCTTCTTCGGGCAACCAATGGAGTAATTTGAGAACTGGTGTGATGTGACTGTACTTGTTGGACAGGGTGGATGGATGGATGGATGGACGGACGGATGGACGGATGGATGGCTTAATAGATGGATGGATGGATGGATGGATGACCACCTAAATTAATGAATGAAAGAGTGGATGAGTTGTTGAATTAGAAACATTAAGAGACAGAAAGAAAGCATGATCAAATAAGTGAATGAATAAAGAAATAAGTCAATGGACAAAAAAATAAATGAATGGGTGTATGGGTGAAGGAAAGATGGATGGATGGAGTAAAACTATGTTTAAGAATGATTGAATGAACCACGTTACTTCTTAAACATGGTAAAAAGTTTAGAACCATAATTCACAAATGAATATATGAATTTTAAATCAGAATATGTGTTTCTGTCCAATAAATGCATGTCTTTTTGATAATTTTGTTTTGATTTTTAAAGGAACTTTTATTTTGTTTATTCTTCAGAAAACGAGAAGTGCAAGAGGAATGGTTGGTCAGAGAAGAAGGAGCATATCTTCCAGGAGCTTATGAACAGGTGAGATAAAAATCACCTTAAGTTTGTACTATGCTCTGTTGAGACTTGTAAAGCTCCACTACACTAATTATAGCTACTTGCACCCTCTATATAGCAAACAGTGCCTAATCTGTGACCATTGGTCTCCCATGGTCCCCTTTTTCTTATGTTAATTGAGAGCTGATTCGATGAGATAACCCCCTATCAGTGATCATGCAGGGAGATCTAATCTCTCCTGGCCAAACTAGTGCTGATGGGCTTTAACTAATAGAGAAGAAATGCGTGCCTGTTTACACATAATATTATCATTTGTGTATAAAGACAGAAATACTGAACAGTCAAACGGGAGTGTACTGTTGTTGTAGTTATTGCAAATATTGCTCTTCCTTTTATTTTAGCAACAACTGATACTTTACGACAATAGTGGTCATTAACTCAGAGATAGAAATACGAAAACACCACTTATTCTACTGAATGATTGGCCTTTGATCACATGCAGATAGGAATGGCATTAAAAATAAAACTTATTCTGGCGTTAAAAATAAAACTTATTATTATTAATAACAAGTTACAATGACTGTTAGATGCTACTGAATTCGTGGTATTTGATTAGCTGAGGGAAAATTTGTCATAGAAGTTTAGCATTTGTTATTGACAACAAGTTTTAAGTAACAGGGCACTGAATGGCATTAACAATAATCAAATTTGGAATGCATAGAACTATTGAGAAACAGTCTAGCTGAAACAAGTCCAACTGTTTTGATATAGAATAGGAACTAAAATGAGAACAGTAAAAATCTGTTCAGAATAGTGAAATTATGATCTTCTTTTATATTCCCATATGAAACCAGCTAAAGGAGGGCTATGTTTCCATCATTGTTCAATGATGTTAAATGCACTTTTTTATCCTTCTATTCTAATTCTCATCTTTAATCAATCGTTTATGATAGCAGTCTCCTGCACTTTTCTACATATACAGTCAAACCTGCTTTAGTGACCACCTGTATAGAAAGACCCCCTGTCTGTCTACAGAGACCACATTTTTTGGTACATTTGAAAACAGTTTCTCTTTGTACTAAAGGAACCTGTACATAAAGACCAAAAACCTATAATGACCACTTTACTTGTCTCCCTTAAGTGGTCTTTATAGACAGGTTTTACTGTAGTAAGAATAATACTTTAAATTCATAATAGAAATATGAAGTTCTTTATTATTTGAAATGAAGTTATTATTGTTTGCATACCTATATTATAATAATAATAATAATACTCAGTTTTTATATACCTTACGTTTACAAGTTCTTTGTTATTCAGTTATCGTTCGGAAAAAAATAAAATAAAATAAAATATTATCATCTGGTTTGTGTTATCGTAGTTAGTTGGTGTGATCCAGCCAGTCAGGCTGATCTCCACTGTGGGTCTCCACCTGAAGGCCCTTCACAGCTGCACAGACGCCCTAGGTAGGAAGCGAGCTGCTGGAGATGAGTGGCTGGTCACTGTTCAAGACACAGACTCCTATGTACCCGAGATAGGAGAGGTAGGACCCTTTCACATCACGATTTTCCTCAATAAAATACAATTTTCCAACAAAACAACAACAACAAAATTAATGGCAAAATGCCCATTCTGTCCAGTAAAGTATCCTACAAGCATTTCACATCGGCAATTTGGGGCATTTATTGGTTCATCAGACAAACCAGTCGTGACGAAATCATGCATATTCAACCAATGATCCATAAATAAAATAATCTTCCTGTATGTAGGAACTGTAATAGGCACTGATCCATGTTTTTTTTTAGAATACAAATTTTGTCAGTAAAATACAACTTTTGGGATCAAAGATCACCAGAGGTGGCAGGTCATATTATACAAGGACCAGTATACATGCGTAACCATGAAAAACATATGTGGTAGGACCTTTTCACTCTACTCTCATAATCCTTGTAACATTTTGACACCCTTCTTTGTATCTAGGATGAAAACCCTCAATAAAACTACCCTCTAGGGCAACTATTCCCTGACTGCAATTGCACCCAGGCAACGACCCCCTATTAAATGTAAATCTCCTCAGCAGTTGCCTTAGGGTGATCAAGGTAACCTTTTTGAAGGTTGTAGTTTTCCTTGGGGATACTTGATCTATTGGAGCAGTTGTCGTGGGGCTACTTGTCCAGAATTCATTATCCAAGAGGGTAGTTTTTGCAGGGAAGTATTTGTCCAGGGCCCCATTTCACAAAACTTGTCATCGGTGACAAATGACAGTTTTTGTTACAAGCTAGTGAATTCCTTGCTTCTGATTGGTTATCAACAGATTTGTCACTGATTTTTGTCATTTTTCATTGAAAAAAGGCTTTGTGAAATGGGTCCCTGGTGAATGATTGATAATCCAGGCGGCAGTCGCTCTACTGCTCTTTATATGGTACCTCTAACCTTTTTCTGACCTGCAGGAAGTTGTTAGTCATGTGACAAAGACAGTCCTGCAGAAAGGTCAATACTGTGTGGTCAAGAACCCAGTGGACAACAATGGCAGACCTCAGTATGGCAAGCTGGAACTACTCAAGGGAATCACAAGCTTCTTCCTCCATCCAGGTTTGTCACATTGGTTTCCTAAATCAATTGGCATCTCGAGAGATATGAGAATTTTCAGAATACTTCTCAAAAAAATGTTGTAATTACTATAAAGCTTAGTAGCAAAATATCCAAGATTCTCATCCCCTCCTGCTTTCTTTCTTTCTAGATTTGATTTTGTTTGGCAATAAGTCACAGTTGACTAGTTTTTCCACACACTATTTTTCCTTTTTTTCAGCTTGCCTCCTTTTCAGGCTGACTGTTTTGTTATGTGAGTTTGGTATTTGGTATTTTAGCTTTGACTTCAAAGTAAATATGAATCTGAGCAGATGTATAGAGTAAGCTAGTCATGAAAATAATTTTTATAGTGCAATTTCAACTCATGTGTAACCTTCGTGCATGCATCATGTGTAAATTAAGGTTTATGACTGTCAAAAATTAAGATGAAGTTGATTTGATGGAATCCCTTTTTTTGCAGGTGAAATCATTGATGATGGTATCAAGAGCCAGTATGTTCTAGGAGAGGACGAGGCCTTGGTATTGGAGGCTTTGGAGCACTTCACTGATGATTCAGTCACAGGTTTGTACCAGGGGGCGTTTCACAAAACTTGCCATCAGTGACAAATGACAGTTTTGGTTATAAGCTACTGAAATCCTTGCTTCTGATTGGTTATCAGCAGATTTGTCACTGATTTTTGTAATTTGTCATTGAAAAAAGGCTTTGTGAAACGGGACATAAAATGTTGATTCAAACCATTCATATTTTCTATTATCAGGGATATTTCATGTTCTTGATATGGAATTTATGAAAAGTCTAAAATACTTGAATTTTTGCTTTTGAATATATTTTATTTTAAGGCTACAAATGGCTCTCCATAATATTAAGTCCAACTTAGAATTAAGTTTGACTTTGGATCTTTGTGAAACACCCCCCTGGAAGATATACATGTATGAACTGTCAATTTTTTTCTTGAATGTTCGATAGGAGGCAAGGTCCGCAGACCTGGAGACCGATGGATGATCAGAGGACCTAAGAGCTACATTCCCCCTACTCAAGTCAAAGAAATGTCTCAAGGAAACCATCAGGTCATCAGGTATTATTCTTTGAAATCCCATTCATAGCATATCCAATTGTTTGAATTCAAAGAAGATACCTCATGTACAACCCATACAAATGTCTTTGTGATGATGCATATATCTTTCTGTCTTTGACTCTCTCTTTCTCTTTCTCTCTCTCTTTCTCTTTTTCTTTCTCTTTCTCTTTCTCTTTCTCTTTCTCTTTCTCTCTCTCTTTCTCTTTCTCTTTCTCTTTCTCTTTCTCTTTCTCTTTCTCTTTCTCTTTCTCTTTCTCCTCCTCCTCAACCTCCTCCTTCTCCTCCTCCTCCTCCTCCTGCTCTTCCTCTCCTCCTCCTCCTCCTGCTCTTCCTCTCCCTCTCCCTCTTCCTCTTCCTCTCCCTCTTCCTCTTCCTCGTCCTCTTGCTCTTGCTCTTCCTCTCTCCAGCTTTCCCTCTCGATATCTCTCCTCCCCCTCTTCTATCCACCTTCCCTCTCTTGTATAGTGTTCCTTCCTTTTGTTTCTATTGATTTAGATGATGATGGCTTCTTTTGTCCACCTCTGATGGACGCTCATGGTGCTTGCTCTACAATGTCTCACAATTTCAACGACCTTTGTCAATGTTTCAAATCCAGATTATTTTCTCTTAGTCTTTGTTGGCATTAGTAGTATTCTTGAGTTGATACCGTAGCTGGGAACACAAAAGTCTTGAGGGCTGACATGAACCTTGACATAGACTCGCTGCTCCTTATAGAGTGTGAAAGGTTATTCCAGAGCTTAGGTCCAGAGAATTAGAATGCTCTGTCACCCCAAGTTGCGACCAAGAGTTTCTGTCAGGAGAGCTTGGCCTATGTCAGTATTTCTTCTATCCTCACTCCTTCTCATTTTCTCTCTCCACTGTACTACTTTATCTCTCTTTATCTCTACTTTATCACTACTCGTGCTATTTCCTTGATACCATTATTATCCCCTCTCATTTTTTTCTTCTTCTCTCTCTCTCTCTCTCTCTCTCTCTCTCTTTCTCTGTTCTACAGGAAAGCTATACCGCTTGGTGAGAATGAAGGGATTTACATCAGAAATCTACAAACTGGAGAGGTAGGTGCTTCACAATAATGAAATTAAATTGTACCCTTTATATGTCATCCAAGTTATTTCCTCCCACATTGCAGCTATGCAAAATTGACAATGGAATTAATGTGTTGTACAATGTTCAACCTTTAGGCCTCGTTCAGATACATGTATGATGCTTCAAAACTGCTGTGAAATTTTGTAGGACGAGTGTTATGCTCTTCAGGCTTTAACCCTATTTTAACTGGGCTATTTCAGACAATGTTTTTACTGGGGGGGGGGTCAATTTGACCCCCCCCCTAAGATCTCGGCCGTTTCACCGCCGATCGCCGCGAAAATTTGCATGCATGTCAAGTGAAGTGTATAGAATACTTTGGTAATTTCAAATTTTTGAAAAATTCACTCATTTGCATATTTATGGTAATTTATGCAAATAAGGTCATCAAATTCACATTTATACCCATAAATCATAGATTATTCATGTTTACGTATTCTTTTTCACTACAAATATTTATTAGACCATTTGGAATAATAATACAACACAAAAAATTGGAAGAGCCAGGTTATTCCTTATGTTATCTCTTGTTTTTATAATTTCTTATGTATTTCATTGTTTTTTTAACTTATGTATTTTATTGTTTTTGTTGTTTTATTTCATTTATAACTACAATTCAACTATTTTGACCCCAAAACAAACATCTAAACTTTAAACAAGACTGAATAACCAATGTTTTATCTATTTTTAGGAAAAATGACTTTTACATATGTTTTGTACACAAATCACGAAAATGAGCGATTTTCGGGCTGACATGCAAAGACAAAAGGTCACGTGACCTTGTAACCGTAGGTCCGATTTTCAAAAAATTCGTTTTAAAATATGCGTAAGACTCGAAAGTAAAAAGTCATGAAAGGAAAATTTCATATCTGCCGCGGTTTCGTAGTAGTCGCGAAATTTCTACAGGGGGGGGTCAAATTGACCCCCCCCCCCCAGTTAACGTAGGGTTAATATAGCATTATTTCAATTCAAATTCAAATTCAATTCTGGCTTTTATTGTTTAAAAAATGAACATGGCAAAAGTCTGGAGAGACTATTATTGTCATATTTAGAGTAAAATACAAGAAAACATAAAATAAGGTTTAATATATACATTGACATATAACCCCCCAAAAAAGAATGTGACTTCATGCATTAAAAATATAATTAATATTTGCTTTGAATTCCCTTATGTCTCATTGTAAAGGTCAAGGTCATCATGGGTCCCAAGTCATATCTCCTCAATGAACATGAGAAGCTATGGGAGAAGGAACTAGACCCACTGGTAGTGTCTATTCTCAAGTAAGTTCTTCCTGTCACTGTTTTATGGTATATGAGGTTTATGTTATTCACTGTATTCTTATTCTCAAAACGGAAGTGCCAGTAATGTAACGCAAATGTAATGATACAATGTCCTGATTCTAATTTCTTGTAAACTGGATAGACATTGAAATTGAATATCACTGATTTGTAGACCATATCTGACTCTTGCCCTTGTCATAATTCATTCATGAAATGTTGACCAATACATTTACATGTATCTCATTCAAGTTGGGCTTTGATCATCAACTGATACAGAGTTTTGAAACATTGAGATACATGGATTATGCTTGCCTGTGAGTGCCAAAAGGGTGTTAAAGCCTTTTTAAAGTGGTGGGAGCCCAAAAATTTGATGGCAAAAATTCGCTTCAATTGTATCGTAGTGAAAGATTGTCATTCAACACTAACTTCTGCAGGGATTTTCAGAATAAATGTGTTTGAAGAAGAATATTGATGAAAGAATACACAATGTAGTGCAATACAAATGTGACCATTACAGAGATGTTCAGTGAATGAAGTAGAAGACTTTTACAGTGTAGTTTAATAATTTTTGTGCGTGTGCTTTAGGAAAGGTGGAGGTGTTGGCGAAGGTGACATCAGGAAACTGGCTTACTTTGAACAATCCATTGATGCCGAATACATGGGTGACAAGGTAATATTAGAAACAAGGTATATTGTCGTAGTGTTTAGAGTGGTGTACTAGAAATGGAAGGTTCCATGCTGAGTACTTGGGTAACAAGGTAATGTATTAAGCTAGGGGCATCATACATTATGATTTGATTCATATATTAATTTTTATGCCATGAATTGTTTACTCTGTAAATTAAACAACTTCAATCAGCTCTGAGCTGCATGTTCAATGATTATTTTTTGTGTGGAAGATAAGCGATAATAATAGTAGTGGGTTCTTGTATAGTGCTTACATTTGTCACACTTAACTCTACTGGCGCTCAACGGTTAGTACCCAAGCTTTAGCATGGCTGCTATGAAGTGAACGGTTAATTTTATTTGGGGGTAGATTCATCGACTTCTATTCTGTACTTAAATATATTTTTGTTTTTAATAATTTGTATTATGTTCTCTTTTTTTAACTGTTTCTATCTTCTTGTTTATGACCATCACAGCCCAGGGATAAGACAAGAGCTGTGAGGTACAGATGTCCGCATAATACTGCCGTGCAGGTGAGTAGAAACTCCTGTCACACCCCAGTCGGTCACAAGGGAAGAGACAAAAATTAGACTGACACTCAAGCAAACAAAGAATGAAAGACCCTATCCAATGAAAAGGCAACTTTATATCAATGGAAAGCTGAGTGAACATAGAGTACAGATATAAAGGAATGAAATGCACATAGAGAAGGAATACTATGAGAGACAAATTGGGAGAAGAGGAGGTGTAGAAGGAGCAGAAAAGGAGGTGACTGGAGCAGAACAAGAAGGGAAAGATGGGGGGGGGGAGGGGTAAAAGAAAAAGAGATTGTACATGGAGAAGAAAAAAAGAACGAAATCGAGTAGAGAAAAAGAAAGGATGAGATAAGAAGAAACTGAATTGAAGTGAATGGAATTTATCTATTCACAGAACCAGTAAATCAAATACCCAGAGATAGAAATACAAGGGGAGGGGAGGGGAGGGGAGGGGAGGGGCGGGGAGGGGAGGGGAGGGGAGGGGAGGGGAGGGGAGGGGAGGGGAGGGGAGGGGAGGGGAGGGGAGGGGAGGGGAGGGGAGGGGAGGGGAGGGGAGGGGAGGGGAGGGGAGGGGAGGGGGGGAGGGGAGGGGAGGGGAGGGGAGGGGAGGGGAGGGGAGGGAGGGAGGGGAGGGGAGGGGAGGGGAGGGGAGGGGAGGGGAGGGGAGGGGAGGGGAGGGAGGGGGAGGGGAGGGGGGAGGGGGAGGGGGAGGGGAGGGGAGGGGAGGGGAGGGGAGGGGAGGGGAGGGGAGGGGAGGGGAGGGGAGGGAGGGGGGAGGGGAGGGGAGGGGAGGGGAGGGGAGGGGAGGGGGGAGGGAGGGAGGGGAGGGGAGGGGAGGGGAGGGGAGAGAAGAAGATGAGGAAGAAAGGGCAGTGATGGATTGGTTTATATTGACTTTTTATACAGTCTTAAGCATGTTAACTTTCTATGACAGGTATATGAGTACCAGAGGAAGGCAGCTCGTGTCGTGTTTGGCCCAGATATGGCTATTCTTGGACCTCATGAAGACTTCAATGTTCTCAGTCTTAGTGGTATGTAAAAAAACCTCAATGTCATAGATAAAATGATCAACTTATATGCAGTCGTTCCATACATGTATTGTTTTTATTTATGCAGTCAGTGGATTGTCTATGATGGAAGGGAAAAAAAAGTTTTAAGAAAAGGGGAAAATACTCTTCTTGGTTCACATATGCAGTGTTTACTTGTGTACATGTGTTCCCTCAATATATTTAACTCTTCAAGTTTGAATGTATAATGCTGATTTCTCTTTGCTTCTGCATGTATAATGTTCCTATACTCTTACAACATGCAGTGATAGCAATAGGCCACTTTCGTAGTGTAATCAAATTTATGCATATATATGCATTTGTGAAGCACCTCATATGGATTATCATCTGGGAATTATGTCATTTAACTGTTACGAATTTATGCATTTCAATAGTCAGAATGTAATTTGCATACATTAGTCTTTGCCAGGAAGGACATATTTTCCCTATCTAACGTAATATATGTATTTTGCAATTTGATTATTGAAATACAATTATTAATTGCAGGTGAATGAAATAAATTTGCAATGAGGCACTTTGCAAAGACGTATGCATTACATTTGGTCCATTACGAAATTTGGCAATTACAAGTGTGCATATCCCAGGCTTATAGGAAGCGTCATGGTGTAGTGGTTCTGACTCTCGTCTTTCAGTAATCATAAGGTCGTGAGTTCGTAACCCACTCCAGTATGTTAATTTCCTTCAGCAAGGTGAAGTAAATGGGGACCTGGTAGGAAACGCAGAGCTCGTGACAGCTGCTCTGCTAAAGCCAGGGTAATTATGCCTCATTATTGTAGAGCGCTTAGAGACTTCTAATAAAGTAAGTCAATGTTAATATTTCTGCATAATCTGTCTCTGTTTTTTGTACAGCTGGTAAACCCAAAGTGGAGAATGCTCTCAAAACCATCTGCCTCATGCTGGGACCAGATTACATCACAGACATTCTGGAGGTGAGTATTAATAAGACATACGAGGGTGTGCCACTCTAACGCCGGGTCACTTTTTCACAAGAAAGCCCTAAACACGAGTCCCATTTAAATAAAAAAATATCCCTAAACATGGGTAAACGTTTTTTCAAAATTTCCAAATTTTTTTGGTGTTTGCAATTGTGAAAGAGGGCTATACTTCAAGAAAAATCTGAGTACCCCCCCCCCTCCGCGACTTCCGATTCCTGTACAATGCAATGGTGCCTACATAGGCACACAAATCATCAGGAAAGTTCATGAAATCTGAACAATAATCAGGTAAAATAAGAAATTAGTTGACACTGCTGTACAACCTCTGTACCATCTTCCCCAGTATCCTATCTGCACATGTGCTGACCTGGGCAGTGTGGAAGGAAGGTCATCATTTACCATCGAACATCGTATATTTGCGGTAGGGTCGATTTTTTAAATGCATATGAATAAAAACATGTAATGGAATAAAATATTGATCCTTTAAATCTCTTTTGTAGGTGGAAACCGCTGACCATGCACGTCTAAAGATAAAGATCGCTTTCAACAATCATTTTGAGGTGTGTATTATTTCCCTTTCTTTATAAACAACTTATACACGTTTTATGTTGTATTTGCAATGTCCTTGTTGATTTGTATTTCAAGTATATAACTTAAATGTGCCCATTCTTAAAAAATATTGCTGTTTATTGGTGATTATATTGGGCAGACTATCACTATTAGACCTAAGGTTTCAGAATAGGAAACCAGAAATACATTGGCACTGATGTTGTGTAAGATATGTTGCATCAAAACTGCTGATCATGTATAATCTGTATAATCTATTATAAAATGTGCTATAAAAGGCATACTCCAGTGACATATTTATGTCTCTTTTTTCATTTGTAGTTTGAACGAGGAAACGGGGATAGTGCAATCTTCTCTGTACCTGACTTCATTGGATTTGCCTGTAGAGAAGTTGGTGAGTCTCAATAATTGTTCTCATTATTGCAAGATGTTGCAGAAATGTGATTCCACTTCTAGAAGTATTGGCAAGAGAAGGTCTGAATATTCAAGGTATCCTTCATTATTATCTATATAAGGCTTCCAAGTGGTACAATAAATCAGTGTATTCTGACAATATTGGACTCATTCAATATTGTCATAGCTTGAGCAATATGTTCTTGTATAAAACACTCAAAGCCATCCAATATTATATAAGTATCTAAGTCTGAAATACTGCTAGGTGAGAAAGGACCTAAAGTAAATTCCTCCCCCAAGAGTGCTTCAATTTTGAGCTTTTTAAAGAGAGAAAGCATTTTTTTTATCATCTGTTTTGTAATGATTCTGCATCACTTTTTGCCCTGGTAACCAACGGTGTATACATGTATACATGTATGTATGTTTGTTCCTTCACAGGAAGTCGCATCCGGGCTGTGGTGTCAAGGGTCAAGTTTGATGAGTTTCATCGTCATTCCATGCATCTGCTGAAGGCTGGTGTGTTCGGGTACAACCCTGATGGGAGTGTCAAAGAGAGACTGGTCTTTGAGGCTAACAAGCTGGTATGTCAAGCCCTGCATTCACATCTAGAGGAGTGTTTCACAAAGATCCTAAGTCGAACTTAACTCTAAGTTGGACTTAAACATTATGGAGAGCCATTTGTAGCCTTAAAATAATATACATTCAAAGGGCAAAAATTCAAGTATTTAGACTTTTCTTAAATTCCACATGAAGAATATGAAGTCTCCTTGATAATAGAAAATATGAATGATTTAAATTAACATTTTATGCCTTTTAAAATAACTTTTACAAAATATTTTCAAAGATGCTAACAGCTTTCCATAATTATTAAGTCCAACTTAGAGATAAGTTCAACTTAGGATTAGTGAAACACCCCCAGCTTACATTGTAGAATTAAGTGCACATTCTTGGTCAACAGAGCTTATATTCAAATTTGTAAATAAAGAGTGATTATTTCCTAGAAATCTGCATTTCAATGCCTACCCACCCATTCTATATTTCCAATCTACAGTATTCTTTTTTTGTTGCTTTCAGAGCTATGTTTAGCTTTCCAGAGGTTTTTTTTATTTTTTATTTTTTAAAGATTTTAGAGTTAAATTTCTCTCAAGTACTATAATTGCATCATCTAGACATCAGAAATGTTTCCCGTCACATGTTAATATGTAGAGGTTTTGTTGAAGGTTAGGCTTCCCGGGAGAAGTTTCTCCCCTTGGTGCACATAATCACTGTGCATGCAAAAAATTCTTTACAATATGTAGACAAAGGTGTTGAGAAATCTGTATTTCATGTAACAATACCTTTAATTTGTTACTGTATAGTAAATTTACAATTAACAACTGAATTATTCATATCCCTCGTAATTTTTTTTTTTTTTTTAAATTTTTTTTTTTTTTTTTTTGGGGGGGGTTTGTTTTTCTTAAAACTTAAAAATGAAAAGTGGACTGGCTGAATCAGGACCTTTGCTGAATACTTTTAGATGTACGCTTTAATAAGTCACATTCTCAAGAAACATTAAACAGGACAAACCAATTTCTCACGTACTTAAAAAATTACTAATATTAGTAAGGGCATGAATAATTTACTCCTGACGACGGAGAGTCAACTTGTTCGAAACGTTGAGCCCCCTCCTACCACCCATCCTCTCCAACTTGCACTATAGTTCTCTTTAGAACTATAAGCTCAAGAAAGATTACCAACAGTCCTTATTCAGGACTACACACACACTCAAGTAAGAAAGATTACTGCATGACAGTCCTTTTCAGGACTTCCCAATCCTCCCCCCCCCCCCTCCCCCTCTCAAAAGGTGCAACTGTAAGCCTACTGTATATGAATAATTTAGTTGTTAACTACATCTCTTCTTCTTCTTCTTGTATCCTTTGCTCTTTAGGTAATCACCAATGTTGACATCCAAGCCATAGAACCAGTGGATTCCACAATGAGAAGCAGTCTACTCAAGTCTGTTCAGATGGCCATCGAAATAGCAACTCAGTGAGTCGTTCATTTGCATATCCAAGCCTTATGATGGGATTAGGAAGGGTTTTATGCAATCACAGATAAATGTCCTTCAGAATGAGCACAGTAAATGATGAGAATGTAATCTCTTGTGTGTTGAATATTAGTCATGTTTGCAATTTTGTAAGTCAACAACTACCTGCTTTTGTACCATGAGCAGTACCTACGTAGGACATAATTTTCTGCAAACTTAAAGGAGACTTATTCCTTCATGTTAATTACAGAGGAACAAACAAAACAGAGAAACAGATATGGTAAATAAAATTTTAGAAAATTCTGACAAAGTGTGAGAAACTGTCCAATTTTTTCATCGCCGAGATCATTACCTGTATTGATTTCAGAATAGCCTTTTGGCAATGTGGCCCCTTTTATAATTTAAAGAGGGAGGACTCTGCATTTAATTTGCCACAAAAGCACTTGAATTGTATATAAAAGTACACCCCATTAATTTATATTCTTTGTTCTGATGTATGAGTAGATATGTTAAGAGAACAGCTGACCTTGATACAACCCACAAGTAAAAGATGGTTAATGAAATTCTAGAGAGACATTTGCTAACCAAAAACCCTGTAGGAACCCTTGTTCATTACATATTCTTTATTGTCATATAGATCTAGTCAGAGAACTGCTGGCCAGGAAATAGCCAGCATGGAATAGGACTCCGAGAGCGAAAGAAGTTAACCAATCAACTTGTTGAAACCCTTGTGAATAGCGTATTGTTCTGTCTTTGTATATACTTGTAGATCCGTTCAGAGAACAGCTGGCCAGAATGCAGCCTGCAAGGAACAGGAAGCCAAGGGACTCCTAGAGAGACAGAAGCTTGCTAATGAGCAGGAGAATGAGAAGGCCCGTACCATACTCCATGAGCTGAGAGCCAGTGCAAGCGCCGTGGAGTCCTGCGGGCAAGCTACAGCTGAGGCACAGGTAAGCTAGGCCACAATTTGTGACCCTACAAAAGCACCAAATAGTCACCAGAAAACACTTTTTATAGTTACGGGGTGATTCCGAAAGAGGAGAAGCTCAGCTTTCAAATTCTTTATTACTCATCACAATTGAATGTCCCTAACTTAATTAAAAAAGAGAAGGAAAAATACCACTTTTAAATTGTTTTGTGCTTTCAAAATTTGAAATTACATAGACAAAAGTATACTCTTCCAGGAAATACTGAAAACAAATATTTGAACATCCGGACCAAATACACCTGGATTTAGCTCTTGCTGCAATCATATTATAAACCTTTACGTCAGTCAGGAATCCCATGTCTTTTACAATTTGATCGCCTGTCTGATTATCAAGATATTTATGATTTGAAAACGAAATTTCACATTTCGTTTTTATAACACTACAGTCTATTGGGGAAAATGAGTATGGTAAAACTTGTCACTCAAAGATTTTTAATTTTTTAAGGCACTTCATGATCATTTTGAAGCACAATTTGTTTAGGGCCTTAATATTACACCAGATCACAGACACTGATAACACATAGTGCCATGCATCTCAGATTTAACATTGTCAAACGATGACTTTAAATCATTGTCAATGTAATCTTGTTTCCCAGGCCCAAGCAGAGAGGCTCCTGATCGAGGGTCACAGCGCCATCGAGGCAGCTCGTCTCAAGGCAGAGGCTGAGGACATCCTATGTGGCACCGATCTGAACAACACTCAGATGGCCCAGGAGTCTGAACTCAACTATGTGAGAGAGCAGAATGAGCTAGAGATAGACAAGACTAAACAGCTAGCAGATATTGAGGTCAGTTGGCTCTTCTTAATTACTCTGCCCCAGGTTCCCAACCTTTGCATGTGGTGGAGTTTTATTTCATGTGCTATGCTTGTATTGTAAAAGACAACAGAGGTACACATGTATCGACAATGTACAACCTCTGTGACAGTAATCCACAGGTTAGTGGGTCCCAAGCATGGCAATAATATCCTTTGGCAATACATCGATTTACATTTGCCATCCTCAATCTAGGTGTAGTAAGTTGTTCCCTAGAATTCCTTGAATGCATGAATGCGGTAAAGGTAGCCATACTAAAGCTGAGGTAATAACACTGGAGCTCTAGCAGTGTCATTTGACACAGACATGAGCCAATGGTTCTGATCGTGCTGCCCTTCAAATAGTGCCTTGAAGGTATCAAGGCCAGGATTATCTGTGAATAAATTATTAGCACCCTCAAAGCACGGATATGTAATAAAAATATTTTTTAAATATTTTAAAAATAGAGCAAATGTGTATATACACTGTATTTATCATTTTATCATCAAGTTGTTTGACCTCCTAAACATAATTTCTCTTTTCCATTTCTTTATCTCCTTGTTACCGGTACATCATAAAGGTTGAAAAGTTTTCTGAAATGGTGGAAGCCCTTGGAGCGGACGCCATCATGGAGATGGCTAATGCTGGACCCAAATTTCAGGTAAGGAAGCGAAATGCCAATATCAGACCTGCCAACAAGTACGATTTAGTTGTATTTCGTACGATTTTTAGAAGCAAATACTACAGTACGATTTTCCTCAATAAAATACGATTTTTATTTTTATTTTGTGTGTGTGTGCCATTTTCAATGGCAAAATGCCCATCCTGACCTTTAAAGTATACTACAAGCATCTCACATTGGCAATTTGGGGATGTTCATTGGTTCATCGAACATACCAGTCGTGACAAAGTCATGCATATTCAACCAATGATCCATTTAAAAAAAATTCTTCCTGTATGTAGGAACTGTAAGAGGCATTGATCTGCGTAACAGTTCGTGTTTATTTTAAGAATACAACTTTTGTCAGTAGAATACAATTTTGGGATCAAAGAATACAGTTTTTGAACTCCAGACATAACATATTCAAATTTATGGATGTTTCTTTCCTGGGGACCTAGTGATGTGTTATTCCATTGACCCCATTATAAATGAATGAACTACAATACTTGAAAAATAGTCTGCATACATTACTTGTTGCTATGTCAGACAAGCTTTCAGGTTGTCAACAAGAACCTTTGTTCAAAAAAGTGTGCATAAAATGTGAATGTTAGTGAACCGGTCTATTTAGTGGAACTGCCATGTAAAATTTAGCTCCCCCCCAAAAAATCCAAGTTTCCTGATTTTAGAAAAATAATTTCTATTATGATATTTGAAATCTACACTTTTCATTCTGTTTTTGTGAATTGTACCCAATTTTTTTTTTTACTGGTCTACATGAACATGTAACTTTGTTGAGACACTTTTTAAAATTACAAATCTGGTAACTACACTTATCATGTTTTGACATATATTTGCCCTTCATTATTGCTGTTTCCATGTATTTCATCTATTCATCACAAAATAATTTGTTAATTTTGTTGATGTTTTCTTATTTATCTGCCATTTCCTCATCTCATCGTTGTCTATCTATGTCTACTCTACAAAGAGTTTTTCTTTCTACCTGTATCTTTTAGAATATGATCATGCTAATATTACATTCTTTTTTCAATATTTTTTCGCATTCAGGCTGAACTGCTGAGCAGTCTTGGGCTGGAGATGACGCTTTTCACTGATGGAAGTAGCCCCATTAACCTCTTCAATGTTGCAGACGGTCTTGTAGCTCAACCACAAAAAAGTGAAATGGCCTGAAAGGTTTCATAGAATATTCCTACAATATATTGTTACATGTGTAGAAGCAGTAACAGGTCTTGTTTTGGGGGTCATTAAATATTGTGACAAAAAAGGTCTTGCATTTACAATGTAGATCATTATAGTTTCAAACTACTGGTACATTGTATGTGCAAAGTTAACACATTAAAAGTTCATACCTTTCCTATTTCGATTCGGATATTACTAAAAATTTCACTATTTTTTTCTCTCTTGTTTTTCTGCTTTCAATAATACAAGCTCATTAACAGGGTGGACTTCCACATTAACTACTGAGTTCTCTCATACCCCTAGTCTAGACTTAATGCAGTAGGCAATGGCTGAGGTAAGGAGGGATATTTAAATGAGAAAATAATAAACTTATTCATGTACTTAAGCTTACATTTAAATTGTTATATTTTAGATACTGAAAGTAAAGCTGTTGAAACTATTAAAGGTGAATTTTGGAATATGCAATAAAGCCATCAGTCACATGTTAGAGAGTATATATTTATAAATGTATATCATTGCAGAAACTGCACGTTCTAAAGTAATATAAATATGTTTACATGTATTAGAGTAAAGGAATTGGGTCACATTTGGTATGGCAATGAAACCAACAATTTATCTCAACATCTGTAGTGGCTGAATAAGCTTTATGCAAGAAAACAAAGTTATGAAATTAGCTTGTATTTCATGCTATAAAGCATCGGGATAGAGTAGAGACTGCTGTGAAATAATAAATGTCTTTCAATCCTTCTTGTACTAATATTTATATATATTGGTAATGTATACCGGTATGTAATGTTATAATGAGGATAATGCTAGTATTTGTCTGGTGAATATAGTATGTGTGTAATTGGGTTTTTATAGACATGTATCAATCAGATATGAATGTTTACGTCCGGGGACCGACCTTTTATAGAAAGGTCAAGATTAGCAGTGAGAAGAATACAATAGAATTACAAATTAATTATTGAATGCTGGGATGAAAGGAGTGAGAAATTGATTGCTGTTGATATTATTATGTGTTACAGGATTATAAATACATCATATATGATTAAATGAAGGTAACTAAACATGGCCTAACAAGAACATCAATGCCTTCATGAAATTATTAATGATTATTGATAACAAATTATTTGCCCAAATATATACTATTATATAGTTAGTGATGACTTTTATGGTCTTTGATCATGCCATTCTACAACAGGGTTGTCATAAATTATGTACATGTAACTCAGCTGGAAGTCAGAAAACTTCTAAATATTCATATAGTATGTATTTTGTTATATTGTTGCTACATGTATATAGAAATTGTGTATTTTGATATGAATTCCTAAGTTGGGTGGATCTCTAACAGAATTTTGTTTACAGAGATATCTGTTTTAAAGAAGAAATAATAACCAATGCTTTTCAATCCTGCAGCTCAAATCTGTCGCATGAATTCAACTGTTTGTATATGTAATGTATCTACCCATACATATACGTTTACAGTAGGAGAGATATTATCCATATAGCAAAAACTAGAACAAATTAAACATTTGAAATCAATCTGTAATCATGGAGAAGCAATGTTGTGAACAGGAATGCTTTGTTCCCCTCCCCCTCCTCCTTTTCCTTGTTTTCTGTATGATAATTATCTACATGTATGTCATAATGATGCATGAAAGATGATAGTATGAACTTAAAATTTTACCATTCCTATTTTATCACTTGTAAGACTCCACTCTACATTTCTAATACAAATTGAATACATGCAAACTAAAATCCATATACCAAAACTATTGCTGTGAATGAGTTCTGCCTCCACGAATTGTCATTTTGATGCAGATTTATATTTGACACTAATTTTCATTTGTTAATTTCTTTTGTTTTGATTTCTTTGACTAGGATTGATCTATTGATTAGTGTGTGAATAATGGCAATTCACTAATTCATGAAATTCAGATTTAGATGTGATAAAACCCTTTATATATCAGTAGAGAATCTCTTTTCAATGCATTTTATTTATCTATAGAAACTAGTGCTGGTTATTATGTATACTTGAAAAGTGAACTCATATGGATTGTTTCGACAATACTTTACATTTATCCTTCATTATTTTTTAATTTTCAATTTTCTTTATGTTAAATAGGTGCAATAGTCTAGGTTTCATTGTCATAAATAATATTTTTCAGGTGATAAGTGTATTGGAAATGTATTTACATATTCACATACAATTAATGGAATACAAACTCCTCAATTGTCCCATTTAGAGATTTGAAAAGTATCATCATTTTTTAAATCTATAGGGATTCTTCAACTCTTCATATGTCACACAAATAATCTTCCTGTGCCAAATCATATTTTTCCATTAATTGTGCCTGTTATTTTGTGCAAATATATAAGTGAGCGTGCAGAGAGGTAAAGTGGTAGTGGAAGTCAAATTTATAGTCACATGGCCTTTTAATAGTTATCATATCGAACTCTTACAAAGTATTTCAAAAATAGTGGAAGATGATTTGTTTTTGTAGTGTGTGGCACTTTTAATCGGTGCCTTACATATACATATTTGTATTTTTCCATACTTCATTATTCTTGCTACCTCTTATTAAAAAGTAGAAAATTCTGTTGTATAAGTGTTTGGAATGTTGAGTAAATTTTATGTCTGAAAGACGCAACCTTTTTGTATAGATCTTTGAATTTCCATTTATTCATTAATGATAATTAATTTTCTATTATGGATTCTACATTTAATCTTGAGTCAGACTTTCCCTCACTTGCGACAAACATTGAGAAATTGTATGGATGTAGTTTGTGTGGGGTCTAAAAAAATGTTATTTACATAGCAGTAAAATACCTGAAAGTCATATATTCAGAGTACCAATATATAGTTTTGATTATGAATAAAATTCAAAAAGGAAACTAAATTGTGTGTTATACATGTATCTTATTATGTTTTCATTATTTTTCCTGTGAGATTGTAAAGGAAGAGAAAGTTCTATTTCTAGACATTTAATAAGGACAAAGGGTAGGCAAATTATTATGACTCATTGGTCCTTTTGGCTTTCAAGGCAAGGAAGTCACTTTGAATTTTGCCTTTCACATTCCTGATGCTACAAGAAAAGAAAAAAAAAAGATGAACTTTTTACCAAACCCAAGATCTACACTTAAACAAGGAGTTTAAAAGAAATATGTGGGCTCTCTGAGATGAAAAAGAAATTGAAATGTGCAAGAGAGAGGGAGAGGGAGATAGAAGTAGAAAACCAGGATAGATAGATCTCATATGTAGTCTGATTCTGGTGTGATTTTATAATGCATGCAGATTAGTGTATAGTGCTCGCCCCTCTTGGAATTATTCTCCAATTTATAAACCACATCTCAGATACTTTCGTGCACATGCAGATAGCAGAAGGTCATTTGTACAACACCTTAAAACACATCAAGACAAGTGCTAGATTCGTGTTCATGAAAGTTAATAATCGTTATTCATTTATGCACTGACGGTACATTCCATGATACACACTTGGAAGTATCTTTTTCAAGAAGCCAAACAAAAGGTATTGTAGACTAGATGGAACTTAGACTGCACGCAGTCAATTTTTCAAATTCAAGTTTGATTGTAATCCATGATCAGGTTCTCAGAATATCATGATTACAAGCTATTTTCATTAACATGTATGACCCTTTGACTTCATGACCCTAAAATCTAATCGGTTCATTGGCTCTGCAAGATACATACATGTCCTGAGTTTGATAGTAACCCATCCGTCAGTTCTAATGAGAATGAGTTCACAAGTTAATTTTTGCATACACAATGAGCCCCATGACCTTTGACCTCATGACCCCAAAATCTACTCAGTTCATTGGCTCTGCAAGATACATACAATTGGAGTTTGGCAGGAATCCATCAATCGGTTCTGGAGATAACGCGATCACAAGATCAATTGTAAAATTGCTATCTCTGAACTGGTCTATTGCAACAGCATGTTTTCTTGACATTGTCGATTTACTAGAGCTGATAAGAATACTTCCTCTCTTAACTTAGTTGACTTGAATAATGGACACCAGACACCATGAACTTGGAATAATACTTTTATTCTTTAATGTAACTCTTTTTTAGATGATTTTTAAGAAGAAAATGTAATGTTGATTAAATCAAATGTGGCAACTAATAATATTGAATCTACAATAGTGGGGAACAAAATTCAATAGCAAATACATGATTTTGTGTGTACAGAAAATGGCCTAAACCATGACAAAGTAAAATTATGCAAGGTATGACAAAAATATAATTTAAAAAAAAAACAGGAATAAAAAGGGATTTCTGTTTAGGAAGAATCCCTATATAAAAAAAAAATTCAAAATAAAAAGGTCATCACGGCTCTTATATCCTTGAGGCTTTCTATCTGTATTATTCCTCCTCACCCCAGGTTCTCAATAGGTACCCAGTAGGATACTAAAGTTAATATGATTGGATTACATGTGGGGGCCTATAAAAACTATGGCGACTAGGTAGCTGGAATGCTCAAAAAGGAAGCTGTGTGCAAAATAGGTACTACACGAACTCACAGAAATGTGAAGTGCATTATGCTTTATGTCATAAAAAGAATCGCAGTGGGTTACTCTGACTCTGAACAACTGAATGAAATACTCGACATAGCTCTTGGAAAAGTAGCATCCACAAATACACTTTTCCAATCTCTACATACTGGCTTTTTATGCTTCTTTTCCCACTAGAATACAATGCCCTGGACTTTAGAAAAAGAGTATTGTACTGAAATAAAATTGTTTCAAAAAGGTAAATATTGAGAGTCCAATGAGTCCAACGACAAAAATGTTTGTGCCTTTATCTTTAAGATCGACACTTTAGTTTCTTTTTACATGATAGTTGTTCTGGTGTTTAATCCTTCTTAATATTGAGAGTCTAAAAAAAAATCCAACAACAAAAAAAAATCAATATCAGTCTTCATCGACTTTTGAGCTTCTTTTTCGATGTCGATGGTTGATCCAACTCCTCTTCATACTCTATTTCGACCCTGGCGTGTTTCCTCCTTGACGTGACTTTCTTCTTTGATGAAGAGGCCTTTTCCTTCTCTAGTTCATCATCACTTTCATCTTCATCGTCGTCTGAAGATGATGAGTTATATCCCTGGGGCCTTAGTTTATCCATGTCCTACGAAAATAGTAGAAATGTAAAATGATTGATAATTTTGTATTAATTTTTTTTCTTTTTTCGGGGGGGGGGATATATTTTACACCATCATGAACTGCAATGCATGAGAGGGTAATAGGTAATGAAAAGGCAATGGCAGATATAAGGACATGGTGTAAATACTGTTTTCAAGATATCTAACTTCAATGATTATGCCGTAAACCACTGCCCCCACACACAATTTTTTAATATTTTTAATGGCAACCAAACTTTCTTTGATTACCTCAGTGATAGTGTTAATGATATCTTGACTTTTTTAAAAGATCTGAAAAATATTTTTAAAATAATTAAATATCAGGGGGAGGGGGGTTGGGTGGAGTGGGTGGGTGTATGTATACATGGTAGAACTGTACACCTTTAAATGTCTGGGTTTCAAGATGCAACAACCCTTTTCACAACTGTAATTTTGCGCACAATAGTTTTGGCTCTGAATATAGTTCATCATCTCTGTTTACAAAAGCATGTCAGCTGCTGCTTTACCGGTAATCTAAATCCCATGATCTACATGAATTTTTTTTACTTGTTATCTGATTTACATCAATGAAAAAGATGCACCATTTCAACCAATAACGACATCATAATAATAGGATCAAGATCAGTGGATCATACCTCAAAATCACTGAGGTCGCTCTCAATGAAGTCTTCATCAGCAACGTATTCAGTTTCTAATTCCTCCTCCTGAAAAAAAGATAACAAAACATCAGAAAAGAAATTACTATATATTCAAATAAATTGACTAAAAACCCTGATACTCACTACAGCAGGGATGGAAGAGATCGGTTTACTAACATATTCAAATTTTATGCATACTTTTAAACAAAGTTTGTTCTTGACAACCTGAAAGCTTGCCTGTGTCTTTCCTGACATAGCAACAAGTAATGTATGCAGAATGACTTCCAAATATTGTAGTTCATTCATTAATAACTGGTTAATTGAATAGCTCGTCACTATGTCCCCAGGAAAGAAATATCCACAAACTTGAATATGTTAGTAAACTTGTCTATTCTGGAATAATAGTACTTTGAACTTTTACAGATGATCAGGCATATTGCTGAATACTTCAATTTCTAAAAAATTCTTACACTGTAATCTCTTATAAGAGATTGCCCTTCCCTCATTTAGAGAAATCACGAGAATTATTCCTCAGCCACAAGCTTTGTCAAAAGAAATATAATTTTAGTATGGATGCTTGCTTATGAGACAGACCAAATTTGTGACCTCTGAAAGAATAATGAAAGAATTTACCCTGTATGGGCAAACATTTAATTAAAAAATTCACAAGAGAACATCTGCAATACTACAGACATATTAACACATTAATACTAAATTGACAATATTTCATGATTTTAATCACACTCGAACAACAAATAACCCTTTGAACTATGACCCTTGCAGACACAAAAAGGGCAGCTTTACCTCTTCAGCGGCAGCGGCTTCTCTCTCTGCGGCTGCTTCTGTCTCTTCCTCCTCTTCTTCCTCGCCATCAAGTGCTCGATCAAAAGCATGAGATGGGAAGTTGTAAATGTCTCCATACTGCAAGTGTATAAATAGAAATGCACAAATGAAAACATTGTTGATCAAACAGTTTTTGAGCATCAAGTAACGCCTAGCTGGAATGCTCCCCAGGGAGTGGAGATTGTGCACACATTGTATGCGGGCAAGCACTGAATCAAATGACCGGGGCAATAGTATATCCTTATGGCTTAGAGCTGTCTGAGATGTATTAAGCGCTATATAAAAGCTGAATATTATTATTATTATTATAATTCAATGGTAGTATTTAACGTCAATCTGTTTCACTGCCATTACGCTGTAAAGTACAAATTCTTAACAGATAAAAACAAAATGGATACAAAAAAGTATCACTATTATGAAATATGATTACAATTGATACAAAAGGCCTTTTAAATAGGACTGAATAATGCAGAAAAAGACAAATTGACTTGAAATTCATATATTCTCCACGTGACATTTAGCATTCCTGCTACCCCTTTTAACAAATCATCCCCAAGACACAACTATTTGATTAAATTGCCAGAAACAATCAAATTGTTTTTACCGTTCCGGACTTCAATCGATCAAGTAGTTCCTTCTCGATAGCATTGTCCAGTTGAGCAGCAATCAGGGCCTTCTCCTCTCTCCTTGATTCCCTCCTCTCAACTTTCCTAGCAAGGGGCACTATCTTTTTTCTGCAGGTAAGAAAACACAACAAATTAATATGCCGATAAAAAAACAGTAAGAATGATGTCATATGGGGGGGGGGTTCCACTTTTTACATCTGGATTATGATGTTGTATGGTATGTTCCACTCACTTCACACTTATTGGATTAAAAATATTCCTGATCTTTTATTCATGCCTTTTCTTTCCAACTCCATTCAATTCTTTCAAGTTAATGATATACATGAACATACCTTATCTGTCCAAGTTTTACAAGAAGATCAACTGTTTAAGCCTCGGTCACAAATGGCATTACGAACTGCTATGAACGCCGTACGAACAATTTTCAGACCATGGGAAAAAAAGTAGATTCGTACGAACCTTTGTGACCGTAGCTTTACAGGTACTATGTCCCTTTTGCAGCCAACCTCAAATTCTGTAGAACTTTGCAGGAATTATGAATATGTCATGTATGTCCTATCTGTGAAATTTAAACGTTAGCAGTGTCCTCATATTCAAATTATGCAAGAAAACCCGTTTACTTGCTAGGCTTCACTGTCAGACACTATTGAGTGACTGACTGGCTTTTTTCTTCTTTGGTAATAACATACATGTACATGAAAAGAGTTGTTAAGGGTACATGAGCATTTGTCTACATCAATAACCCACTTCTTGTGATGGCCAAGATTAAACTGATTGAATCTTTGCGCAGCATAAAACGTATGACCATTCGGTGCAATTGTCTGAAAATTAAAAATATTACTTTTGGGCTCTATAGCCCTAAAGTCGATTTGACAACTATTAGTCATTATTTTCCCACTTGAAGACATTTTCATGCCCCACCTTTTGTATGGAAGTTCTAAATAAGTATTATCTTTCAAAAGCAGTTGGAATTTAACTTTTTCATTTTTTGGGCCTGCAAATGGGACATAGTACCTTTAAGTAAGACAATATTGACTTTTGCCAAATTACTTCAAACTTGATGGAAAATGTTACTGATTTGAAAGAATTTGAAAGAGTTAAGGATAAGGAAAGGGAAAATAACAATGAGGACAGAGGAAAGAAGGAACAAAAAACCCAACAACGAGTGATAAAGAAGAAAAAGAACGAAGAACAACATGCTCCCCAGGGAGTGGAAATGTGCATACAATGTGTGCGACTTAAGCCTGAATCCGATGACAGGGGTAATGATGAAATATGTAAAACGCTTAGGCACATCATTGTACCGATGTATGGGCGCTATATAAAAGCGGAATATTATTATTATTATTATAAATAAATAATAATCACTCACTGTCTCCTAAGCACCAACTTGCGCATGCGAATCAGGTACTGGGTAATCTTGGTGAAGCGTTGCTTGCACTTGTGCTTGATGAAGCCCGGCCAGAACTTGAGATTCCTGTTGATCTGGACGAGGGCTTTCTCATAGTTCTTGGACAGACGAACCTTCTCCCACAACCTGTCTGGAAAGGCCGCCCTCTCAATGGTCTTCATATACAGGTAGCAGACACCTAAAAAGAACAAAATATCAGAATGTTGATCAATTTTCTAGCTGGTTTATCTAAAAAGAGTAAATAATAATAATAATAAAGGGCATTTATATAGCGCCATCTATCTAGACAATTCTATTCTGAGGAGCACAAGTTAAATTATTACACCTCTTTAGCCTAGCTGCCATTACAGCGCTCTAGCATTTCAAGGAATTTATTCCTGCCAAGGTACTGTTTATAGGATAACCAGACAACAGTATCCTTTGAATAGAAAAAGAAGAGGATGAACATATTCAAGTATAAGTGTGTATCAAGAAACTTGCAGGGGAAATTATATATTTTAATTTGGTTGCCTTGGGCTACTCACAAAATCATCTGGATTTTGGCCGTGCAGTCGATCTCCAAATAAACTTGAAGAGGTGACTATTCCACAACAATCAGCAATATTCAAAAACAAACTTTCATTTCACAGTGTAAAATGAACAAATATCTTATTTCAATATAATTCCTTTGATTTCTGTATCCTCTCGATTGGAATTCCTAGGCTGTTTCAAACTCTCGCACTATATGAGTATTATAGGAGGTCACTCCAGTGAATCCCATTAGCGTACGACGCTATCCTAAAGATAACCTCATACATGAGTAAGTGGACTATGACAATCGGGGGCTTAACTGAAGAATACCCCACCAATAGGGTTAATGTACTTAGACGTCGAAGGCCTAGGGTTAGAGTTAGGGTTAGGATTAGGATTAGGTTTAGTGTTACTTAAAAAGCTTAAGTCTTGAGATTTTATAGCTTCATTGGTGAAGCGTTTGGTACCCTACAAACGTTTGGTCAATTTATGTGGTGGGGTATTCTTAAGTGCCAATCGGGCAAGTAGCAGCCAACTTGTCCCGCTTGACCTGTCAAACATGACCTACCATTCTCTTCTCTGACCGTGGCATACTGGCTGTTGGCGAGAGGGCAGGAGGCACGATTGCATTGTCCGGTCAGGTTGTACTCATTCCTGCAGAACTGTTGTGTGTGGACCTTGGTGTTCACCTTGAAAGAACAGAAGGTCGTGTTGATGATGCTCCAGATGACCTACAATTAAAGCCAAAGAGAAGAAAAAGTCACAAAAAATATAAACTTGATAGAACCAAACAAATCTTAAGTTGCGATCTCTCTCTATCTCTCCCAATTTATTTGATATATCTTTATCCCTCTCAGGCTCTCTCTCTCTCTCTCTCTCTCTCTCTCTCAAACTGTCAAGAGTCAAAGTCGGACTCAATCTCTTTTGAAATTGATACTCGATAATTGATATCGAATGGAGGAGAGCATAACAAATAAAACCATGATTGTGCTCCTCACTTACATGTATTACCACTTTGGTAATTTACAAAATTTACAAAATCTAAAAAAACTTTATATTTTGATTTTTTTTTTTTAAATTAAAGAAAGGGGACTCAATTTGCAATCTAAGAATTTTAGCCCGGCCCGAGTTGTAATTTGTATTTGTCTGATTGTCTGATGTTGAGTTCGCGTCTAGAACATATGCCATTAGGGTGTCTGATCGCGCACTCGGTTTGGTGTGCTAAAGTCCTCCCCATAGAGATTGCACACATCACTATGTAGTCCATGTGCATTGCACGCTCATGCAAACTTGGTCAATGATTTTATTACCAAAATAATAATAATAATAATGATAATAATGGTTTATTTACCAAGGGTAGCCACTTCAGTTATGAAACTGCTCTTTCAGCAGGCCCTGCTAACATAATATGTTATTACTACCCTTCTCCAATCTAATATGCTGAGCACCCAGCTAGAAGGCAGAAGGTCCCATTGTTATAAGTCTTTGGTATGACTCGGCCGGGGATCGAACCCACGACCTCCCGTTCATGAGGCGGGCGCTCTAACCACTGAGCCACCATGCCCGGTTCAAAAATGAGATTCAAACCAATATATCTCGTGACCCTGAAGGTAATACTCAATAAGTGAGGTGTCATATGAAAGAGCAGGTTTTTCTCCACATTCCCCAAAGGGGCTCACCCCAAAAATTCTAAAAATATTTTGCTTAAAACAGTGATTTAAACATTGTTTCCATAGTAACTCGGAGGTTTTATGGTCCAAACGGCTATCCATACTTTTATTCACTATACGCGCAGATGTTACGCGATGTAACCATGGTTTGGACTGAGCGGAGCTCACGCCTCCCAAATTAGCTGATTCCAAAAATGTGGGAAGGGTATTTTCAAACTGTTAGGGCGAGTGATCTCTTGGGGCTAGCGAAAAAATAAGTGCATACATATGTTCCTTACATCTCGCCGGACATAAGCCCGGGGGGCGCAGCTCAGGAAAGTGGCAAATTTTGGAGCTAGGATGCAAACAACATTTAAATCGCTGTTTTGACCAAGTTATTTTTAGAACTTCGGGGGTGCGCCCCTTTGGGGAATATGGAGAAAAACCTGCTCTTTCATATGACACCTCATTTATTGAGTTTCACCTTCAGGATCACAAGCCCTACAGGTTTTAATTTCAATTTTTTTCATAAAATCATTGACCAATTTTCATGGTCGCGCAATGCACGTAGACTGCATAGGGATGCGTGTAATCCTATGGGAAGTATTTTAGCACAAAACATCAGGTGCGCGATCAGACACCCTACAAATATCCAACAAAAATGGTGAAAAACAATCCCAAATTGATAATTGAAAAATCGTTCAGACACCCTAATGACACAGTCTACTCTAAATAGTCTAGGGTCTAATCTCATTCTTTTCAAGTGGCTTCACAATACAAGTGAAATCCCAAACATATCCAACCATTCACAACAATTTGACAAGAATCAACAACACACATGCATGATGCACACACACACACACACATAACTAATTAAACACACAAAATACTAAATGCGTGGGACTATCAATCACCAGTCTGGTAATAAACCAACCTCTTTTACCGTTCATACAAAGGCGTTAAATACATAATACATGTAAATTATCCTCTTTAAAGAGTTAAAAAACCGACTTACGTCATCGTGTTGCATTTTGCCTGACCACGCAAGAATTTATCACGAAAATTTAAAGGACAGCCGAACATGTGGCAGACTAAACAGGATAAAATTAGCACCCCGATATTGAGAGAAACTTGGAGGAAGAAGAAGGTATCTTCGAAATAAAAAATAAAATCAGAACAAAATAGAGAAGAGGAACATCTTCGGCGATCCCCGCGAGAGTTGTGTTTGTGTGTGTGCATGTGGGGCACTGACGTAGGAACACCCCCCCCCCCCTCCCCCGGTCAAAAATGTGGGGGAGGGATAATATCATTCCGCCTCCCCCCCCCCCTACTTGAATGGCTGAAAACCCTTTTTGTGCATTTTTTAAATAGTGTCCTTTTCCCTTTGGAAATGTATGCCCCCTTGTCTTTTCACCATAAAATGTAGGACTATTCCCAATTTAAAGTGACTAAGAGAAATTTTTTCTCTTCAATTTCACCCAAAGCTCGCTCGCATTTTAAGTTAATATAATTTTGTTTCTTATTAAAAATCTTTTCAGTCTTTCATGATTAGGATTTTTTTCTTTCTTCTTATCTTTATAAGATGTACGCACTGCGACTCATAAATCTTAAAATATTTGCTTGCTCGCTTCACTCGCTCACAAATAAATATTCAGACCATCACACCAACTGCAAAGTATGATTAGAGAACAATGAAATCATCCCTGATATTCTAATCACAATGTAGGGGTATAAGCTAGGCCTATATACCAATGTCTTAAAATTGTATTTTTTCTCTTATAGGTTTCCCTTTGTAAGTGCCCCTTTTTTCCCGAAAGTGCCCTTTTTGCAGTGACCCCCCGCCCCCCACTTCGAAAGACGCTCCGCCGCCCCTGGTCCACGGGTGGAGGTGATTGTTAAATCTCGAAGAACAAAATATATTTCCTCATGGAACAAAATATAATCCCTCATGTCCACAATTACATTTTGCATTTTTTAATTAATGAAAAATGTCTTAAAATGCTCGTGATTGGCGCTTTGCGCACATTCAGATTTTCAGGATGAGTGTTTCAGCCCAGTCCCCCCCCCCCCCCCCCTCCTCACTTCAAAAAAGCTTCCTACGCATAATTATGTGAAGGGGTTGTTGTTGATGTGGGGGTCACGCCGATTGTCCGGTTAACCATCACCAGAGATCGGGATTTCTATGATTGTACCCCCCCCCCCTCTCTCTCTCTCTCTCTCTCTCTCTCTCTCTCTCTCCCCGAACCGATTGCGCTCCGCATCTGTAACTATATATATATATATAAGTCTTGAAAGAAAGAAAAAACTGATAGGCCTATTAAAGTGAAGACGGTTCAGGACGCAATCCGTTCCAATTTTAGAATATATAATGATATTGATCCATCAAATTAAAATGATTTTATACAGATTCTGTGAAATCATTTCTAAAGTTCATGCGTTTGTGAAAGTCGTTAATATAAGTTGACTTTGTTTTATTTGAACCGGAAGCCATTAACCAGAAAGGTGAGTTTTTAACATAAGGTAACGTAAACACAGGGGACGGCTGGCCCCAGGCTGGCCCCACTCCCGCCTGCCCAGACGTTATTGGTTGATAACTATTTTTTTCTTCTCGAAGCCAGGTCATAAATGCTTTCCGTATAAAACGTTGTTTGTGTGGCGAAATATCTTTAAAGGTAAAGACCAGTATTGGAAACGCCCCAATTTCAAAAATGAAATGGAAGCTCTCATTACCAATCATGTGAAAGAATATGTTTTGACTAATACATGATGATAAAAAAATTAATTCATATTAATTAATACTAATTCATATATTTGGTAAATTTGTTTCTCTCATGGTCTGTGAGACACTGGAGAAACCTAAAAAAAAGAAAAAAAGAAAAAGGGGAAAGAAAAGAAAAAAAGGAAAGGAAAGAAAAAGAAAAAAAGAAAAGGGAAGAAAAAAAGGAAAGAAAGAGAAAAAAGGAAAAAAAGGAAAAGGAAAGAAAAAAGAAAGAAGAAGAGAAAAGGAAGAAAAAGGGAAAAGAAAAGGAAAGGAAAAAAATGGGGAAATTAAAAAAAAAAGACCATGGCCGTACGCACCAGGGGGGGGGGGGCAGTTGACCCCAGATATTTTGAAAACGTACAGTTTTTTTCCTGAAAATGTAGTGTAGGCCTATACCAAATCCTTCAATTCTACTTTTGAAAATGCAAAAGTACCCTCATGACCAGTTCGGTCGCTCGAACTCCCTTCACTCCTTTAGCTTTTGAGATTCTCCGAAAACTTTTAACGCATCTTTCCCCCTCCCCCACCAGAAAAATATTCCTTATACGGCCCTGAAAAATTTAGACAAATGAAAATAGGAAAATATAAGTGATATAACAAATTCGAAACTCTTCGCTGGCGCGAACTGCTTGCTAGCCTATTTTGTATTAAATGTTTTCACTTGCTCGTCCCCCTGAAAAAAGAAAAGGATTAGCATTGCCTAGAATACAATGGTGCCTGCCCCGACGGGCCCCGACCTGCAACCATGGCAACAATAACACACAGTGTATGTACCAAATGTTACTAAAAGAGAGTAATTCATTTTTCTCGCTCGCTACACTTGCTCGCGAATAAAATGAATAGATATTGCTTTGGAAACAATTGTGCCCACCCTTGACCTGCAACAATATCATTAAAAATGGAAGAGTTTTTACGCCCTCTCGCCAAAAAGGAATTGAATCGCGTTAAACACAATTGCGTCCATTCTGACCTGCTCCAATAAAAACTAGTTTATTTATTAATTTCTATTAAAAGAGATTTTTTTTTTTTGCTTGCTCGCTATGCTCGCTCGCCAAAATGGAATTGACACCGCTAACGTGCCCGCCCCAACCTGCAACAACCAGTTAATGATTATGTACCAAACGTTATTCAAAGAAGTTTTGGTGTGCTCGTGCACCTTAGACATGATTGTGTAAGCCCTGCCCTGCAACAACAAAAATCTGAAATTTATGAACCAATTATCATTACAAAAATTTTGCTCGCTCGCTACGCTCGCTCGCCAAAATAGAAATAACACCGCTTTTAATAATCACGTCCGTGACATGGAACAATGAACCCAAGTTTATGTACCATATTTTCCCTATAAAAGAGAAGTGATTATTTTGCTCGCTCGCTACGCTCGCTCGCCAAAATAGAAATAACACCGCTTTTAATAATCACGTCCCTGACATGGAACAATGAACCCAAGTTTATGTACCATATTTTCCCTATAAAAGAGAAGTTATTTTTTTGCTCGCTCGCTACGCTCGCTCGCCAAAATAAAAATAACACCGCTTTTAATAATCACGTCCCTGACATGGAACAATGAACCCAAGTTTATGTACCATATTTTCTGTACAAAAGAGAAGTGATTTTTTTGCTCGCTCGCTACGCTTGCTCGCCAAAATAGAAATAACACCGCTTTTAATAATCACGTCCCTGACATGGAACAATGAACCTAAGTTTTATTTTCCATATTTTCCCTATAAACGAGAAGTGATTTTTTTCGCTTGCGAGCTCGTGGAATTATGTGCCCACCACTAACCTGCTACAATATCATTAAAAAGAGAAATGTAGGGGGTTGCCTGCCCGCCAAAATGGGATTGACATTGCCTTAAAACAAGATTGTGCCCGCCCCCGACCTGCAACAATGAAACAAATTTTATATAGCAATTCATTGAGAGCAAGATGTATTTAGGCTCGCTAGCTAAAATGGGTATGAAATCACCCTAAACACAATATTGTTCCCGCGCCCTGCATGGGACAATAATATTGAACCAAGTTTAAGTGGCAATTATTAAAAAAGGAGTGATTTTTTTCTTGCTCGCTACGCTCGTTTGCAAAAAAATGAAATTAACGTCGCTAACAAGTGAATGTTCCCACCCCAACTTGCAACAATACCAGTTTATATACCAAACGTTACTTAAAGATTTTTTTTTGCTCGCTCGCTCGCCAGAAGTGAAAATTAGCATCGCCTTTTTTGTTTGTTTCGGTCGCTTGCCCCCCCTGACGGAACTTTATGAAGAACGGACCAAATTTTTTATCATTTTGATGATTCCAGAACCTTGCAGATGCTAGATGCTAGATGATCAACCTTTTCTGATCGATTCCACAACGTTTTTTTCACAATGCAATCGCATGACCATAACTGGTCTTTACCTTTAAACATGGTTTATAAAGGGAGCGAAGTCAACGACGTCGATCGGTCCTGATCGTGGGAAGAAAAGAGGAAAAGAGACAAGGATAAACTTTAAAAAGAGGGATAATGAAAGACAGAAAATAAAGAAGGGGAGGGATCTTACACATTAGGGCATTATGGATCATCATGATGCCAAGTAGGCCTAGGGATTTTTCCCTTTAAAAGGAAAAATAATTTGACAGATGCAATAAGTTTAGCACTTTATAAAAGCACGTACATTTTATAGATTCAAGATATGATAAAATAAGTTGTGGTGCATAATTATCAGATATGGCATATGTTTCGGTGAGAGTTTTGGTCGACTTTAAGTCCTGCACTTCGAAATTCAATCGCAATGACCCCAATGCCCTTCCAGGCACGTAGCCAGAGTTCGATGTTGGGGGGGGGGGGCACATACACTGTTGGTCATAATGGTGGAATAATTATCTTTACCCTAATTAATTGAATGATTTTGACAATGATTTATTCCTAATAGATCTAGATAATAGTATACATTCTCAGATTTTATTGAATGACAATTGGGTAGTGTTTTGTTTTGTGTGACTGCTAAAGCATGTGTGTGCTTCAATGCTAATCAATTAGGGGACCTACGTCCTTAAGTCATAACTGCAGTAATGGGGATTTAATATCTCATAAAAGGGCACTAATATACCAAATCGACACGGTTTTGATCATGGGGGCTCACAGTAACGAGGCCATTCCTGAGACAAAGAATCATGACTGTACGCAGCGGTTGCTAGGGTACGTCGACGCCCCCACAAAAACAAAAAACAAAGAAAATGCAATAAATTTTCAATAATTCATTGCATTTTGCCCCGACCCCCAACATAAAAAAATCTTCTATGTGGGCTTGCCTTGAACCATAATGCATGGCCCTACATAGGAATTTTTCCTGTTGGGGACTGGGGGACAATGCAATGAATTATTGAAAAATTATTGCATTTTCTTTGTTTTTTTTGTTTTTGTGGGGGCGTCGACGTACCCTAGCAACCGCTGTGTACAGTCATGATTCTTTGGCTCAGCAATGGCCTCGTTACTGTGAGCCCCCAGGATCGAAACCGTGTCGATGTGCTATATTAGTGCCCGTTTATGAGGTATTAATCCCCATTACTGTCAGTTATGACTTAAGGACGTAGGTTCCCTAGTTGATTAGCATAGTAGCACACACATGCTTTAGCAGTCACGTAAAACAAACACTCCCCAATTGTCATTCAATAAAATCTGAGAATGTATACTATAGGTTTTCCCGGCCAATTTCGTCAAAGCGGCAATCCATTTCATTCATGTGCATTCATGTTCGAGCAAATTTTCTCCACTCGTTGCTCCGCTGTTTCATTTTTAAACTTTCTGCATTCAATTTCGTTTCGAGACACCGCATTTTCCAAACATGAACATTCAAATTAGAGTTAAGTTCAGTCAATTTGGAAATGCGTAAGCGTCATTCAATTTCTCCAATGTTGCGTGGGAGGAGAAATCTTTGTCGAATTACGGTTTCATTTTCGTCTATGAGCAACCTCTTTCGCAATTGGGTCATTCAAATTAAAACAAGACCTCATAATATGGGGCTCGATGTTTTTTTTTCTTCTTTTTGTCATGTTATTCATTTATTCTTTTCTGACGCGATCTCACATAATACAATCTTCTTATTTTTCTGATATATTTATTTTGCGTTTTATATTTTCTCTTTCTTTCAACATTCGTTATTTTTGTTGATACTTCTCTTTATACATATCTTCATACATTTCATTATAGATGAGGTTATTTTTTAAATGGTTTGCTATGATTAATATTGATTGAGTAGATGTTTTTCTTTCTTTTCATTTTACATATTTTTATTTATTCATCATTGTATTTTGTTTCCATTATTAAAAGCTGTTCAGCCATCGATTTCTTGGCATGCCAGGCACCTAGGCATGTACGTCTGCGAATGGTTGTACCACTGAGTGCATTTGGCCGGTGTTATGGTGTCGATGCACTGCACGGCAACCTCTCTCAGGGCGTCGCAACGCCACTGTTGCAGGTTGACTCCTGCTCGTCCAGCAGCTACCCTGTCTCCAACCCGCTGTTGCCATGCCGGCAGCGCCAATGTTCTCTTCACAGCACTCTTGAATGATGAGTGAGCCATTTCAGTCATGTTAAAAAATGGCGAGTAAGGAGGGAGGCGCTTCGTTTCGATCCGAGGGTTGACATCCTCTGGAAGCTCAGCTCTCACGTGAGGCCTGGCGTTGTCATAGATTAAGACGACAGGGGCATCATCAGGGAACATTTCATTGCACTCTGCAACTGTTGCGGCAAGGAACCGCTCGAAACTTGCTCGGGTGACAGTCTCGAAAGCCATTTCATGGTGCACGAGACCAACTGCTGCGGAAACGGCGAACGATACGTTACAGCAGTGGCGGATCCAGGGGGGGGGGGGGGGGGGGGGGCCGGGGGGCCCCCCCCCCCCCCCTTGAGAAAAAAATCATGTAAAATCACGTGATTTTTACCTTTTTGGGGGGGTTGGTTGGGCCCCCACCCCCCTCTGGCGCTCAAAAGGGGGGGGGGGGTGCAATTTGATTTTTTTTTTGAGGATCAAAAACAAAACAAAATGTGCTCACTACCCCCCCCCCCCCCTTCATTTGCCGAAGCGTGAGCAGCGGATTGGTATCGATGATGTCTTGAAGATAGTTCTTCATTTCATCATCTATTTTGGCATTTCGTGCCTCGCCTCTTGGTAGCTTCTCAATTCTACCGCTGTCCAAATAGGTGGCTACTATGGATCGCGCTGTAGAGCGCTTAATCCCTAAATTATCTGCCAGTTCTAAATAATCTTGGCCGTTTCCTTCGAATGCTTCGACCAAACGACGTCTGTCGACGTTAGAGATTTTCATGTACTGCACACGAGCTGCCATAATGCAGGATCTTTGTAGTTATATTGATTGTGCTAAGAAGAGAAGTAAAAAAATCGCGCACCTCCTCTTGGGGACAGTTACCTGTGTAATGAGAGATACCTGCTAACGAATACGCATATCATTCCTACAAGTAATCCTTGCATAAATTATTCAAACAGAAGTATACAAAGTGACAAATTAACATTAAATGAAAAGCAATGCACAAATGTCACATATGTATGCCTATTCACGAAACTGAATGCTCAAATACATACCACCGTCTGTCCGGTGCGAATTTGAATGCTCTTTGCACGCTTTTCTAAATTGAATGCTCATTTTGCACGTTTACGTGACGAAAGTATGAAATCGCATGCCCCTAAATCAAATTGAATGACGCAATTAGCTTTTTGAATGTTGATCTGCATAGTCATTCAATTTCGCACGAACTTGAATGAACGTAACGTTAATTCGGATGCTAAGTTTACGAAGTTGGGCGGGAAAACCTATATTATCTAGATCTATTAGGAATAAATCATTGTCAAAATCATTCAATAAATCGGGGTAAAAAAAATTATTCCACCATTATGACCAACAGTGTACATCACATGTAATCGATCGAGGTCAAAAAGGGGTCTAAAAAAGTTCAACCGATCTTGGAAATTTTAGGGGGCACGTGTCCCCCCCCCCCCGCCCCGTGGCTACGTGCCTGTGCCCTTTCCCCCTAAAGAAAAATTATATTATTTGACGTATACGACCATCGTGATTTTATAGGCATGATTTCTTGAAAGTCTTCGAGATCGTGTCAGCAGTGATTTTTTTTTTCTCCTTTTGACTACACCTTGAGGGAGTGCGCCGTTTTTCTTAACATAATGATAGGGGTAGGCCTACATGGGGGCCGGGGGATCGAGGATGCCTTGCATGGTGGCCCCTGTAGGTGAGGAAGGGTCTGTGTAGACTTCTGTAGTGATGATCGAGTGTTTGAAATCCTATATTCCCATAAGAAGATATATTGCCCCAAAAGGTCTGTGTACGATATTATGATCATTTTGCAAATCGAGAAATTTGCATTTCACTTTCAGATCACTTGAAACAAATTATATATATTTTCCCGGATATTTTCTCAGTGTAAATAGTTTTAGGCAGGATTATGACCATGAACTTATAAGCTAGGGGGCATTAAAAAAATTCAAGAGGTGACCTCCCTCAACACCCGACCTATTTCATTACATACACAGATGTGAGAGCAGTAAACCCAAACAGATATAGGCCCTATCTCTTTCAAGATTGCTTTCGATGATTAATTACACGTAACTCTGTTCACTTTGATGTGTATATTGTAATTTGGAGGTTTATTTGCACTTTTTTGTTTTGTTTAATATGTATTTGTTTATCAGTCTATTTTGTATGTTATAGCGCTTAGAGACTTCGGTGGACTTTAGGAATCTCCAAAACAGTGGAGGGATCAACTAAGAAGAAGGTGGTCACTGAAGCGCTAATTTATAAGTAACGTATTATTTGGGGCCCTCAATTAAATCTCGGGTCGAAGAATACGTCATCAGCCCCAATAATATATGTATTTAACCGCAAGAACATCTATAAATAAACACATACCTCCCCCCCCCCCCCACCACTCTAAATTAGCTTTAATTATTAATCTGAAACCCATGAGCTATATATCTCTATGATAAATACTCAGAAAAAGTCCATAACATTTAGATTCCATTTAGGCGACCGCTATATCGGCTGCGCATGCGCACCCACTCAAATATTGACAGCGCCATTTTCAATTCGCAAATGTGTTTGTAAACAAGGGAAACAATTTGTTCACTTATTTCGACTTTTGAATTGAGGTAACTCAGGTAAGTGTTTTGCCTAAACTCATAAGATTTATTTTATTCGTTATGAATATGTAGTTTAACCTAAAGTGTCAAAGGAATCGTCGTAGGCACGTTTATCTAACCATATATTTCAAGGTCTGGCGACCGTGGTCCCACAAACTGCAAAATTCCGTATTTTTTTGTAACGTCATTTGACGGAGGGCAAGTGCAATGGCCAACGCCACATCGACGCATTTATTAAAAAAAAAGTTGCAGAAGTCTACAGTTTACTTCTAAATTATTTTGTTTAATTCCCTGTATTTTTTATTGATAATTAATTATGATTTATGGGTCAAATTATAACCGGACGCTCGCGCTCGGACATGACCAGGCCTAGACCGAATTTTCCGTCTCTTTCGTTCGTTAGCCTCTTATTGGGGTAGGGTCGGCTCTCTCTTTAGAGACGGAAGCCGTTTATACACATGTCCTTGCTAACGCCACGGCCAGTCCTGGTCGTAGCGTTTTGCCCCCAAAATCCCCCAAAATGTCATTTTACCTCGAGCATGTTATATTGTAAATTAGACCTAGATCTAGGCTATAATAAATCAGTTCCACTTACCAACTGGACTGAAATAATCAGTTTAATAGTCCCTTTTTAGGAAATTATGGGTCAAAATCGAAATCCATTTTGAAAATCTTTTTCAACATGGATTCCGATTTTGACCCATAATTTCCTAAAAAGGGACTATTAAACTGATTATTTCAGTCAAGTTGGTAAGTGGAACTGATTTATTATAGCCTAGGCCTAATTTACAATATAACATGCTCGAGGTAAAATGACATTTTGGGGGATTTTGGGGGCAAAACGCTACGACCAGGACTGGCCGTGGCGTTAGCAAGGACATGTGTATAAACGGCTTCCGTCTCTAAAGAGAGAGCCGACCCTACCCCAATAAGAGGCTAACGAACGAAAGAGACGGAAAATTCGGTCTAGACCAGGCCCAGGCCAGGGCAGGAATAAGGATTGACAGGGAAAGAAGTTAAAAATTAAAATGAAACTTTAAAAGTTAAATCATATTCATCAGTACCGGTATATACTATAGGATACTAGGGGCGCTGGTCCGAGAATGAGGATCGTTCGCATGAAGTGATATTAATAAACAAGGATTTTCTTTGTACATGTAGATCTAGGGTCTAAACGCGGACAGACGTGTCCTAAAAAAAGATGGTTCGCATTTTTGCGTACGATAGTTCTACCACAGTGTAAATTATAATATAAAGAAATTGTAATTTAATGATAAAGCAAAACTTTGCAGTCTCAAAGATAGATCTAGACCTAAATGATAGATCTAGTCCCTATATTCTAGACTCTATTTGACTAAGAATTTCAATGAACAATGTATAACTTCTCACACCTCTACAGAAATGTCGAGCACACCTCAAGGAGAGGTTCACACTCCGGTGAGCCGGATGGCATCCACAGCCGGGCTCTCATCACGCTACATCTCCCCCACCACCCGGCGGAAACCCAACCCCCTAACCAGCCAGTCGTCCATCCTCTCCAACTTTGCAGAGAATGACGATGCGGCGGAGAAGAGGCAGAGGAGGCACTCGCGTGTTATGGAGATGCAGCGTCATCTTCAGAGCCCAGTCTCATCTCCCTCAGATAGGCAAGTATTCTTAAAGCCCAACTGCACTACTTATAGTTACTTGCGCCCTCTATATAGCAAACAATGCCTAATCGGTGGCTGTTAGTCCCCCATGATCCCTTTTTTTGTATGTTGATTGAGAGCTGATTTGGTGAGATAACCACCTGTCAGGGACCTTGCAGGGAGGTCTTATCTAATCCCCCCTAGCCAAACTAGTGCAGACTGGCTTTAAATAATTGAAAAAAGTGTGTAGTGTGCATCCTGGATTTCACCTATCCCTTTTCAGCTGTCTCAGGACTTGGGACAAACCTTACTTTAACTTGTGGTTTATGTTTCTTTTGATTTGCAATAATGAACTGAAATCTTGTCAACGTTTGATAACTTTAATCACTAATATACCTTAAGATAAGTAAGGTTGATATAAAAGTACAACATTTGAGATACCTCGAACCATTATATTATAAGATAAATGCCTAAGTTTGATAGCAAGATTTGATTCTAAATCTTGATTGAGGATAATTTTGGTCTTACTTCCATTCTATGATTTTAGAATGGGGACAATAAGTTATGTTTTAATTTTGCAGCCTAATCAGCATCATAAATCTTTCCATTTTTCTACTCCTGGACAATTAGCCCTAATGAAATAAAGTAAGTCTATGAATAATTTATTTTCTTTAAGCGATGTGTGTTCTGCATGTGATCATATTTAACTTCAAATCAGCATTCACAAACTATATTTATATCTTAAGAAATTGTCTTTTTTTTCTGTTTGAAGACTACAAGACAAGCATTGTACTGTCTCTGACACTGTATGCTGTGTTTGTGCACTAACATATTTACACTTTACAGTGTACCTCATTCATATTATATGTATACCCGTCAGAGATGCAGCATGAAATCTAAGTGATAAAATGGAGACAAAACAAAAAAAACTTCAGCATTTTACCTTAAGCAGTCAAGGTAATGGATTGAAATACTGCTGTAAAAGAAGTGTGTGTGAAAAACTAAACATTGACAGGTGAAGTGGAGCTACCAGTATTCCTCAACAATCAATGCTAACTTTGTGTTCAAGCTGGTTATCTTAAGAACATCGTAAACAAAATTGTCCTAAAGGCTCGATTTCTGTTTTTTCTAGCTATTTTTAAATTTTTTTTTTATTTAAGAGGAGGGGGTTCATTATGAACTTTGACCTCTGACTCCCTTAATTATAGAGCCATGCTTATTAGTTCACTAAGTCATGGATTGCTGTGTGGAAGTTATACATGTACGGTATGCATTCTAGTTGCAGTGGGAAATGTTTGAGTTGTGAGTCACAATCATCTATATAAATAACGATCCTCTATTGCAAATGAAGAGACTGTAAATGTTCATTATTTGATTGTTTTGACACAGGAGAAGATCCCTGCCCCTCAGTGGATTATCAACGGGTCAACTGACGGATCATTATTCAAACTGTATCAAACTCTCAGCAGAAAACGTAAGTTCTGATCTAGGTTCATAATATAAAAGCATATTGTGTGTTCAAGGGAAATCCAACCTTCATTGCAACCAATGAAGTTTGAACGAAATCTGACAAAAATAAGAAATATATGATTTTTTTTAAATATTGAAGAAAGAAAAAAAATTCGCTAAGTCTGCAATGTCTCTGTTATGTTATGTAGTGCCGGACAACTTTCCCATTTGTTCCAGCACACAAAATGATTAAAATTTCATTTTTTTCTAATTTGTATGACTCAGGATGGTCTTTTCTTTTTAGAGGACCTGTAAAAATATACTCTCCATATTATATTTGAGTAGTGCCCAAAGGGAGAAGACACTCGGGAGAAAGACCAAAATTAGTGATATGTTTGTACAAACAGGAGAGTTATCAATCACTACGTTGCAATCCACTGACAAAGTTGCCAATTTGTTATCCGCATAGGTGTAGTGATCTCAGATTTCAAACATTCATAACTTTTTATAACTGGTTCTATCTATTCTTAAACTTTTGCCATTTTGTTTAACAGTTTCTTTGATTTTCCTGCTATTATTCAAATGAACTTATTAAAAGATGTTGGATTACCCTTTAACATCAAATGGAATATTTGTGTTCACATTAATTGAGTGGTATGTAGAAAGTGAAAATCATTAAAAAGGGTGAAGTTGGAATTACCATACTACATGCACAGGTTTATCAGTCAAATATGATTGTAAAAGAAAAAAATGCAGCAAATATTAAGAAAGATTTATGAAAGAACCTAAGCATAGTTGCATTTATATTGTCAGCAAGAGATGAGTATCTCCAATGCGTGAGCTTGTACAAATTCATAGTCTTTGATGGTTTTAATAAAAATATTTTCTTTCAGTTTGTATGATATGATTTTGTTGTTGATCTTAACAGAAAATCAATTCCAAGAATGCTTTTGGTCTTCACCTGATTGACTACATGGCAGAGCTTCTCAAATCAAAGACAGGAGAGATGACGAATTTCCAGGTCAGTATTAGTTCCTAACAACTGAATTATGCAACTCAAAATTAATTCAGCCATGCTGACTTTTAATCACTTCAATTATATCTTATTTAACATTGAATACAATGCAGTTGCATGGGTTGTTCTTTTATTTTGTTAACTCGGCAGAGGCCACGGTCATGTTCAAGCATTTACGCTTACGACATGTGGTCTCCTGCTTTTTCCTTTTGTATGAAACTTTTATTTTAACTAGAAACAAATTTTGTCAAACTTACATGTTATTCATTATATTTATTTGTATGTTTCTTTGTATTGATATGAAAAAGTGGAAATAAAACAAAACAAACAAACAATTATAGAATTATATCTTAGGGTTAATCACTCTAAGGATTTTTACAATATTCAAAAGGGTACTTATATTACTGTTAATTATTTTACAAGATATGAATTTGATTTTAGTAGTAAAGGAGGCATAACACATATTTCATTTTCTCATTTCATTTATTCCATTAAAAATACAAGTCAAACAGATAAAATGCATATACACTGTACATAATCGTGTTGAAATACTATAAGCTTACAAATTTAAGAGAAAATTACAAGTTTGAGAGAAGAAAAGGAAAAAAATGCAACAGTCAGTATGTAAATAAATTAAATAGAAAAAACAAACACATGAATACCAGTAAAAGAGTACCGGTAAACAAAATAAACAAAACACTTTCAAAACTGAAGAATGTTATTTGACCGTGATTTTACTTGGCCTTGCATTAATATAATCATGTTTTACATCTGCCTTGTAACATCAGGTTGCAAGTTGCACCCTTGATGCCAGTGCTAAGATCTATGCAGGCAGAGTGGATGCAATCCATGCTGAGACATACAAGATGCTGGGAGGACTCGGACATGACAGACAGAGCAAACGTAAGGAAAATCCTGCCACATAATGTCGGTTGAACTTATGCAATTGCTCTTCAAGTAATGAACAAAGAATATAAGAAACATGGAATTTTGAAAAAATAGTTGATTGGAATTTGTACAATAGCTGAGCAATAAAGAGGAGGAGCTAGAGCTATTAAAACAAACAAAAAAGATACTGGGAGGGCTTACGATTGATTCGGATCATTCACAACTCTTTATAAGACGGGCCCAGAACTTGCATTTTTTTTAGATGCTGGTATGGTAATGTTCATTTGTGATCTTGGTACTGACATGTCCAATTTTTAACGCCTTTGCTTTCTTTCAAATCTTCTTAGATTCTGAAGGAGACGCAGAAGGAGGTGAAGGACCAGGGGCCAATGAAGGAAAGAAGAAGAAGAGGGTAAGTAGTAATGAGTCAAATATACCACTTGGTGTGACCCAGAATGTGCTAACTCTGTGTAGAAATTACAGTGTATAATTATACAGTTAACAACTGAATTATTCATACCCCTTGTAAATTTGATTTTTTTTTTTTTTTTTTTGTTGATTTAAAAAAAAAAATTATTTATTTATTTTTGATTTTTTTTGATTTTTTATTTTTTTTGGAAACCCCCCTTTTTCTAACTCAATAATGAAAGGTGGACTGATTGAATTAGGGTCTTATTGAATAGTTTTAGATGTGAGCTTTAATATGTTACATTCTCAAGAAACTTAAATCCTGCAGGACAAATCAATTTTTGGTAAAGTCTTTTAAGTGTAAATATTGGTTACTTTTCTTCAACCATGTAGGAATTGTTTCTTACTTCGTTTAAGTAGAGTGAATATATGATTTAATTACTTTGTCAAGTATACCTTTATAAGATGATATTGGTATTACCCAGAGAGGGGTTGTTGTGGATGCATAATGAAAAATAGTTGATTACATTGACACGGAGATAATGATTCTGTACCCTTTATGTAAAGCATTTTCTTAATTATCAGTTTGCTATCTGCCACAATTTCATGGAATTTGCTATGTATGTGAAGAAGCCATGTGAATGAAGATGGCTCAGTGGTACAGCAGTGGTCTCATACGGGAGGTCCTGGGTTCAGAACCAAGTCGATGCGCTCATGCCCTTTGGTGAGGCATTAATCCTCATTACTAAGTCCCTCATAGAGGACTTAGATCTGTCAGTCCCCTAGGTGCTTACTAACAAGCAGACATGCTTTCTTAGCAGTAAGGTAAAACGACAAAACCAACCTAACCAACCAACTTTTTTTTTTTTCAGGCACGTCATTCTAACACAGTGGAGGCAAACTTGAAGAACATTAACTTGACCAAACTGGACCTTGGATTTGAGGTATTCTTATTGTTAAGTTTAACTATTTTAATGTTTATCATTGACATTCAAATGTTGTCAGGGTGTTTCTCATTAAAGATATAATATCATGGTTACATTAACTTTTTGATATTTATCATTGATAGATATAGAACTACAGTATTAGTGTATGTATCATGTATGTCAATGTAAATACATGTGGTATAGTTGATATTGTTATGTTTATCATTCATACTAAAACCAATTAGAGTATATGTAACTTTCAATGTACACTTATGGTTGCATTAAACTTTTTTTATGTTTCTCATTAAGTTTTAACTACAGTCAAACCTGTCTTAGCGGCCACCTCTCTATAAAGGCCACCTGTCTATAGTAGTCACCACTTTCGGAACACGTCTTGTAGCACCTGTCTAAAGAGGCCACCTGTCTGCAGTGACCAGTTTTCCTGTGTCCCCTGGGTGAACTCTATAGACAGGTTTGACTGTATTTTAATGTTTACCATCAATATTAAAATAAAAAAAACAGGTTGGCAGATTTCACCATGTGCCCTTTTAGGATCAATGTAAAACTATGGATAAAACATGTGCTTATCAGCTATCCACACTGTTCTCTGTTCCTTCTATATTCTAGCCTGACCCACTTTTCCAGCGAACTTCAGCAGCCTTCGATGAGGGCGGATCCTTTGGTCTTCTCCTTAACCACCTTCACTGTAGGGATGATGGCTGTGAGCTGCTCCTAGACTCCAACACCATCATCAATAATGAAGAGGAACCAGCGAAATCAGAGAAAGGCACACAGACCATGGTCGATATGAATGAAATTACAGGTAACTTTTAAAAATAAAAAATTTATAGCTTAAAGAAACTACTTAGTATATATCCTGATCTCAGAAAAGGGACAATAATCCATCATGAATAGTATGAAGTATAAGCCCTTCGTTGTTAATAATTTTAAAAAATGGCCTGTACTTTTTCTCTTTCTACTTTTACATATGTTGTTGTTGGTTGTATCTAGTCAATTTATATGTACTATTAATTCATTTGTTGATAATTATGAATGTTAATAAAGTGATATTAAAACAAAAATATACACGGTACAATTGTGATCATGAGGACTGTCATAATCCTTTCATCATTTCAAGAAACGTACTTGAGATTCAACCAGCTTCTATGCACTAGATATAGAATCATGAACATAGATAGATACCATGAACAAGTGAGGAAGATATAGAGAGATAACTTACTATAATCTCCTTTTCTTTCCTTGTTGTTTGTGTGCCATAGAGATCTACAATGGAGTGAGTTTAGAGAGCCTTCAGATTTGTCCTGAGTTTGCTGACTTTGAGTTCGCAAACTGGAGTGCTGAAAGAGAGGTGAGAAAATGGCTCCTTTCTGGTCGGTTGTTTGTGTTTGTTATTGTCAATGTCTTTTTTACTTCTTTTTTCTTCCCCCCCCCCCCCCCCCCCCCCCCCCCCCCCCACCATACAAGGAGAAGCCTGGGAGTGAGGGGGGAGGGGATTGTTAAATACACAGATTTAAGTGTTCGATTCTAAGATTCAAGGCAATGTGAGAATGAGGGGGGGGGGGGGGGGGGTCATTAAATACACATATTTGACTGTTTGATTCCGAGATTTAAAGGCATTGTGAGAAAATTTGCATAACATTGTTAACCCTTTCAAATTTTGTATTAGAACCTTTTAAAGTGAAAATCTAATTTGTAAGAAATAAACTTGCAGCCTGCTAGTCAATATCATCCTCTTCTCTGCCTGTCTGTCCATCCCTCTCTCTCTCTCTCTCTTTTTCTCTCTCTCTCTCTCTTTTTCTCTCTCTCTCTCTCTCTCTCTCTCTCTCTCTCTTTGTCCTAATTGTTACCATCCCTTTTCTTTACATCTCTCTCTATTCCTGACTGTCACTACAACTCACTCTTAACCCCCCTCTGTCTCTCTTTCTCTCTCTCTCTCTCTCTCTCTCCACCTCTCTCTCTACTCTCTCTCTCTGTGTCTCTCTCTGTCTCTCTCTGTCCAAATTGTTACTATCCCTTTCCTGTACATCTCGCTAATGTTCTGACTTTGTCACTACAAGTCCCTTTATTTAACACTGTATGTAACTAACTCTTACATCTCTCTTTCTGTCTATCGCAGGAGGGCGTCACCTCCATGATCAGCAAGATGGCTGCCGCCGACGGTCAGCAGGCCTTTGATGTCCACGCCATCCCCGAACCCTTGGAGGAGGAGCCTGCCGATCACATGGGTATGGGAGGAGACCACTTTGAAGGAGGGGGGTTCAGTGATGATGATGATGGAGGGGAGGCGCTACCGGGCATGGACCAACCCTCTATGTTCACCTCCGATAATTCAGACGCCACCATCATGATTGGTCGGTCTGCATCGAGGTATGTGGAAGTGGGGTTTTTACAACATGCTCCGGCGACATTAATAAATTTCCTACACTGACCAAAACCCTAAAATTATGATGAAAGTGTATTAGAGTTGCTCAAATATTTATAATTATATGTCTCCATTTAAGTACACTGTAGCTAGAGGTATTGTGTTCTCTTGTGTCCTTTCATAATTTGTACTTGTCTTTACCTTGTTTTATAGTGATAGTATAGGTTTAATTTGTTTCATATATGTTTGTACAAGCTCGTTATATGAGTGCCTTCCTTCTTTATAGCTGTGGTTCGTAACTCAGGGATTGTGACTGCTTGGTGGGGTGATTGGAGGATTCTAAGGGGTACCAGAAATGTATATATTTGTTTTTTTGTTTTTAAATTGTTATTTTTTATATTTTTTTATTAATTTTTAAATTTAACTTTGGTTTCATGGCACTGGCAAAAAATGGCAAATGGGGTTCTTGCTAATTTTCAAACATTTACAATGAAAATTCAAACCTGTCGCTATTAAATGTTCAAACAGCTTGTGAACTAACCTACTTTCTGGTGCATATAGAATGCATTCGTGATCATTCCTTTCATGTTCTTGTGCACAGCTCGGTGTCTGTAAACACAGGAGGCAAGCTCTGTCTACAGCTCTCCCTCGAACCCTCTGAGTATTCCTACTTCAACATGGATGTCCTCAACACGTGGGCAGGACCACAGCACTGGAAACTCAAGCCTAAATCAAAAGGTAATTCAATTTGATTAAATTCAAAATGGTATTTATTTAAAATAACAATCATGCGTTGCTAAACAAATAATACACGGGTGTGAGTGTGTTATGGTCGATGCAGTGCATGAGGCTATTCACTATGGTGCAATAAAATTCATGAGGCTTGGCCGAGTGAATTTTGTGCCATTGTGAATACCTGATTGCGCTGTATCGCCGTAACATCCCGAACGAAAAACCTGTGTATTATTTTTTTTATAAAATGGGTCTACTATCAAATCTCTTCAGAAAGCAGCTGAAAGTTTGGCTTCTTAGAGGCTGCCATCCTGCAACAGGGTCACTCGTTGCTCGGTCATTGTCATCGCACAAAATTTTATGCAGTGGGCAGGGGTGCGTATTTGTGCGCACACACAGCTAGCTAGCTACAGACGATCACGCGAGAGCAGTGACCTTTAGCAGTGACCTCGTAAACAAACTGTGCAACGCACGGTAAACATCCATTGATTTACACGCAGCCGTGTGTTATACTTTTCTGTTGCACACTTTTTGCACGGCTGATATCACCAAGATGCGTATTAGAATTAATGCACGCACACGTGATCCATTTTGACGCTTCTCATTGGCTACATTCTTGAACCCATTTTATAAAACATAATGTTATATAGTGCATATTTTTACACAAACATGTAAACATACTTATACATTGAAACAAATAATGTATATGACTAATAGTTGAAAATAAAATTAAATACTATACCATATGTAGAAACTAAAGAAAAATTCATTACAAATAAAAGTCCTTAACATAAGAACACAATTTGTGTATGTCTGACAACCCAGGTGATAGATCCACTTAAAAGGTTAGCATTTCTGACTTGATACAAGACAAAATGAAATTTGTTCTGCTGTTCCAAATTCTTCTCGAAATAAGCCATTTTTTTTCTTCAGATTTCTTGCATTGTATTTGTTGTACATGTAGGTTTTTTTTCAACAACATTTCAACAATTCATGAAAATGAGGCATTGCATGTGCCTGTGTTGATATGTCGCGAAAACATCAACTCATGTTAAACTGCTTGTGTCCCTGTCAACAGTGAAAACCTTTACTTGAAAGTATTAGCTTTCAGTCACAGTACTTGAAAAATTGTTAAAGAGTTGCAAGCTTTAATGTTTATTACTTATTTAGTTGATTTTATTTTCTTTTTAATTATTTCTTTTTCAGCTGTGTTCCTTAAAAAACTAAGAACATGTCTAATTTGTTTAAACAAGTATTTTTCTCAGTGTTGTTTTACTTGTTTAATTTGCAGTCTCCATACATACATTAATGTCTTAAAATGTCGCTTTATTTCAGATTCCGCGACAGCAGAGGAAGGCACCAAGAAAGCTGCGTCAAAGAAACCACTTTTCAGGTTAAACTACGACGATGAGGTTGACTTCGACAAGTTCTTTGGTGAAAGCAAGGTAGGTTCTTCTTTTTTTTCCCTCCCAGGTTAAAGCAGGGGGGATGATAATTCATAAAATCAGAATTATTTTGAATTAAGCATTGGCTTACGTCTTCTATCAAAATCATGTTGCAGATGTTATGTATTTGTTGTCTTGAACATTCTAGTGTTAGTTTTGTTGAATTCTGTTAATAACCTAATCGTGAGATGATGACCTCTACATTTAAATGAGCAAAGAGCAGTCTTGGAGAGACACTTCTAGATCAAAGATGTTGCCAATCCTTGTTAAACTGGATGCCAGAGTGTTATCAAATTGATTTGTAAGTTCTTATTTCTATATATTTTGAAGGTTTTTATTTGTATATTTGAAAAAAGAAAATCACAAATATTGGGCCATTTTATTTAATTTCAGTTTTGATTTGTGATTCTCTATTGTTCCAGGCTGCTACCACACTCTCCCAGTCCACTCTTAACAAATATAACAAGAGTGAGCTTACACTGCCCGATCAAGATGATGATTACAAGCCTACTAGTCTCCTAAAGATGTTCCTCAGGCCTAACTTCATGGTAAGAAATATTTCTTTATCTCTTTATTTTTTGGGGTTAACCATCAGTAATGACACAATTTTGAACATGTGGGACTGAGATTGAAACTGCACTCGACTAGTCCATCATTAAGACTAGAGCGAGCTTACACAGCTTGACAAAGACAATGATTAAAAGCCTGCAAGTCTCCTAAAGATGTTCCTCAGGCCAAAGTTTATGGTGAGAATCAGTTGTTTGCTTCATGCCTTTTCCTTTTTTTCATTGTTTTTGTTTTGGTTTGGCTTTTGTTTGTCTGTTTGTTCTTTGCTTTTATTGTGGAATTGTCTTTGTCCTTATTGTTTTACCTTTGAAACTCTGAAGCAGAAGGATTGTCAGTTAGCCTGTAATGAGCTTGTGCAATGACCGCAAAGAGCAGGTTTTAGTTGAAGATTAACCCAAAGTAGGAAGGAGAGTCCAAACACGTCTCCCGATCCATCTTCAGAAAGTATGAGAGGAAAGTTATCTTGCCAGAACCTCTGGCATTGAACACAATTTGAAAACTCAAATAAAATCCTTAATACTGGATTGTGGTTGGATGGAAGTCAAGGTATTTAAGATTTTGGAGTTGCATATAATCCAAGGCCTTTGAATCATAACTACAAGCCTCATAGTCTAATTAGGACATCAAAATAATGTCACATTTCCATTGATTTATTGATGGGTTTTTCTATTCGTTTTTTGTTTGTTTGTTGTTCAGATGAAACGACAGGCTGCCAACACCAACAATGAATCTCTGGATGATGGCATAGATGGCTATGACTATAACAATGAGAATGACTGCGCTAACTTCTGTCCTGCTGCAGGGGTGAGTTGGGAAAGAATGATGTTCTAAAGACTAGATCTTTATTGCAACGTTTAAATGACCATGAGAAGCAAAATCTGTTTATATTTTCTTTTCCTGATCATTTTTAAAGCTGTGGAAAGAATATTCTTGAACAAATCCATGGAACTGCTATTTATGTGATAAAAAGTGACTGATTTCTCTCAGTTAATGCTGAAAATTGAACCCACCTTGATGTCAAGATGGACTTTCCTAACTTGTTAATCCTTTTCCTGTCATTGCGATCAGTAGCCGAACTGGGTGACCAACATTGCTCTGCTGACATTTGCTTTTTCATGCTATTTTAGTCATAGATCTTGAGTTTGGGTTGCATTTGAATCTTTCAGGTTAGGGCTAGGGGTAATTATAGTGTTTGGTTCAGGCTTGAAGATAGAAATTTGGTAAGCGCATGGAATGGACTGCAGAGCAGGTGGGGGGGGGGGGGGGGAGGCAAAAAGTGTGTCTTATACACAGAGATTTACGGTATACATTTTTGTTATGTTATTTTATGTTTTGCTTTCTCCTTTTGAAGGGTGGAGATGATGACGATGATGACAGCAGCCATGCCCCTGGCAGTATGACCTATGACCTCGACTCCATGAGTCAGACCTCAGCCGGTAGCCACAGTGGCTTCCTCAACAACAGCATCTTTGATGCCACGATGCTGCAGGGAGACAGGCTGGTTGCTCAGCCTCACAAGGTATGTGTCTTCAGGGCTCGGTTAGCACAACACTTTTGAAAAACACATTGTTGTTGTGCTTAAGCCAAATTAGGCTTGTTTGATCATGTGCCGCGATTTGAGAGTTAACGTATTGCGTGCGTTGAATGGCTGCATGATCGAGCAGCGAATTTGTATTCAATTTTTAGTACAGATTTACCGCGTATTGCCAGTTACACTGCCGCTGCAAGTGCGATTTCTTATTTTCAAAGGCTTACCGTGCTTAAAATTCCTAATTCTTATTTTCAAATGTTGGCAGGGATGCACATAGATGATTATGTGGGACCACATCATGTGGCTAGACTGTTTGGTCCAAACACTTCAGCTATTTCTTGTCAAGTTCTAAATATGATGGCATTTGAAGGGCAATCTATTTCAGGAGCTAATCCTTTTCTGGTGTCATTCCAAGCTGACATGAAAAGAATGGGACAGTTCACAGATTATTTTTCAATTTACCAAACTCAACTTCTCTTTAAATACATTTTAACAAGAAATTGTTTGAATTGTAAATTTATCATAATTTGGCTTAGAATTATTAAACAAAAACTAACATCCCTGAAAGAATTGAGAGAAAATGGTATATGTTTTATAGTAGGGAGTATTTCTGGATTTCTGGTATAACTATGTGTATTATTTGTCTACCTTGTAATGCCATGTGTATTCAAATAGTAGCTTTAGCTTGAATGTTCCCTTTTTTCTCTTGTTATATTGAATAAATTATGTGATTAAAAAAAATCTTTAACTTAATGTTCAATATGAATAATAGGAAATCTCTTTGTACCATGAGAGGGATGTATGAGAGGAGTATTTAACTTCCGAAGAAATTGCAAACAATTGTCATGAAACTCTTCCAATTATCTTTTGCACTGATATTCCAACACATATTTCCAAGAATGAAGCAGTACATATTACTACCTTAGTAACCTTAGAGTAGTCTTAATGAACTGCACGTAGGTAGAAGCATCAACCTACCATCTTATGAGGTTTCCCTTAAGTTCATTTTTTTAACACCAATCACGTTGCTTCATCAGGTGAGCAAGATCAACATCCAGTACGCCCGCACAGCCAAGAAGATGGATGTTAAGAGGCTCAAGAACCACATGTGGGGCTTCCTGACTAAGCCTGAGGCCGATAAGGTAGGCAATGTCTTTAGACTTAAAGGGAAAGTTCACCCTGATATTAAAGATGTTCATGCGTGGGTATATAGTTGTTTGTGAAGTAGGCAACTTGGCGATCACTACATAACACTGAGCCAACAGGTATTATGCTCCTGTGCGTACGTCCGTGTGCTGCCCTCTATATACCTACACTTGAGCAACTTTAATTTTGTTTTTATAGAAGCAGGAAGCAGAGAGAAAAACAGAATAAATAGCAAAGGATAAGAAAGTTATGAATTCTCAAAGTTGTAATCAAATGCAAACTGGTTATTCTGTGATTTGCCTTGCAAACGTCTCTCCTAATTGTATTGGTAAGACAAATTTCACAAATTTCTATTTTCTTTTTGGATATTGATGAAGAGATCTTTTTCAAAGTGGGTTATGTGAAACATTTTTCCAAGAACATCGTTCATTGAATATTTTTTCTGAAAAGATTACAGTAGAATGAATTCTTTTGAAATTTATGAAATTTCTAGTAAGCAAGTGGGAGAGGTTCTTGCAGAGTCAGTTGCACAGTTGCCAATTTATTTTTTGAGTGGTCTCTAAAGCTTTAAAACTTCACTTTAAAAAAAAATCCTTTTATTGATTTTCTTTAAGGAGTTTATACTATAAATAGCCATTATTTGTTATTGGTAAATACTTTGCTGAAGCAGGGCCTTGGTTCTGCATTACATTGAAACCTGTGTAATTTTATAATGACCACTCGAAGGAGACAATAAAAGTGGTCTTTACAGGCAGGTGATCTTTATGTACCGGTTCCTTTTATTCTATGAAAGACTATTTACAAGGGAAACAACAAATGTGGTCTCTATAAACAGGAGGTCATTCTATAGAGGTGTTTGCTATTAAAAGCAAGTTGACTGTACTAAGATAAAGAGGCCATCTCTTTCAGGCCTGATGATTACCCAATTTTTAAAAAAAAAATCCCAATTTTTTTTCCCAATTTTTTTTCAAAGATTTGTTTTCTTCTTTTTTCCCCCGATTTTTATTTTTGATTTCTTCCCGATTTTACCTGTATTTTCCTAACTTTCCCCCTACTTTCCCTATGTTCCCTTATTTTTTTCTATTTCCCCCAATTTTCTTACTCAAAAGGGGGGGGGGGGGATGTTGTTAGATGCAATTTTTTTCCCTGAACCTTTTTTTAAATATTTTTACTCAAGGGGGGGGGGGGGGGTACATGTAGTTTCAGGCAGAAGAATTTGTTTATCTTTTTTTTTATAGTGCTCACTATCACCCCTGCACTTTATGCTTTGTTTTACAGGAGAACGTGAGCAACGAGGCCGATGCAGATGGCGTCGCCGGCACTCAGTCCTTCTGCGACATGTACACCACCCTCCCAGATAAGATGAGCAAAACAATGTCCAAGAACCTGAGCATCCCCATCGCCTTCGTCTGTCTGCTTCATCTCTGTAACGAGAAGGTAAAGAGGAAGTTCATGATACAGATGTATATAGGGTGTTGGGAGGCGGGGTTTCTGTGTGTAAGGAGAAAATGGTTTTAGTAACCATCTTGAACATGTTGTGGTGATGATGCTGATGATAATGATATGATAAATAACTTTTAATTTATTTAGTGTGTGTAAGGAGAAAATGGTTTTAGTAACCATCTTGAACATGTTGTGGTGATGATGCTGATGATAATGATATAATATACCTTTCAATTTATTTAGCGAATAATAATTAATACTTAATTATCTATGCGCTTTACATTAAAAGAGTATGCTTTACAATCTACATCAACGTAATTATAAGAGGACCAATAACGCCACTACATACACACCTGTAAGAAAAGGTGTGATGATTATGATAGTCGTAATGGTGATAATGATAGTAAAAAGTTAGTTTCTATTATAATGGTGAGGAGGGAGAGTAAGGTGAAGATAATGATGATGATGATGACCACAACGACAATGGTGATGATGATGACTATGATGGTGATTCGGATGAGGATAATTCGAATGATAATGACATTTATGACATTGATAATGATAGAAATCAATGGTGGTGCTCGTGCTGGTGATGAAAATAAAGCAAAGTGTACTCTTTAAAGCTTGTCTGCACTAGTTTGGCCAGGGGGATTAGACCTCCCCGCAAGGTCACTGACAGGTGGTTATCTCATCAAATCAGCTCTCAATAAACATAAGAAAAAGAGGATCATGGGGGACCAACAGGCACCGATTAGGCATTGTTTGCTATATAGAGTATGTATAAGTAGTGCAATGGGGCGTTAAAACTTTGTGCAATAGTGGTTGCAATATTGATGAAGAAAATAACAAAGAACAGCAATATCACCTCGCCCCCTCCTTTCCTTATTCTTACCCACAGAGCCTTAGTCTAACCGTTCAGGCAGAGGGCTTGGAAGATCTCCTCATCACCCAAGATTAAACCAATCCTCGAAGCCTTACATCATTCTAGAGAAGAACGTCCACTATCAACCCAGGGTCCTAGCTGGTTCACAACACAATTGGCTGTTATACCAACTGTTGGGACTCCAGTGCCCTACTTCATGAAAGTTTTTATCAATAATAATTTTTAACCATTGCTATATTAAAGCATGTCTGTACTCGTTTAGCCAGGGGGGGGGGGGGGGGGGATTAGACCACCCTGCAATGTCACTGGCAGGTGGTCATCTCATCAAATCAGCTTTCAATTAACATAAGAAAAAGGGGATCATGGGGGACCAATGCATCGATTAGGCATTGTTTGCTATATACAGGGTGCAAGTAGCTATAAGCAGTGCAGTGGGGATTTAAACAAATGTGCTCTTTACCAATCAAATGCAATTATTTCAGTAGTTTTCTTAGTTATTGTAGCTTGTCTTTGATATCAAGTTTTATGAAACGGGGCCCAGAAGAGACATTTCTCCATCAAATCGAGTCAGCTGGAGATCAATATATTAGACAGATTAGTGTATCTTGTTAAAAAGGCAAGAACAAAGTTCCCTGAATCCATTAGCCTGAGAAGAACAACGTCCATTCCCTCAAAGAATTAGCTTGAGCCACATCTAATCTATAAAGCTTGTACCAGTAATAGTCCTAGAGCATCTTGGTAAGGCCGCTTTATTGCCAAATAGCGGGCTTTTTCATGAACAAGCTCTTGTTTGCTTAAGTATAACAATATTTTAACTACTGATGGGGCTACCCTGATGAAATAAAACGAAATAAATAAAAGCTTGAATTCCAAGTGCATTGGTGAGATATTTATTTACCTCTTCATTGTGAATTAGCTAAAGCTAGTTGTGATCAGGCTAATTTCCCTTTATTATTGAATTGCATTATGGAGTTGTGACCATTAATTTACATCAACACATCATTTTATTTGATGTTCAGTCTGATTTAAGCTCTAGTACGCTATCTGCTTGATACAGACATTATATGTACCAAAATATGTACTGAAATCTTAGGCGTGGTGTGTAGCGTAGGGGACAAAATTACTTGGAATTGCCCTCGTATTTGCACTCCATAAATTCTATTCTATGAATGAAAATTTCCCTCTTCTGGCGACCTATTACTTTATCTTGTAATTTTGGGGAAGCCATGCCAATTTGAAATTTATAAGTCACATCGACCTCGACCTTAGCCAAGCAAACTTTGGGAAATACCCTTTAAAAGGAAAAACATAAATGAAAATAACCTTCCATCTATTGTGATTGAGTTTGCAAATGTCCATCTAACATTCAAAAAAATTAACAAAATTTGAGAGAAATGGTAGTTTAACTGTAATATATCCTTCATATTTTTATATATTTGTACATATGGTGTATATAATTCAGAATATTGTCTGTATTTCATTTGTATCATACATTTTGTAATGTGTTGTTTACCAGCCTTTGAATGTGAACCAGAACTGCAACTTGAAAGAGTGCAAAAACCTTTTTGCAATCATAAATTAAATCTGTTCTTCAAAATTGTCACCGATGATGCTTCTGGAATCCATACAAAAGTTGAAATATACAATGTATCTCATGCAGAAAACAAAAACAGGAAATTGATTTAAGTATGAACGAATGAAATTATATAAATGTAATCTCAAATGATATAAATCGTAGAAATCATTTTTTTAAACAGATTTTTTTTTTTTTAAGCGTATTTTCATTTTTAGCTCATCTAGCTTACATATCTACATGAATTTGAAGCCAATGAATTTCACAAGCCTTCTTTTCTGTTTTTATTTGCTTGCCAACGTACAGGGGTTTTTTCACTGAATTTTTGAATTTGTCTCTCTGCAGTTAGTATTTGAATAATGTATGCTTAATCTCATGTAGTGCTGTTTCATGATACATGCTGTAACGTTTGTACAAGAAGTTATTTTTCTTTATTCATGGTGGATACAATTTATTATTAGTTTAATATAATATCTTTTATACTGTGAGCCCAAAGAAAAAATCCTTTAGACCCCACCCTCAGAAATGTCTGAATCACTTTGTAATGTGGCATACTCCATGAATATTATATTTAGGTCTTTTCTTTTATACTTGATTGTACAGATGTCAGGGGAGGGGAAGGTGTTGGGTACAACATCACATGACCTACATTTTTTGTATGCCCGTGTTTGCCCTTGGGAATGAATTCATTGATTTTGAGTAGAGTTTAATCAACTAGCTACAAGAAAATCATGAAATTGGTGGTGACAAATGTATGCTACATATTTTACATTCTTGCAGTTTCTTTCTTAAATGTTTTTATGCTGATAAAAGGCTTATGAGAGAGAGATAATAAGAGGTTTATGTGTTAGTATTTATTAGTGTCAAAGCATGTACATGTATTTAACAACAAAAAAATATTTGAATTTTAGGAATTGCTTTGTATTGTAGAGATATTCAAGCTTTTTAAATATTCTTTTAAAAGGTAAAAATAATGTTTATAACTGATTACAAGAAATCTATTGTGAGGAATTGTAGCCCAATTTTATGTTATTCCTATGTGGGTTATTTTAGAAAATTTGAAAATGCTACATGTAGATGGCTATTGTATTTCCATGCCTTGTATGAAATAAAATGTAAATAGAATAGCAGTAACTGTATGGATTTGTGCTGTTCCTTATTTCTGTCTCTTCTTTGTGTGTGTGTGTGTGTGTGCAATACATAGTTGTCTTGTTTTGTTTTGAAACAATCAGTATTTGTATGCTTTGATATTTAACCCCCAAAAAATCTTTATATAACATTTGTTATAATTGGTATTAACTGCTGGTATGTTAGCAACTACTTCCCTTTAGAAATAACTAGCTTGAGTCTGCAAGTTAGTAAATGAACTTGGGATAAAATACTTGGCCAAAAGTATCATTTCACAGCTTTAATGCCCTTCTAGCTCCAAATGGATGAAATCATACAAGTCATGTAGCGGACACCTTTCTGGCTTTCAACAGTATCAGTATCAGTATTTTGTTATTGGCACTTTTTTGATGAATTCCCTGCCTACATACAGCATACAGTAAATCAAGCATACACATGTCATCAAGATTAACTGATAGTACATGCATGGAAATCTATGACCACATTTATGAATTAAACACAGGCCCAAGAATTGATTTTTTTTCTTCGATTTAGATGATTTTTTTCACAACTTCCTTCACTGCAAGTACTGTCTTTCACAGCTGATGGCATTGTTACATGGGGTCAGTCTTCCAGACATTGTTTGTTGCTATGTTAGGCCAGCACATCACAAGCTTTTGGGTCATTTATACATGGAACTCCTAGGGGTGCTGAAGAATCTCTCTGCCCTCATCGCTCTTTCATTTTCCTCTACTCTCTCTCTGTTCCTCCCCCTGTCTATCTCCCTCCCGCTCTCCTCACAAAGTAATGTTATAATATCATCATCATCATCACCATCATTATCGCCACCATCACCATCATTATCACCACCACCATCATCATTACCATCATCATCATCATCTTTATCATCATCATCATCACCACCATCATCATCATCATCATCATCATCATCATCATCATCATCATCATCGCCACCATCACCATCATTATCACCACCACCATCATCGTTACCATCATCATCATCATCTTCATCATCATCACCACCATCATCATCATCACCATCATCATCATCATCATCATCATCATCATCATCATCATCATCATCATCATCAACATCACCACCACCACCACCACCACCACCACCACCACCACCACCACCACCACCATCACCATCATCATCATCATCATCATCATGGACATACAATGAACAAAAAAAGGCAGAAACAATGGAATGGTGTTTTACAAGTGTCTGTGTTCAAAAGTGAGATCTTCCTGAACATTCATACATCCACATTTTTGAGAGATACTAAAAGAAGAACCCTATCAACTAAAAATCTACTTTTATAGCAATAATTCTTTGCATTGTTTAGACCTAACAGTCGGCATCTACGATTAAAAATGGTTAGTAGAAAAAAAATATGCTTCCGTTCGAGATGCATCAGATTGAAAAAGAGATGAAAAAAGAGTTGAAAATAGTCGTTTTCAAAAGCATGATTAGATGGCACATATTTGGCAAGGAAGTTTCCTAGAATTGAATTTCAGAATAATATATTCTACTGAATAAATTGAATACTCCTTGTATGCTAGACAGATTCTTACATCATGATTTCATTATTAGAAAAGTATCTCATATTCAAGTCAAATTAGCGCATCAAGTATTTAAAAATGATGTTTTCTGAAACGGTCCTTACTAATATTTCATACAAGAAATTGATGCTGAAATTCATCTATTGAAACAAATTGCACCTCTCTCTCTCTCTCTTAAATAAAGTTGTACTTTACAAGAAAATGGATATCAAATATTAATTTAAATTCATAGTACCATTCAATTTCAATTTCTAGGATTTGTATTTTACATGACTATGACCTTTTCTCTAATTGAACACAATTATAAACCCTAATTTTTTTAATCATATCACAGATGGGATTGGGGCTGCTCAAGTATTAAGCTTACATTATATTAAATACAAATTTTGTGAGAAAGGCAATGCACAAACATTTTTTAAATACATATAGTGCAAACAATATACGAACCAACAACTGGAAATTTAATGCACACCACTATATATCAGAGTGTCAATACTTGTTGATACATCGCTGCATGAATTTCAATTAATTGGGAAATACATGTTACCTCTCCCCACACAAATTCTTTATAAAAAAAAAATCACATGTATAATGCTTGAAATAGTGTAATCATGCTCTTCAGGAAACTATTGGATAAGAAGGATCAAAGTTTACTTCTTATGTGACAAAAACAATGATTGGAGCAAATTAATACCGGTAATGGTGAATATTCATTGACAGGAGGGTAGACTGAGTTAGCACAAATTAATTGGTTATCTACAAAAGTGCCCAAAATAATCATCCTCTGGGACTTTCCCATTTCTAAATTTTGTGAGTAAGATTTTTTTTTTTAATTAAAAAAAAAAAATCATTTTAAATAAGATGTTTAGACACCTCATCTTGCTGCCTGAATATGATGTGATGATTGCCAGAACTTTCAAAAACTGATGGAGGCTGCAGTCTCACTCGTAAGCCTATCGTATAGAGATTTGTAATCCTGTCACAATACTATTTCAGATCCAGTCATAGTTGGGTCATAAGATGTGTTATGGCCTTGACAAGACTCACTCAGTAAGGGAAGGGAAGGAAGGATGGGATGAGCATTCAGCCTTTTCATTCCAAAGTTTGACAAAGTTTGAGGTCAACATAATTGTTTCATAATTTCATTGATAAGTTTATATGATATCCAATCATGTGACTACAGAGGTCAATTTATCATAAGGAAATGTGACATTAAATGTTGACCTATTGAACACTTTTAAGGTCACAATTACACTATTTCATAATTAAGTCAAGTGATATTCAAAAGAATCAGATATATACTGTGAACCAGAGAGCTTAAATTCAAGGAGAGGACTTTCACCTTCACTAAGCACACAACAAATGAGTAGTAAACGTTGATGCATTGACCCTTACATGTAGTTTAAATGTCAAATTCATCAAAAGTGTAAGACTTTAAGGGTTTTCCTAGACTTTTGAGCATTCAACACATTTTTCCAGCTTCAGGTTTCATGGAAGTCAAATTATCATAAATTCAAAGACATAATTAGACAATTTTTATAATTCTTAAAATCCTTATTTTCAAGTGTTCATTTAAAAAAGCAGAAGGCCTTTTTTCAGGTGAAAAGCATGATTACTGTACTCTCAGCTACTAAGGGTGGTGTTTCTTAAACATGAAGATTTTAAAAATTATAGCCGAACTTACTCTGCAATAAAATCACACATGAAAAAAATGGAGTAAAATATGACATGTTAAAAACAAGAGCGGTTAATTTTGATGAGCCTTCTTCATACCATCCAACCCAGTGTGCATGTACTACAGAAGTATCATGGAATGAATTCTCCTTATAATATAAGCTCTCTGGTGTGGTCACCATCAGCTTATAAAAAGAATCGACAAATATCCAAAGTGTTTAATAATCAATGTGCATTAATTAAACTGAACATTATACAAAAATATCAATGATGATAAAAAATGCTTATCTCTCTCTACTTCATCATCAAAGAACATTACACTTATATGGAGAGGGGACATGATTTTGAAGGCAATAAAGTAAAGTTTTATTTCTATTATTTGCATATTTTGCAAATTCTGTTCATGATACCGATCTCAAACGTGTACGCATTAAAGTTTACTGATAGTCAGAGCAATATTTTGAAATTCAATCCTATACTTACGAGGCAAATGTATGAAAAATGTGTTGTTGCATGGTTTCTTCCAACTGATGTTACATGTAATTTGTATATTATGCAAATCCTATTCATTATTTTGATCTGAATATGTGGCCATAATATGCACAGGCATCAAAAACATCAATATCAGCACTTAAATTGTTTAAATGTGATACTCTTGATGCAAATGCATAGGAGACAGGAACAGCACACACTAGTTTGCACGTTGAAGGGTAAAAAATCCATAACTTTCATTTCAAATTAACTTTTTTAAATATTGTATATAGGGCCCTACTATTAAAATAAACCGCAGTGGAATAATTTCTGCAGCAATTAATTATGGTTTAAATAATTATTTTGACTGGGTTAAAAATGGAAAATAAAAGATATCTCATATCTCATACCTGTATCTTAAATAAGGCATCCTTCATGTTCTGTTATTCTACAAACATTAATTTGAATTGTGGTACATCATTTGTCTTAATAGTGGCAGAAGTAATATTTGTGCAATGTAATACGATAGACTAAAACAAACAAATTACACACCATCGTTATAAGTACACAGGTGCAACCTCTCTCCATAACCAACCCTTGTTATATTTTTCTGTTGGGGGTGGGGGCAATTTACCTCGCTGTCTTACTCATTAATTTCCTTTTGTCAAAAATGTAAGGAGTACTTGCCATATTTTCTTTTTCATTAAATTATGTGCAACAAGTAACGAGTGCAACATGTAAATTTGCATTTTTTTTTCTTTATCAAACCTTTCTCAAAGTTAATTTCTGGGGCTTTCCCATTTATCTACAGCGTCAATTTTTCTTGATTAAAGCATTCGTGACATTGAATTACAAATCATAATGTGAAGATGCTTGTAACACATTGATGTGCAGGCACTGTGCAATTATCTACATTGCAAAATACTTGTGAAATATTGAAATATCCACCTTTTTTATGTTTACAATCAGGTACCCAGAAAACAAGCAAAAAATGCAGCTTGCTCTGTTTGGAGGAGATAGCCATACTAGAATACAAGTCAGTCTGATGATTGTAAACTTAGTGAAATGACCATTAATTTGTATGAAACTAACTAGTTGGCTTCATCTTAAGAATGCCATTAAATATCACTTGTAGCCAATTTGCATATTCACGTTCTGTGTGAAAACTCTGCAGCTTTACAAATCATTGGTAAATGTACAAAAAATTTGATGTAATTAATTTACTCCATTGCAGGTGCACTGATTATAAGTCATTTACACTACATTTATCCAAACACCAAATATCAAAATTAGACATTACAAATGAGAGATCAACATCACAAATATTTTTACCCGAAACATACCACTAAAAGTACATCATTTCAAACCGTCTCTATTTCACCATTCCTCTCGCTGAGAAAAACAAATTGTGAACAATATAAAACAACGATTTTCTCTGGTTGAAAAAACAGGAATGCTTCATTCATTTGCATTATAACTGAGAAAAATATCACACGTTTACATATATCATCCGATAAAAACACAAGTTTTCAAGTCATGTGAATCGACACCCGTCGATCCTTCAAGATAGTGATTTCATTCTCTAATCAATATTTCTATACAATAATGAGGCACATTCTATTCATGGTACATTTCATCAGTCACATTCCTGCTGTCCACTTCACAATAGCATTGTCATAGGTTCATTCACACACAGACCAAGCAGCGCGATTTGAAAAACGATTTTTGAAACGCAAATACATTTTCAAATACTCAACCAAAACAGCATCATAAGCGCTTTTATTTGGTGAATACCAACAGTTAATTTGTGTGAGTTGAGATATTAAAGATACCGGTAGTTGATTTTATACATCCTATATGTGAACTTTTAAAAAAGATTTTAAAAAGAGATTTGAATCGCAGTTGAAATCCCACTCTTTTCTTGTGTGTGAATGACCCTATTGCCCATTGAAAGTCAGAAAGGCAATAACTATTGTCTTTTTAAATAGAGTTAAATCAATTCCCTTATGACTTTCAATAAACTATGTCTACTTCCTTTAATAGAGTAGACTATGAGTACATCTGCTGTTAAGTCTAAGAAAATAAACACGTATTTCATCTCAAGAATCTCTAGAGATAAACTCTCCATGATCCATTTTAAAATCATTAGTGGCAAACTTGCTCTACTGAAGAATCCCTAAAAAGTGTGCAGAGAGGAAAAAAGAAAAAAAACAGGAGACAAAAACAACATAACAAATTCTGGGTGAACATCAGGAGAGCTTCTAATTAGAACTCCATTAGTTTCAAGTTACAAAGCTTCATAAAAAATGCATTAATTCTATTTGAACTTTGATGCAATCTCAACAAACTGATCTCGTTTCATAATCAAACACAGGATTGAGATATCATAAAAAGTAGCAAATATGAGTATAAATAGTCCATGTGAATAAGTAGCAATACAATTGCAATTGTGAGCACACGGATTGCACTAGTTCGAAATACCATTGCACGTGATAAACAATAGTCAAAAACACTTTAAAGAGTTTCACAACAACAAGGAAATAGTGACCTACAATACAATAATACTTTTGTCTACTAATAATGACAATTCTAATACAAACACATCTGCAAAATAGCTCAAGATATCATGATCTCCACTTCCTTGTGTTATTTTGTGAAAAACAATTGTACAGGGGGGGGGGGGGAAGAAACCTAAAGCTATTTTTGTATAAAAAATATAATTGCCATCTTTAGAAGCCCAATTTTCATTCAAAAGTCACGTCCTCACTACGTGAAGATGTACAAGTTTGAAGTGTCAGGCTATAGATGAAGCCAAATAAGTTTGAGGTAAAGCTCTCTTAAGTGTCGTCTGAGCTAGTTCATCAGCAATGAACCCATACAAAGAGTTTGTGCAGAAGAAAAATTAACACCAGCTCAAAGTAACTTATCGGAGCATTAGACGGGTGCTGGGTTGTTGGGGAGGGGGGGAGGGGGGAGGGGAGGGATCAGCGAGGGCTGGGTGAAGAAACATGATGGTAATTGGTTTGTTTCTTGGGATATAAATGGAACTTCACGGCTGACACAGCAACTAAATCACATTGAACAAAGGACAACTTATACCTCATACTTCCTTTGCTTAATTAGACTTTAGTCCGAGCTGAAACTAAGAGTCAGCTTAAATATCAGCAGAGTACAGGCCTCTGGGAACCAACTCTATGATGCATGTATCTGTTCTTGTTTCAGGAATGAAAAACAAAAGAACTCTTTATAAGTCTGAAAATACATACTGCAGGACGTTAAAAATGTTGTTGAACAGGATGATGCAAAGTCTTGATCCCGAATTAGGGTACAACTCCGATAAAACCATCCAATGTGGGTGTGTGGAGGCACTTCAAATGCTTGAACACCTCCTTAACTGCCCCCCCCCCCCCCCGACCAAGGCACTGCAAATCAAAAGATTGCCATGACTTCAACCAACTCAAAGAGCCTGTGAATGCAGTGGCTGAAAAAAGTGCAGTTACCTCATGGGTGGGTTTTGCCATCCATGCGTGGAAAAAGTGAAAGTTACACGCGGATATACCCCTGTGAACAAATACAATGTATGTAAATATAAATGATATTATTATTTTAACAAGTATTTCAACTTCACACATTGAAGTGAATAAGATTTGCATTTCCATGAAACATGATCGAATACTTAGGAACAGTTCTAAACCAATATTGAACATAAAAGATGCAGACTATAGAGTGTATCATAAAAAGGGCAAATAAATATGACTGGTTATGGTAACGATACTATTAGATTAAATACAAATTGCACATGGCACTGAGTATGATAACACAATATCATGGGGCAGAAAGACAAGACTTATGAGCTGTTATAACACAATGAAACATAATTGCACAAAGTACTTTTAACCCGTGATGCGCCGAGTGCAAATCAACTCTAAATAATGCACACTTAAGTGCCATAATAATCAACTCCTTTGATTATGGGCATCAACAGAAAAACAACACAAAAATAACTGAAATATTATTTTCATTAATGAGAACAAATTCCAAACAAAATTGACAAGTATATGAAGCATTAATAAATAAAATATATAAATAAGGGCAAGCTTACTATAGAGTAATTTCAATCGCGAATCAAGGGCAAGTTACATAATATTTCGTCCAAGTATGCATTACATAAATAAGGGTATATTGCACAATGTTCCCAAAAGTACTTTAAATGCTTACAAGGCTTCACTTTATAATAAGATTTGGGATTGGAGGGTACTCCAGTGGACTTAACGAAGTAGACTTAAATCACTGAAGAGGCTCATGCGTATCTCAATAGTCTGAGATATGTGTACTGCATGTGCTTAGAGTGATTTGGTATCTCCTTCAAATTCAACGAGGATATGCTGGGGAGGCTTTGAGAATATCGCAAATATTGAACTGGAAAAACTTGAAGTACTTACTGCTTACTTCCTTATAACTAAATGTCATATGGAAATATGATTAAATACAAATATGCAAACTACACCTCTGTAAAACAAATAGAACGATTGCTTTTTTGTCGAGTTGAATGTTTAATATGAGAGTAGTTTACCTGACTTGCACCATTTTAGATTTAACAGCATTTGTTTGAAAATTGAAAGTATAACCTTAATAATTTTGTGTCTTCACAAAAGAGCACAACAATGTGAGAATCAAAGCATATGAACAAGTAAAAGTGATAGGTGCACATACTACACAAACTACACAACTGATTTCCATACAGTAGTAGAGTGTTCTCCAATACCGAACAACAGTGGTCACAACTAAATAACATAATTCATCGAATGATACAAAGAAGTGCATCATATACACACACAAATTGCACAAGTACATGATCTATTTCAACACCAAAAATATATACTCATCTCACATTTTCCGAAGAAAGAGAAATAATATTGATATACCTGGACTGCACACTTGCCTGTATCTAAATAAATAAAGATAGGATTTGCACTTTCCATGAAAGATAACCCATACTGTCTGAAACACACGAAAGTCATAAATAAATAAATACCAATATATTTAATTTTCGACCACCAACATGGTACATCCAAAGCATGGATGAGCGTTATCCATTTGTATAGAAAACTAGACTACAATCTGTACTAGTTAGTTAGCAGAAAGGTGTATGATGATATATTTGATGGACAAGATTGATGATTCATCAACTTGCCTCTAGGCTTTCAAGGCTTTTTTGGGTTGAGGGCTGTCCTCTCCGTCCTCTGGGGTAGCTCTGCGCTTGGAGCGTTGGTCATCCAATTGGTCAGCTTCTTGGCTGGAGCTGGACTCTCCGGTCATGGAGGAGTGGACACCGTGGTCAGACACACCAGGACCGAAGGGAGGGTTGTAGAGGGAGCTGTAGAGATGGGCTTCCACAAGGCGGTTGATGGCGTCACTAACGCTGGGCTTTTTGCTGCTGTTGCTGCTTCCACCCTGCTTAGGGTCCTCCATGCGGTAGAACATCCCTGTGGGGTCGATTCCCAGGGCAGCGGGTGGAGGAGTGTAGATGTTGAAGAAAGGCGAGGAGAAAACAGGCTTGTGTAACCACTGGGCCCACTGCTCCGTGAGCGCTAGCTGAGTGTGTGCAGCGAGTGTCGTCTGGGCTTCCTCAAGGCGGTAGCGATCGGCTTCAGACAGGGAAAGGGCTCCTGCAGGGATGCCATGGCTCGCCAGAAGGGCCGGCTGGGATTCCAGTTGCTGCCTGAGGTAGGAGTAGCTATTCTGCAGGGCTTGCTTCTCACTCATGGCTCTCAGCTTCTCTGCAAAGCTCTCATAGGGTCGGGCAGAGGCGAGTGCTGAAGGCATGCTGTGGCCATCATGCAGATGAATACCCGGTGGTACTCCTAGAATGGGTGTTTGACTGCTCTCTCCCTTCTCTGCCGACTGCTTCTGGTGCTGCAGCAGCTGCTGTTGATGCGCCTGCTGCCCTTTCTTTGCCATCCTCTTCAGATGCCTCTCCTTGACCTTGTACTCCAGCGTTGAATGAGGAACGCCAAAGACATTCCCAGCTCTGGTGACGCTCATCTCACCGCGCTGGACAGCATTTACCGCTTGGACGAGACTGTCACGGTCATAGCATCTATAGCGCCCTCGCTTGGGTCGCTTACTTGATGCAGGCACCATGGAATCATAGGAGGCACAGTGGCTGGCTTGGTTGTTGTTATTGTTACTGGAGGGCGAGTAGGACTTTGTGGGACTGCTGTGGCTAGAGCTGCTGCTGTCACAGTACTGCATCATCTTGTCCATGTCTTGGGCTCCACCAATATCACACACTACGGGTTTAAAGCAAGGCACCTTCACGTCTTGGTCCTGCTCGGGTGAAGAAGGCTGGCGAATGACCGATGATAGACCTATATGCTGCCGGACATCCTTCTTCCCGCTCAACAAATGCACCTTCTCCGTCTCTAGAAGATGTCCTATAAGGTGCTGGAACACCTGGTTGGGTAGCTTGTCTTGCCCGAGGTCTCTGACGTAGCTTTCTCTCCGTTGCATATCCTCTTCGGTTCCCAAAGACCCAACCTTCGTGCAGGTCATCACAAGCTCCCTCACGAGGGCCTGGTCAAGCCCGTGGTCAAACCCTGCTAACTTGGGCAGCTTGCCGCTTCCCCCGGCCGACCTGCCCTGCAGGAAATTCCTGAGCTTGCCGACGACTTCGTCCGTGGAGCAGTCCTCGTAGTTGATCCCCTGCTGCTGGTACTGCTGGAACAAGGCTGTAAAAGGAAATGCTAGGTTGGGTTCAGGAATCAGGTTCCTCTCCACCTTCACACGTTTGTTGACTGGATCAGTGATGTAGGGCAGCCGCTTCGGGATCTTCATCTCCACTTCCTCGACAGCCGTGGGGCGGGCCACCTCCTCCGTCTCCTCGTTTGCCTTGTTGGCCTTGCTGCGATTCAGATGGTTTCGGATGGTGGACCTTGGGATACCGTAGAGAACGGATGCACGACGGGTGCCGATCTTACCAAGCTTGACCTCTTTCAGAGCGAGCTTGAGGTCTTCCTGCGTGTAAGTACTTGAACCGTTGATGCGACAGGAACGGGTACTCTTTGTTTTGGATCTGCAATGACACAAAGGAACAGAAGAAAATTAGTCATATCATTTAAATTCCAACTTTCAAAAGATCAAACAAGCTAATATGGGATTGACATGGTTGAAATATGACTGAAGGCTCTTCGTTAACTGCATCTTTAAAGATAAGTTACACACAAATTATATGTTTCTTCCGATGTTTGCCTATATCAATAGGCTTATTTACAAACAAGAAATTTAACACTTAAAGCTAAACAGCCTTAAGATTGCACAATGTAACATTCATCCTGCTGTGGACCAGTGGATCTGAGAAGATACTTCTTCAATTATTTTTTCTTTCTTTCATTAGATGAAAATATAATGAAAGAAAAACTAAATTAAGCTTGGTTATATAAAATTGTAAATTTAAGAATGGGAAATTACAGGTACTTCTATTTTCTAAAGAAGTAAACGGCAAAGATAGTTTTGAAATGAATGAAACGCCAATTACACCAAACGACAACAACTTTCCATTAAGGTAGTGTCCTTTTTGCACTCAGCAAACAAAATAACAACATTCTAAGCGATGTGAGTGTTTTATTTGGGGGGGGGGGGGGGGGGGACTTACCAAAACTCTATGTACACTATATTGGCCTACATGTATATGGGCATTAAATTCTTATTCATCTTCTTACCGGTACTTCAAAAACCTGCAACCTGTAAAGGACTTGTTCTGTCTCCAATAATGGCAAATGATATCCATGTAACTACATGTTTCATTTTGGAGGATACATTGTACCTTACAAAATAAATAAATACAGAGTAACGTGTGTACTACACAGATTTTCAACCATTTGTTTGTTTTTTGTTTTTTTAGGGAGGGGGTCCATTTTTAAATCACAAATCATTCATCTGTTCATCTTTCCTATACTCTTTTTTTATCTAGATTATTGTATGATATTACATTAATGATCTTGGAAACCATGTGGCGAACAAAAGCCAAAATGATACCGTACACAAGTATATATTACAAAGTAAAGCATGTACTGTAGCAGCAGTAATTTGCCCATCGGCACCGCAAAACACTCATAGGAGTAATACTAATCATAGCAAATAACCCTCTAAATTTGAAAATGACCCCCATTTAAAAAAAATAAAAAAAATAAAAAAAAATCCACTTTCATTCCCTCTCTTGTCTTGATATTGATTGTTCCATACTTAATCTAAAATTGTGACAAAGTTAGCTTTGATACTTCAAGATGGTATGTACCTGATTAAATCAGTTGAAAATTTTAGCAAACTGTTCACATAAATGAATTCACATCATATGGCCTGTCCAAAGCAAAAAAAAATACTTAAATCAGCATTAAAGGTTCAGGTAACAACTAAATTATTCCTAGTTTCATACCCTTACCAAGCTTTTTAATTTTTCAAGTTTGTGAAAAATGTTTTTGTACACTTCTTGAGAAGTGTATGATAACAGCTTACATTTAAAAGGTACCCTTTCATTCTTGAGTTACAAAAAAACACTAGTATGTATTGCTATGTAGGACAAACATTATGGCTTGCCCTACCTAACAACACATAATATATGAAGTTTGCATTCTGAATTATTATAACCAATTCTTAACAGGTGAATGAAATAATATGTAACAAGGTACTTCACAAAGACGTAAGCTTTAAATTTAGTTACATTACGAAAATGGCCTATAACACACAAAATAGTGGTCCATAATGAGACCAGACGAAACCACTTTTAACTTGGAGATTTCTAGATCCTGGTTCAAGCACGCATGTTCAAGTGGTGGTTAATATTTCTACTCGGGTCTAATTTGTAACCATACCCTCTCCGGGAACCAGAAAGGATTTTTTCCCAGACAGGGAAACCCTCTTACACAGATCTTTAAAACATTAAACGCACCATAGACATGGAGGCTTGAGGGGAGCTTTTTGCTTCCCCCATTCCTCCTTCAACACTTTTAGTAGGTCCTGTACATTATCTAATAACTTGGATCTTTGTTAGCCAATCCACATTTCCATTTTGGTTTTGTACCCCCCCCCCCCCTTTCTCTCTCTTCCACTTTCAGCTTCAAAGCCTGCAACATGACTAGACCTCACACTCCAAAGCTTACCTCTTGGTCCACAAGCCCTCTAAGATACACAACTTTCAAATCGTTCCATTCCTGTCGCCACAGATTAAAGACTAAAATCACATTGGAACGATGCAGCAGGCAAATTAAAATGTGGCAATTTTATAGGCAGACAGCTCCCACACATATGTGTTTAACAAAAAATATCACAACAAATATGTCCTTCCTCAAATGCTCAGTCACTGAATGTCCAAAGTCGATGGAGATACTTACGTTGGAAATAAACCCCCTCCTCTTCTTTTAACGCTGATGCGCCTAATACTTTCGAGATGAAACTATGAGGAAGGATGGCCTACAAAATCAAGACATGTGCGAGCCAACCACAAAGAAAAACAGTGAATGAACTTGAAAATACTTTTCCTCGGCTTAAAATGACAACATCTTTTGCGCTCCTTTCCTCCTTATTGTCTTTCTGTCTTTCCGTCTCCCCCACCCCCTCTCTCTCTCTGTCTCTCTCTCTCCCTCTCTCTCTTCCTCGATTTTAGTGCGTTCACTTTCCCCCTTCACAATATCGCGGAGGGAAACGTGAGAGGGAAATATCGCATATTAAATGCGACATATTTAGTTTGAGAAATAGTGCATGCATGATTAGAAAATATCAAAGAGATATGCCACAACTTTTTCCTAATATGATTTGACGATATATCGAAGAAGACAGCTACATTTGAGATCACCCTTTTAAGCTGCTCCACAGAATCAATCGATGAGTAATCTACAAAGTACACCAACAACTACCCAAAGATACTTTCTCAATATCTTTCCAATTAGCCCCTCATGAAACCCGACAGGCTAAATGATATAATGATATCACCGCAGACATCCGCATTATGGGAGGAGAAAACAGGAACACAAAATTGCCATTAGATTCCAAATGATTCCCCTCAAATATTTTGGGGTCACACAAAAGAAATAAAAGGAGCTGCCATATTAGCCCGGTGCAGGGAATGAGTCCACTAAATGCAGATCTAAAGACTGGCTAAATGCTTCTGACAATGATGGAGCCTCATAAAGTACAATGCAACCTCCGAAGGGTAAGATCTCATTGGATATAGAGCAATTCTCAAGGCAATATCCCCTCTAATTCGGCAAAGGGAAACAAACAAAATAATAACAAAAACAATTAAAGAATCAAAATCACTAACAGTAATATCTTCCAGAAATATGATATCATGTTGAAATGTAAAATCCAATGCTTTGTAGTAGATATGTTTATGAAGATTCAAAATCTAAAATTAAATGATCTGGTGGAAAGTAGAATTGAAATATACATGGATGATTTTTTTTCTTTTTTTTAATTGATCATCAAAACACCGAACATGCAAGTAGATGTGCTCATAGTCATACATACACAGATCCAGGCAACATTTTTCCATACCCTAACTTTGAACTTTTAATGGATGGATCTGCATAATGATGATATGGAAACAACTTAGAGTGCACCAATCACCTACAAATATGATTAGTGTAGAGCTAGAATGTATAAAATTAATTAACCTAAAAAATATTAAAGATAAACTTGAGTTCTGGTAAAAAAAGAAAAATGCATTCTCACAGAATCTAACGAAACTTACACTGAATGTTCAAGATTACAAATAAATGTCATGTGCCAAACAATTTTGGAAGAAAATGTATACTGGCTGAGTAATGAGCATAGAAAGATAAGGAAATCAGGGTAGTACTAGCCCCGACACCATGTGTGTTGTCCCATATACATCTATCTGTGTAAGTGATTGTTACTTTACCAAGACTCTGCCAAATTTATGATGATTTTGATGACTCCAGAATCTTGCATTACACACCATTACTTACATGCTATATGATCAACTTTTCTGATCCATTCCACACTTTTTCTTTCACAATGCAATCGCATTACCAGTACTCAAGTTTATCTTTAACCTCACATCATTCTATGGGCTAGTAATGGATGAAGGAAATAAACAACAAGATAAAACTGCGCACTCGGAACCCAAGTCAGACTTGGTATCTGTGCGGACCCTATTTATCTACAGGTATGTTGAGTAGTCTACACGTACTCACAAGTAGCTTTTATATTGATCGAGAGTGTATTTGAACTGGCAAAATCTTTTTACAGAAGTCATATTTAAGATAAATGTTTTGACTAAACATGCAGAATTACAACATTGAAGAACAAACATATACAGAACAAAATTATTTGTTGGCGATTCATACACTTTAAAACTCCACCTACAGCAAACAATGTACAATGTATCCATAATTGCTACTCTCCTTTTATTTTCCCATTTATTACGACTTCCAAAATTGGTAAATTTACATAAGCAGGTCGTAAAGGAGAAAAAGTACAATTGCCAAGCCTGTAAATGGGGATTACTTTTCTCCACAGATGAATTCCACCTCTGAGCTACCAGCACTTTTTGACTGCGGTATATATTCGTGGCTTTGTCCCTAAATGCATATAAAATATAAAGGGTAGGATTAGGGTACTCATAATGAACCCGCACACATTTATACGTACAAGTTACCTTTGTGTTGTCTCATAGCAAAGCAACATGTGTGTATGTTTGATTATTGAACTGCGTATACATGTATGACTATAGGAGTATATGTATGTAGTACCCGTTCCCTAGCTCTTCACAAAGCCATGCAAACATTGATGTATCTATTTTTTTAACGATAGCATCAAATCACTTTCACAAAGACCTAAACACCAGTATACTAATTAATTAAAGATACATAAATTCCAGTGTAATATTGACAGACCGGTAATGCTATTTTTTCCTATTGTTACATATTGTTCTTATTATTCTCATTCTTATTATTCTCATTTTTTAAATTTTGTCTTTGTCTGTTTGTCTTCTGTTCCAGTATTTGTTAATACATTTATTATTATATTTGTGACCCTGCCTCTTGCCAGTCCATT